GGCCTAAGTTATATAGCTCCTCTTAACTAAAGTTAAGAGGGCTAGTCTCTAGAGAGACTACTTATTATTACTTTTAAAGAGTTATACTTATTCTTTAGCACTAAAATTAATTAACTAGTAATAAGATAATACTTATAAGACTTATTTATAGAGGGTTTTTACTCCCCTATAGACCTACTAAAGGTCTTTTCCTCTTCCTTAAGAAGAGACAAGGTGTACTTATAGTAACTATAGTAGTTATATAGTAGTAAGACTACTATAGCTTTAAGGCCTATAGTAGCTATAAAGGTATATATATAAGCCTTACTAAAGGTAATAGTTTTATAAGACATCTAAAAAAAAAAAGTATTAGTAATTAAGTAAAGTAGTATAGTAATAAAAAAGGATAATAAGTTAGTAATTAATTATAATAAAAAATAATAATATAACTTATAATTATTATTATAGTTATTAAAGAAAAAAAGAAAAAAGTAACTATAAATTTAGCCTTAAAGTAAATATTTACTAGTGTATAGGCTAGCCTTATAGTAAGTAGCCTTACTAATAGGAACACCTAATACTAGTAGCCTATAATTATATAATAACTAGCCTTTTTATACTAGAAGAACTATTTTTCCTTTATATCTAGGTGTATAGTAACCTACGCTAACGCCTAAGGGGGTATATTACATAGGATATTACTAACTAACACTACTCTCTAGAATAATATTACTTATTAATTTAACCTTTGCTCTTAAATATAGATACTTATAGTAGAATCTACTAAGTAAGGTAATATTTAAAGAACATAGATTATAGTACTATAGATAAAAGAAATAAGCTACTTTTAACTATATAAATTACCCCTTAAACGTACTACTTAATAATAGTTTAGCCTATACTACTTATTATTTATTAATAGTAAAGATTATACTATTAATATTAATAGCCTATATAACTTCTATTTTACCTTAGTTAAACCTTACTATACTAAAAAGAAAATAAGTAAACCTACTAATATAAATCCTTAACCTAATTAACCTATAGATACTAACTACACTAGTAAATATATAGAGGGTACTATTATTATTACTATAAGAACTAAAAAACCTATCTAAATAATAACTTTTCCTCCTCTATAGTATACCTATAGGTAACTATATAAAACCTTAGTTAATATACTATTATAGGAAACAGATAAACCCTCTAGTGCCTTCCTTTTAGCTAAAGAAAAGGCTAACCTAGTACTTATATAATAACTATATAACTAAAGTATTATTACTACACCTAGTAAGCCCTTTAAATAGTTAAGAAAAAGTAAAATATAAGGCCTTATTAACTATAGTATATTTAAGATTATTATATATAATCCTTTTATTTACTAAGGCTATATTTTTAAATTTTACTTTATTAATAAAGTTAAAGGTAAAAATAATAAGCTATATAAGAAATTATAACTTATAGTATAAGGTTATAGTAATAATAGTAAAAAAACCTTACTAGTTTAGTTACCTATAATTTAGAAAGCTAGCTAGTATATAATTTTTATATTTACCTTTTTCCTTATAGCTAATAGTAAAGTAATATAGCTATAAGATATAATATAGGCCTATATATATTTAACTTTATAACTTAACTACACTATTTATATATAACTTCTCTTTTAGATCTATAACTACTACCTTTAAGGTACTATAATAAAGGTAGTAAAGCTATTATATAGCTTTACTAAAGTAAATACTTATTAGTAAGTAACTTATAACTACTACTACTATAAAAAGCTTAATATAGTTATTACTTTATATAACCTATACTTACTCCTTTTATTTATAAAAAACCTTAACTTTATAATAATTAAGATATAGATAAATAATATAATTAGCCTAACTAGCGTTAGTTTCTTTAACTATAAGGATAATAAGCTTACTAAAGTAAAGCTCTTTATAAAAGAAAAAATTTTACTTATAAAGAATAAACCTCTAGTATTTAATTAAAGAACTATCTTATTAACTTTAGCTAAAAATACCTTTATTATACTTTACTAAAAAGGCTAAGGTATAAAGCTAAGACTTATTAATAAGAAATTACCTATAGCCTAGTAAGACTATATTTAGTAGTATACTTAAGAAGTATATATTACTTTTATTTACTAGCCTAAAGTATACTTTAACTTATTTACTATAGCCTAATATAAGGAGCTAGATAGTAAAGCTATTTAATAACTTAACTAAAAATCTAGTAGTAAATAAATATACTTAACTATAGCTTTACTTTTATTTTTTTAACTTACTTAATATAAAGCTTTTTATATTTATTAATAAATCTTTTACTAATAATTATAACTTAACTTTATAGTTAAGATTTATTATCTTTTTTACTAATAAAAAGGTTAATAATAAGTAAAGTAAGTTTACTTTTTATAGTAATATCCTTTATTTTTTATTAATTAAATCTAAATAAGTAATATAAAGTATTCTTATATTAAAAGTCTATAGTATAGTTATAAGTATTAATATAGTATATACTCTTTTTATAATTATTATAATAGTAGTAAATAAGCTTAGTAACCTATTAATTCTTATTATTACTTATACTAACTTATACTTACTATATAAGTGCTTAGTAAAGTTAAGTACTACTTATAAGAAGTACTTAATAATTAATATTATAGTACTATAATAATTATATAAGTAATATAAGCTCTTTAAGGTATAATAAATCTATAGTAATAATAACCTTACTAATAGGTTTATAAAGTCTTTACTAAACTAAGTACTTAAAAGTCTTATCTTTTATAATAAAGTAAAAATATAAATAAAAAGATAAGTTATATAAATATAATAAGAAATAATAAGAATAATAAAATATAAGATAATAAGTACTTAAAAAAAATAAGTTATATAAACTATATAGATTAATAGTAGTTAAATTTATTTAATATAAGTATATACCTTTAATAGCTATAACTAAAAAGAAATATACTTAAATAAAATAGTATAAGTCTACCTTTACTAAGTAAATAAATAAATAAATTTATAGTAGTATATAACTATAAAAAGTGTAATACTTTTACTCTTCTTGTTTTTATTATATTTTTAGGCTTTTTAGGAGAAATAAAAGCACTAGTAACTTTTACTATATAAAAAAGTTACTAGTGTTAGTATATAGGTAATATAGCTAGAGGCAGTAGGTTATATAATATACTACCTACTAGTAGAATCTTTACTTTTGCCTATACACAAGGGTGCTACTACACTTATACTCCTACTTCACCTTGTTAACTAGTTAACTATTAATAACCACAAATTTGACTACCTTTTCCTAACCTTCGTGATATCACAAGATACAGGATCCCATTAATTAACCAGTAAAAACCAACAATGTCGGCAGGAAACGTTGCCAAGTTTACAAGTGTTTGCCAGGGAGAGGCCAATGAGCTTCTCCCTTTACCCAGCTTTTGCCTCTGCCTCACCGTGCAAGCCCACGGAGGCCACAGCTGCTGCTTGTCCCGATGCGGGATGCTAGAAACGACATCCTCAAGCCCTACAATTTTTATTTTTTCTTAATGAGACTGGTCCTTGGCAAGGCCAGCATGTTGCAGTTGACGCGTGTGGGAGAAGGCAAGTTGTGCAAGTGTCATGTTTATTTCTCCTCCAATGTGGGTATCTCAAGTGGTACAGAAAACACGGCGTCAAATAGCATATACATGCAATCCCAGTCAAGGGCTTCCGATCAACCTTCTCGTCGCACGCCCCGCAGCTCCCGCATCCGGACCAACATCGACAGGCCTGCTCCGCCATGTTCGTCTATATGGATTTGTACAGGTAGGTGTAATTCAAACCAAAAAATCTGAAAAAGAGAGAGAAAAAGGTGTCTATATGCATGAAAGAATCAAAGAAGTGCCAGACCTCTAGTCGTTGCTTTTTTTTTTTTTTTGGCTTTGATATTCTAAAACATACCTGAGTTGTTGGTTGGGTACGGCTTCGCGTCATAATTGGTGCGGCCCGGCGCGGCCTCGTTCCTGTTCACGGGCTCCCGTGTCCCGCGGAGCACCGAGTCGCGGTGGTCGTCGTAGACGACGTCGACCTCGGTCGTGCGCATGATGCCGTCGTAGGTCATGATCTCCTCCTCGCTCATGGTCGGCGAGTGCGACCGGATCTCGCGGCCCTTCATGCTCTTGAGCTTGAACGTGTCGACGTGGTTCGACACCGTCGTCGTCGTCACGCGGGACTTCTTGGCCGAGTCCGTGCTTTGCCCGTAGCGGGCGCGAGAGGCCTTGATCGAGGCGAAGAACTTGGGGAACCAGCGGAGGAAGAGGCCGCGCAGCGCCGGCGCCGAGGCTGCGATGATGGCGAGGTTCGTCTCGACGGCCGACAAGGTGAAGCGGATGTCGTAGGTGGGGTCTTGCGTGTTGAGGTGGTACGAGATCTCGATGAGCACCAAGAGGCGGAGGATGCTGAAGAGGGTGACACTGGGAGATGTGTGAGAAGGGTGGGGGGTCCCGGATTCAAGCATGACGGTTTGTGTGACTTGACTTACACGGCTCCCAGGGCGAAGACGGCCAGCAGCGCGATCTTCACCCGGATGGGCATCTGCAACCCGAGGAAGATCCAGAAAGGCAGGGCCAGGAATACAACATCGGTGAAGATGGTCAAGGCGGCGGTGCTGACATAGAAGGCGGACGTGTCGATGCACTTGCCATCCTTTGGGGGGTCGCGGCCCATCCTCTCCCAGAAGTAACTAATGGGCTGGCACTGGAACACGACGGTGAAGAAGATTGCGATCATCAACGCAATGTTGAAGACGTTGAGCCCGATGATGGTGAGTCGGACCGGACGCTTCTGGCCGCTCAACCGCAACAGGAACATCAGCATCGATGTCTTGACGAGCGCCAGGATCGGATTGTACAGAATCTGGATGATGTAGTTCCACTGGAAGCCCAGCCGGGGGTCGGCCTGCAAAGGAATGTCGTATACATGAACGCCGAGGAAGGCATATCGCATGCCGAAGTAGGACGCTATCGTCTCGGCGACGGAATCGGCCTGGGAGTATCGTGATGAGCAGCCCTCCCAAGTAGATCTGGACGTCGGCAGAACAAGCTTACCGTAGCAAGACATATCAATCCATCATCTGCCGCAACGCCCTGTTAGCCACCTGTGCCGCTTTGGAACGGGATCGACCTGCGGCCAGGTCTGTGAATGCCGAATCAGGTTATGCGGATCACTCACCCCAGCCAAACTGCTTCGAGCTGATCCTGCTGTACACCCGCAGAGCCACCACGATGACGGCGACGACGGGGAAGAAGAACAGTATAAAGAACCCGATGTGTTGTAGAGGCGAGTACGGGTAAGGGTAGTCGTTCGACACGGGAGGCAGCGCGGGAGCGGCGTCAGAGGAGTTAGTGTCCTCCCGCCGGGCTAACAGCGCCGCGTGAACCAGAGCGGCGATGGTTCCCGACATGTTGGTGCTTCTCTCTTTTTACTTTTCTCTCTCTCTCTCTTGGCCGTTGTCGTTTTCCTTGGGACGATGTTTGGTAGCGCTTTCCAAGCCTAACTGAGCCGCGGCGCACAAGTATGTGGTAGCTTGGTATTTGAGAAGAGGACGTGGGAAACGGTTCAGGAAGATGGGCTGGAGACAAGAGTAGATTCCATACGCTGCCGCCTCTCTGAAATGAAGCCGAAAGCTGCTAGAAAGAAAGAAAAACGTAAGTTCTTCTTTGCCGTCCTAGGTCCAAGATGTACTGCTATCCGGCGCAGGAATCCAGATGGAGGTAGAGAAAGATCGACCAAGACCCGACGAAAAAGTCTAATCTATCTTCCCGCTCGTGCAGCGGACAGGATCGGCCAATAAGAGGAACGGCGATACCGACAGTCAAGACGTCTCTTGGTCACCTTCACCTCTGAACTGGTGACCTGTGGCGCCTGAGTTTCCAAAACAGATCCTGTTACCGGCTGCGCAGGTTGGCCATGGCAGAGCTGGAGCTCGGATGGAACACCGGTTTCCACCACTCCTTGTTGCCTGTCGGTCTGCATAGTTATACACTACACTGGACATGGATTTCTTGACTCGGGTGAGTGCGAGGTCCTTGGTCGAAGATGTTCCAGCCCTGCGTTGATCGATCTTCTTCCTCATCTCACATCCCGCCGTCGAACTATCTAAGCACATGACGGCTCGAAGAGAGGCCCAATAATGAGACTCGCGCTTGCAACTATACAGTTGGCACTACTGAGCGCCGGTGGCGTGAGAAGAGGGGGAGGGGGGTGGGCAACCGTTTGATTCATCTCACCTCCTCCTCCTTGCTCTCGTGCGGCACCAATGGACTCGCTCTTGTGAGTTCCCGTTGAAAAGCTCTCATGAGTACTCTGCCTGTTAAATTGCCCAGCAGGGAAACCAATCCGCATATGTTCGCCTCCAGACCCTTCCATCTCTGAGAAATAGAACAGGTTGAAGCCGATTCTCGCTGCAGGGCGGGCGGGTGTCAAGGTTTGGTAAATGATGTGCGAGATCGTTGGCATCATCCTATGGCTGTAGGATCATCCACCAAAATAACATCCATTCAAATCATAAGACGAATAATTTGGGTTGCTTCGATCATGCGCGTCAACGCTTGTATAAGTCTGGCGGAATATGCGCTTCGTGGAAGCTGTAGCCAACAATTCATCCATGTTCCCAGGCCAGATTCCAGGGACGCATGCACGATGGAACTATGCATGAGGTTCGGACCAGGTGAAACCGATTGCGCAACTGGGGTGCCGTTGCTAATATCACAGCTGCGGCTTCCAACGAGGGGATGGAATGCTCTGAGCGAGTTGCTGAGTTGGGCATCTCGCCGTGGTCCGCGGTTCCCGCCGCCCTCGTTGATATGGCCGAAGTTGACGAGCGAGCACTGTGAGTCGGTGGAGATGAGCGAATCGTTGGTGACAGAGCCGTTACTTCCAATATCGTTGAGGACCGTTTAGGCGTACCTTGTGTCCTATACATGCAAGTGGGGTGAAAAAGAAAGCGCATACTTTCAGCCACCGGCCGTGGCTGAAATGAAAGTAGGCGCTTTTTTTTGTGTCAACGGCGGTGCAGCTGTCTTGTGAGCAGGGCGATCAATCACAAACAAACCATGCCTCCTATGCTTCTGCGACCAACTTACTCTGTAACCGATGCGTGTTTCTCTCGCCGGGCTGTCGGAGATTGATTGCTGCCACACTTGTTCAGTCTTCCTTGTTTTGCCTCAGCGTTGTCGTTGTGGCGTATTTAGTGTTGCGAGGGCCTGTGGGTCGGTCGTCTGCTTGGTGATATGTTTATCTGCCAAGTGAGGTCCGTCGACAATGTCAAATACCCCGAAGAAGAGGATTCCGGACCCATAGCGCGCCTTGGGTACCTCTGGTCGAAACCAACTGCACCTGAGACCAAACCAAACTTGGCCTCTGCACTGGAGAGAGATGCCAGCTCGCTTGCCGCAACCAGGACACAGCTTGCACCCGGCTCGGATGGACTCGCAGGCTGAATAGATTTTATTGGAGCCGATATTGATACACCCTCAACCTGCTATGTATTTGCGCAGGACAGGGGCCGACATCACTCGGGCCAGTCTTGTCCGTGCGTGTTGTCCTGCAGCCGGATTGGCGTGCCGACTTTCCACCTTGCGCCTGGGAGGAAATACATCAGACTGGGCGGCGCCATCGGGCCGAAGTCTGGCCTCGTATCATGGCAGATTGTTGGTATAGATACAGGCAGCCGTTGCCCCGTGGCCCGCGACCTCTGGTGAGAAAACAACCCATCAGTGTCGTCTTGGAAGACTTAAGCTTTTCGTCTCAAGAAGAAGAAGAAAAGAGATGAAGGATTCGTCATGAACGTATGCACCAAGAGCAAACTGAAATAGCCAGCCCACGCATTCAGCAAGGACAGTCCCGCCTGACAGCCCTCTTGGCGCATAACTGAATCGCTGGTGAGGTGAGTTCTGCGGTGCTCATCACTCGGGCGCCCAGAGGTGACCGTGCCTTGATAGGAGGGTGCCTCATTGGGCTGGTCTTCTAACACGGCGCAGACTGTGTAGTCGCCGGTTGGTATTAGTGGATAAGTGTGGGTCAAGAAGCGGCGGAGACAAGTCGATCAAGTGGACGCTGTGGAGTACTATTTAGTGTACGGAGTAAAAAGAGGGAATAGGAAAAAAGAAAAAAGGTCCCGGGTATTGCAAATGCCCGACCAAATAGTGAGGCAGGCCGCTCCCCGTTGGAACTGGGGAACTTGACTCGCTAGCAGGAAACGCGCATTATCAGCTCCACCAGCATCTAGTATCCAGTATGCCAAGTTAAACATGAGGTGAGATTTGTCTTGCCCCGCACGCCGAGAACGAGAGAAAGAGAGAGAGAGAGAGAGAGAGAGAGAGAGAGAGAGAGAGAGGGAGAGAGAGGGGAAAGCAAATCTGGGTTGGCGGATTTGGTATATCCGTACTACGTCGTTAACCGTTATGGGCACTGACACCGTGTTTCCACCTCGCAAAAGGCGCAGGGCCGAGATGTCATGCAAGGTTTGGTCCCATAATTCCTGCGGCTGCCGGGATGCCAGACTCTGGGGCCGATTCGAAATCGAAGTTGCACGTCTCTGATGGACCGGGGGCAGGCCATCGATTCCTCTCTTGTGAGTAACCTTAATCAAGACTCCAAGACCTTTTCGCCCACTCTCTCGGGGAAAGTTTCAAAGCGTCTTGAACCTGACTGGCATGCTTGGCTCGCTTCTACGCCTTTCAACCCACAAATTCATAACCTCCCACTGGGCAACCATTGCTCATCTCCTTCGGATGTGTTCCCGCTGCCGTATCCCAACGCTTTCTACCAAGATGACTATTCGGATCATTCCAGGGTCCGGACGAGAAGATGTCAGTGGCACAATACGACTCGCCTCAATCGCTTGCTTCAGGGAGACTCGACTCTCGGTGGTCAACCCTTTTAGTGCGTCCCCTTTCATCTAAGAAAGGCATGCCATGGGCCTAGAAGAGCCTGTCTCCGTATTGGCTGTGTCGTGGCAAAAAGTGTGCCCGCTGACTCTCGGCAGCCCGTCTGCCGCTTCTTCCAACCGTCCAAATGTCTAGCGCTCTATTACTCCTCTGGATCTCCGCGTAGTCACCTTCTCCACCACCTCTCCCAGGTCACTATGCCTAGTGAAAGCGACCCACGAGCTCTTATATATCTGAAGCAACCTCGTCCGTCTTTATGATCGACACTCTCCCCTCCCCCATCTGTCTTGCAGCGACATTGCGTCTGATTCCACGTGGCAATCATGTCCTCAATGCGCTCTCTTCTCACGGCGGTTCTTCTTTCTGTCGGCCGCCTGGTTGCGGCCCAGACCCTGAAAGTTGATGGCCAAGAAGTTGGTAAGTGCCATTGCACCAAGATCAACACACTTGGTCAACCTTGAGTGACTGACCGTTTGTCCAGCTGCCAACGCTTCCACCGTTGCTCCGGCTGCGGCGGCCGCTGGCGCTCCCGCCGCCGCCGCCGCCGCCGCTGCCGGCCTCTTCGCCGAGGAGAATGTTCAGTTGACAGATGCTGTCCTTGCCAACCTCACGGCCCTTGAGCTGTCCAACATATCCCTGTTCTCCTTCGAGAACTCATCCTCGGTTGCAAAGAGATCCCTCTTGGACCGATGCAAGACTTACCCCGGAGACTTGTTGTACCCCACCGACCTGATCTGGAACATCTTTGACCTCCTCCTGGGCGGTGCTCTTACCAAGACCGTTCCTCAAGCCTCGGTCTGCTACAACGACTTCGGCGACTTTGACAAGGCCAAGTGCGATTTCCTGACCGCCAACTGGGTCAATGGCTCGCACATTCATACGGACCATCCCACGGCCATCAATGCCGTCCTCTTCGAGGGCTCGAACTGCATGCCTCCCACGATCAATGTCGGCGAGACTGACTGCAAAGTTGGCGGCCTTCCCTCGTATGTCGTCGAGGCCACTCAGGTCGCCCACATCCAGCTGGCCGTCAACTTCGCCCGCAATCTCAACCTTCGCCTCGTCGTGAAGAACACGGGCCACGACTTCGGCGCAAAATCCACCGGCGCAGGCTCCCTGTCCATCTGGACCCATAAGCTCAACAGCATCCAATACTTGGAGAGCTACCAACAGGACTCGTACAGTGGTCCCGCCCTCAAGCTCGGCTCCGGCGTCCGGGCGTTCGAGGTGTATGAAGCCGCAAACAAGTATGGCGTCACTGCTGTTGGAGGCGAGGGTCAGACTGTCGGTATCATGGGCGGCTACGTCCAGGGCGGCGGTCACAGCCCCATGTCTGGTCTGTGGGGCATGGCTGCCGACAACGTGCTTTCTTTCGAAGTCGTCACTGCCGATGGCCGCTTCCTGACTGCCAGCGAGTCCCAGAACCCTGACCTCTTCTGGGCCCTTCGCGGCGGTGGTGGCTCGACCTATGGCGTCGTCACCTCTGCCGTCGTCAAGGTGTTCCCCAAGATCAACATCACCACCATGACCTTTGCCTTCTCTACTGGGGCAAACGTCACCAACGACCAGTTCTGGGCGGCCCTCCGCGCCTACTTTGATGGTTTCATCGAGTACGCCGTCGACAACGCAAACTACGAATACTTCCGCATTCAGAACCTGGGCACCTCTTTCTCCTTCGACATGGGACCTTGGTGGGCTCCCAACATGACTGAAGCGCAGCTCCGTGAGCTCACGGCGCCTCTCTTTGCCAAGTGGGCCGAGATCGGCGTTAACGTCGAGCCCGTCTACAAAGAGTACGACAATTTCAATGATGCCTGGCTCGCCTCATTCCCCTTGGAGCCCTGGGGTTCAAACGCCGTCCGCCAGGGCAGCCGTCTCTTCCCCAAGGCCAACTGGGAGGACGAGACCAAGCTCAACGCGACCTTTGAGGCCATCAAGTCCGTCGTCGAAGACGGTGGCTTCATTCTTGCCTTCAACATCATGGCCGCGCCCAAGACCGGCTTCCCCGACAACGCCGTCAACCCTGCCTGGCGTGAGGCCGTCATGCACTGTATCGCTGCCGTCCTTTGGGACCCCACCGCCGAGGAGTCTGTCAGAAAGGCTGCCAGCGACAAGCTCACCTTCGACTGGGTCCAGAGCTGGCGTGACGTTTCCCCCGGTGCCGGTGCATACATGTCTGAGTCAGACTACATCGAGCCCAACTTCACACAGGCATTCTGGGGCACCAAATACGAGAAGGCTCTCGATATCAAGAAGAAGTACGACCCCAACGACGTCTTCTACGCCCATAACGCCGTCGGCTCCGAGAACTGGGAGATGTCGGAGATGCTTCTAGGCAACCTGCCGTCCCAGAACAGTAAGCTGTGCCGCAAGCGGTAAAATGTTATCGTATAGTTGAGCCGTACACTCTGGCAAGAACGGTCTGCATTATTGAAGTTCTCTGTAAATATTGTTGCTGCATAGAAGAGTAGCCGGCGTTACATGCCACCTATATCCCAGATCCTGGATGATCAGTAGACGATCTCACGATGCGTTCGAATAGGGATTACAGTATCCCGACACACCAATAAGACTATTGAACTATTGATTCAGTGATCCGGCATTCGTCTAACTCGACATCGTATTTTTTTTTTTTTTTTTTTTTGGTTGGCCCATGGCAGGCACACAAATCGTCGCTCATCCCGGGTGGTGAAATGCGGCAGGCAGCACGGAACGTTCAGTTGTTAACGACTTGGACAATGAAATGATGACAAAGCTGGAGACATTTTCCTGTCGAGTACGTCATAACTGACAATATAGAAGCCGCAGACAGAATAGTAATTCAATCAAAGAAAATGTGAGGCGTAGTTGAGCTTTCGTCTGTCTGTACAGTTTCTACCCAAAATGGTGATGGTTGAGTTGAGGTTGTTGACGTCGCAGTCGTGGGGTCTGGGGTGGAGGTACGTACTGGCACTTGAACAGACCCGCTTTAAATTCACGCTTGGCCCAAAGAGATGGGGCGCATTAACCTGCCTTGCGAATTTCAAGGTGACATCTTTCCAAATTCTATCCAGACACAGCTTCACCCAAACAGCCATCCATCATGGCCTCGATCGCGGCATCTTTGGCGTCGGCCCTCCCGAAACCCAAGTACACTGGAGAAGATGAAGATATACCTTCGCGCGCCCAACAACGCGGCCCGCGTATCGTCGGGGCTGGCCAGCTGGACGAGACGCAAATCGTGCTGAAGCGATCCGGCCCTCCTCCCTACCAGCAGCGAGCAGGATGGCGACCGCGAGGACCCGAGGACTTTGGCGACGGCGGCGCGTTTCCCGAGATCCCGATTGCTCAATACCCTCTCGACATGGGAAAGAAGGGGGCGACAACCAGCAACGCGCTCGCCATCCAGGTCGACAGCGAGGGCAAGCTCGACTACGGGGCCATTGCGCGTCAAGGCCACAGCGAAAGCCGAATCGTTCACACCTCGTTCAAGGACCTCATTCCTCTTCGCCAACGCGCAGATGCGGGCGAGATCGACCTGAGCAGGCCGAGTCAAGAAGAGGTGGCAGCGACGGCGGAAAAAACAAAGAACGCGCTGGCGGCCTTGGTCAGCGGCGCCGTAGCCTCGCAGAAGCCGAAGACCCTCAGCGTCGGGAGGCGAAACGACCCTACATTCGTGCGATACACGCCGGCAGACCAGATGGGAGACCACTCTAAGAAGCAAGACCGTATCATGAAGATCGTCGAGAGACAGAGAGATCCGCTGGAGCCCCCCAAGTTCAAGCACAAGAAGATTCCCCGCGGCCCCCCAAGCCCGCCTCCTCCGGTCCTGAGGTCGCCGCCACGGAAGTTAACGGCCAAGGACCAGGAGGATTGGCGCATCCCCCCACCGGTGTCCAACTGGAAGAACCCCAAGGGTTTCACGGTCCCTCTGGACAAGAGATTGGCAGCCGACGGGCGCGGGCTGCAGGACGTGGCGATCAACGACAAGTTCGCCCAGTTCTCCGAAGCCCTGTACGTCGCGGACAGGCACGCCCGCGAAGAGGTCAGGCAGCGTGCAGCCATGCAACAGCGCCTGGCGGAGAAGGAAAAGGCACAAAAGGAAGAGAACCTTCGGATGCTGGCCCAGAAGGCTCGCGAAGAGCGTGCCGGCGCCGGCAGGCGGGACTCGAGGTCACGGTCGCGTTCGCGGTCACGCAGCTACAGCGGCTCCGACTCGGAGGACTCGGAGGACTCGGAGATCCGGGAAAGAGAGAGAGCGAGGAAGGAGAGGATGCGCGAAGAGGAGAGGAAGCTCCGGCAATCACGCATGGGAGCCGAGAGGAGGGTCCAGGTCATGGCCAGGGAGCAAAACCGAGACATTTCAGAGAAGATCGCCCTCGGCCTCGCCAAACCCACACAGTCCAAGGAAACCATGTACGACTCGAGGCTGTTCAACCAGTCGAGCGGCTTCGACAGCGGTTTCAACGAGGACAACCACTACGACAAGCCGCTCTTTGCGGCACAAGAAGTCATCAGCAGCATCTACCGGCCAAGGGCCAACATGGATGACGAAGAGGACGAGGCCGCGGGCGACAGGGAGATGGCCAAGATTCAGAAGTCTAGCCGCTTCGGCGAGGCTCTGGGCAGAGGCACTTTCAAGGGCACAGAAGACGTTGAGGTAAGTGCATCATTCCCGACGCGATAGCCAGGAGCAGTAGCGCGCTAACGGATGCTTGTACACAGGCAAGGGAGGGTCCCGTGCAGTTCGAGAAGGACGCGGGAGATCCTTTCAACGTTGACAAGTTCCTGTCCGAGGTGGAGCAAAACTCTTCGTCGAAGAGGGGATACGGACTTCAGGACGACGATTCCCGGCAGCCCAAGCGGGCGCGGGTAGAAGAGGACGACGACGAGTAGAGAGGCGGAATCAACATAGGAGCACTCCGGCAGTGAGGTCCGTTGCAGGACAGGGTGGGAGTTTTTTTGGCTGGCACATGGAGATGACGGCTCATCCATAGCATTAGATACGGGCCGTAAGCTGCGACATTGCAGGCGCTTCAATGCGGCATGATGCAAGAGAAGTAAAGAAAAAAGGAAAAGAAAAAAGGTAATTTGATGAGCTAGCTGTGTACAGAAGCCGTTGCGAGGCTCGGTGACGGGAGACGGCGGCTGCCTGCGCAGACGCGGCCGGTTTTTGAAGGGCAGGGAACCGATCTGGCGAGCTCGCAGCGACGTTTGTCGTTTCAGGGAACGTCGAGTTCATGCGGACCTGGTTCTATTGTTTGGCGGTTCTGCTCCGGCTCGACGAGTTAAAGCCGAAAACTGGACGGGACCCAAGGGGAGAGAGGGGGGGGGGGGAAGAGATTGAGACGGAGATCAGGCAGGGTGGGAAACGCGGGTGGGTGCTGGAGCATTGGACGTTCCGGTCTATAATTACGTTGATAACCCGGGCTCGGTTGACAGGTGGTTGAAACATCGCAGCGGTCTTTCTGGGTCGGAGATTCACCGCATCTCGGCCAATGACCGTCCAGCGCCGGCGACATACGTGATGGTGGGGTCATTCGACAACCAGGAAGAAGCACGCGGGGGGGGGGGGGGGAAACGATACTGCGAGGTGAAGAGAGTTGCTGTTTTGAAGCATCGCGAGAGACCTGGGGATGCCGGGCGAGTTGTTGTTGTAAGCTTAATGCGACCCTACTACCGGTAAGGGGAAAACGCGTCATACTCGCACCTTGGTAAGCTCAAGCATTTGGCCAGCATGAACAGGTTTAAGCAGCATGAAGAGGATGACGCGGTTTGCGTGTGTAAATACCGAATCAGAGTTGTACTTCGCATCTCGGTGTCGGGCATACTCTCAGACGCGTGTGTTATGAGGTGCCGACCAAGATCATCCCGATCTCATCGAGGTGTCGGCGTTTGCCCATGGCTCCGAGCCGGGGTTTCCACACACGCAGATCAACGCGGGAGGGCTGCGACCCTCAATGCGGGTTGACCGTCGAACACGGAAGGCCGGGAGTGCGGGAGAGAGGAATACGATCAGCACCAAGGCCGATATGATCAGCCTTGTATCTTCATGGAGCCGACTCTGCCCTCGTCCATTCCCCTCCTTCTTCTCTGTCTTCGTCTGCTTCTTCCTCGCCTTGGCTTGTGCGTGTCCATGTTATTGGGGACACATGCCTCGGACTTTGGCTTTGGGACGAGCAGAGTGCGTCTAAGAGCTGGCACCTGCTCTGCATCATTTCGTCCGCACAATGTCGTACGAAAGAAAGCGTAGTTAGCGTCTCCCGATCGGACGGTTGTTCGTCAGTGAAATGCCATGTGAACCGGCTTGTCATCGGGAGTGAGGGAGGGAGTAGCTTTGCACGGGGAACGGGATTAATCACACACGGCTCGGGAAAAGGCATCACCGGCTGTGAAGACTCCTTTTCTTTCCTTTTTCTTTTCCTTTTTCTTTTTTTGGCGTTGATAATGGGGACTTCGAGGCGTCGTCCAACTTGACTCCTGCCGCCAAGCCCTTTAGCGCGGTCGCGTTCTTCGACCTCGAAGCCGTGCCCCTGAAGCACAGGGCCGAGGCTCCAGTGCATGCCGCTGAGGACTCCAAGCCCCCCCCCCCCCCCCCCCCCCAAGCCTGCAGCCGCTATGAGGCGCTATGAGGCGTCGATCTCGCCGGCTGTTTCATCCGACGACATATCAACCTCACCCTTTCTTCATCCCGTACGACATCGGATTTCTTCTTGCTGCGGTTGGCACCGACGCGGCACCCGCCAGCCCTCGCCCACAAGAAGCAAACACGGGATGGTCCATCTGGGAGGGGAGCCAAAGGCAACGGTCTTGTCTCTAGGCTACCCCTTTTCTTGTCGTCCCGAGAGACAACCAAAACTCGGCATTGTCTGGTCCTTTTGAGTTCGGACCGAGAGCCCTGCCTCGAACCTCTCGATCCTGTGTTGAGCTCAGCCCATCCATCCCATCTGTGATTCTCGTCTTCATCGATCCTACCTAGGTACAACAGCACGCTCCCACCCATCCGCTCTCTTCAGATGGTTCCGTCGACGTCTCCTCGCGCCCGGCTCGTTATTTATGTTCGAGACGTGTCTCCGCCTCCAAAGCATGAACGAAGCCCCGTCCCCACACAAAACACCCCAGACGCATTGGCCGCCGATCAGAGACAGCATGATTTTGGCAGGACCTGACTTTTTTTTCATTCTCGGGCTCTGCAATGCAACTTTAGTCCCGACCCCCGTCCCTTCCTTCAGCCTGTCAGGGTGCTGTCCTTGCCTGTCAGAGGGCCTGTGAGGCGTCATGTCCTGTCTCGTCCTATCATGTCTGTCTACCGCTTGGCTCCTGCAGCCTCTTCGGCGCCTCTATCCAAGACCACGTCCGTGTCCGCATTCGGCAACCCAGGCGGAGCTGCCCGTCCTTCTCTTCGTTTCTTCATGCTCTCAACCCCTGAAGTATACCATTCCCAGGGTGGCAGCTCGGACGCACAGTCGAAGTTCGAATGCCAAGCTGGCAGCTCGTTGTCGGGGACCTTGTATCATATCCTGACCCACGCGGCGGCGGCGTCGTGGTCGTTGTTATCGTCTTGGCATCACATTGAAGAACATCAGCGATCGATGCTTATTTCTCCCTGCTTCCCACCCCTCCCCCGACTAGAGCTCAGTGATCCTCTTTCCTCATCTCTCCCCCTCCTCCTCCTCCCTCCTCGTGTGTATCTATGTTCCCTGCCCGGCCTTGGCGTTTATTTCCACCTTGACGTATCCTTTAATTCTTGTCCGTAATACATCTTCACGCCTTCGAGAGGACTGCGCCGCCGTTTTACGGTTAAGTCGTATAACCACCGTAACCGTCTCTGTTATCAAAAAGTCCTTCTTCCGCTCACCCGACTTACCCGTCCGCTTCCGGCCCAACCCGCGCCATTGGCAGGATCAAAGCTGCCACAGTAATACGAGCAACTCCACGTCCGATCCTCGCGCGTTTGGTCCTCTCCTACACTACTGCAAAGGACGCATCGACGTACCTTGCAGATCAAGTCGGCCCAGTTCTGCTCCGCCGGCCACTTCAGCTAGCCATTGGACCGGCCTTGAGGTCCACCCACATACGCGTACACATCACGTATGATAGGCGTAATCGTCGCTCTAGTAAATCGGGGAAGCGTTACAGCCTGAACAAGATGGTTCCAACTCTTGGCCCAGCCGCTTCGCTCGGCTACACGCCGTTTGAGTACTGGAAGGGTCCGAAACCCGTCCTTCCCAGATCAAGGCGTCAATCCCAACCCGTCGCTGTCGATCGGCAGCCGCTGTTGCCCACCTCCACACCGGCTCACAAGCCCAAGGCAGTCTCAACAGGGCCTAGTCAACGGCTTCCGTCCAGCATCTTCGTGACGGAGCCAGGCACTTACACCAGGTGGTCAGACAATAACAGCAACGCACCCTTTGGGGAAATCCTCGTAGTGCCGCCCAAGGTGCTGATCCACCCACTTTTCCGCGATGAGATAAAGACCCAGGGGTGGACCCGGGGGTATTCCCCTTACCCGGACTCATTGAAAGACTTTGAACACAGCGACACCATGGGCCCATACGGATTCTCCAACGAGAGCCTCGGCCGGAAGACGGCGTGGTGGAGCCCGAAAGGGTGGACGAAGAGGATCTGGGCCGGCGTCGGCGGAGGCGTCGTCCTGATCATCATCGTCGTCGTCGCCGTCACCGTCATGCTGCAAAACAAGAACCAGTACCCCTGATTACACAAAGCTGCCGTACAAGCTGAGTGACACGTGTACGAAACAGTGCTCAGGGTCGTCGTCGCCCGTTGCGCGAGCCTCTGGCTGATGATGACAGACTCGGGAGAGGCCTTTTTCGACAAGTTCAACTACTTCAACACTTACGATCCAAGTGCGTCTCCTCTGCAGTGAAGAAGGCTGCCTGGCGCAGCAATACTGACCCGGTTTTGGGGGTAGGGGGGGGACAGCGGGAGGAATGGTCCACTACGCCGGCGCCGCGGAGGCCAAGAGCAGGGTACATGACCACCCCCCCTTTCCCTTCACTCTCTCACTATCTGGGAGCCACCGGCTGAGCACAGTTGGTTCGCAACTGACAGAACCTCACCTACGCCACATCGGACACCGCCGTCCTGAGGGTGGACGACACCGTCGGCCCGACGTCGACCCCGGACGCGTCAACCGGCCGGTCCTCGGTCCGCGTCGAGTCCAAGACGCAGTACAACAAGGGCCTCCTCGTCTTCGACGTGAAGCACACGCCCTACGGCTGCGCGAGCTGGCCGGCGCTGTGGTTCACGGACCCCGACAACTGGCCCGATGCCGGCGAGATCGACGTCATGGAGGCCGTCAACCAGGGCACCGACGGCAACCAGATGACGCTGCACACGACGTCGGGGTGCGCCATGGACGTCAAGCGCAAGCAGACGGGCCAGACGCCGCACACGGACTGCAAGAACTCGACCAACAGCAACGCCGGGTGCGGCGTCGAGGGCCCCGCGTCGACGTACGGCACCGGCTTCAACGACGGCGGCGGCGGCTACGCGGCCATGGAGTGGCGCGACGAGGGCATCCGCGTGTGGCAGTTCTCGCGCAGCTCCGTGCCGCCCGACGTCACCGGCCAGGCGCCCGACCCGAGCGGCTGGGGCGAGGCCCTGGCCGACTTCCCCAACACGTCGTGCGACGTGGGCTCCCACTTCCGGAACCAGTCGCTCATCATCAACATCGACGTCTGCGGCGCCCTCGCCGAGGCCAAGTACGCCGATTCGGGCTGCGGCGGCGGCGCCAGCTGCGCTGAGTTCCAGGCCAACAACCCGGACGCCTTCAAGACGACCTACTGGGAGTTTGGGGCATTTAACTTTTACACGGCGTCGTAGGATGTGGAAGGGGGTGGGGGGGGGAGGGAGGATTGCCTGCTGCAAGAGTGGGCTAGGACCGTGACGGGCTCGGTCCATGACTTTTTGTTTCCTCTTCTTTTCTGCTTTCGTGAGCCAGCGAGTACCAACTGCCCTTTTATTTTGGGTCTTCTTTTCTTCCCCTGCCTGCCCGACGAGTACAGAGAACGGGTTCAGTTTGGGATCATCACCTTGGGATCGACGGACGGAGGAGAGGGGCTCGGGCGACCGAGTGGGAGGCTCCTTTCCGATAGGTACTTAATGTCTACAACGGTCCGTCTATATTACAATTCTATTCTTCAACCGACGTTCCAATCGTCGTCCAGCGGGACCGGAGCCCCCCCAACAAGAATCGTGATCTCGTCACCCTCTTCCCCCCCTCGCGCCGTCGGCCCGTTGTGAGAGAGTGTGTACACGCCCTCATAGTGTAAATAGGAGGCTTCCTCCTTTACAGACAAACACATACACACACACTCCTTTGAAATCAAAGTGGAGAGAGTTTTTTATCTATACCACCCCTCGGCCCCCCTCTTCAAAGGCCGCTTCTTTCCCGCTCCCTCGAGCAAACCGCAGGAATTCCAGGGGAGCCCCTTTCCTCCCCCATAACGCCGTGCAATGCAAAACCCATCTTTTGGTACATGTACAGAACGTGACTCTTTCGTCGTGAACAAGCCACACACACACACACACACACACACACACACACACGCAACCCACCCTGCGTGACCCCCTATTCAGACACAAAAAGATCCAAACGGCCGAGCCCGCTCTCACTCGTCCTTGGGCTGCCGCATGTACGCGTCGATGGCGGCGCTAAAGGCCGCAAAGGCCACGCAGCCGCCGAGCGCGGCCTGCGGCCCCGCGTTCTTTGCCAGCAGGCCGCCCGTCAGGCACCCCGCCGCGACGCCGTTGGCGATGTCGTTCTTGGCCCGCAGGCCCTCGATGCCGCACTCGATGCCGGCGAAGAGCCCGCCCACCTTGCCAAAGTTCTTGGCCATGCTGTACGACCGCACGCCCATGTCCTTGAAGCCCACCTTGAGCTGCTGGCGCAGCGGTAGGTCCGCGATCGGCGTCACCGTCGTCTGCCCCGCCGTTGTCGCCGTGTGGAAGGGGGTGTCGTAGGACATCTGTCATGCGCGCACACGGGCACCGCAAGTCAGTCATTTTTTTTTTTAGAAAAAAATGAAAGAAAAAGAAGAAGAAAAAACAAGTCCGAAAGTTTCGAGTCGAGAGAAAGGGGGGAGGAACAAACGTACAGACGCCATGAACATGCCGAACAATCCGCCCATGCCGAAACCCATGACTCCGGACATGATGCTCTTAGTGAAGCAGTTCTCCATGAAGTTAGTCATCTACGCAGACGTTCAATTAGCCTCCCGTTCTTCAGTAAAGCCGATTTCCCTGCGAACGCATTGTAGCAGAGGCAGCAGAGGGCACTAGTTCGATGGCTTACGGCCTTCATCTCAGGGTCCGGAGGTCCCAGGCCGGCTGCTGCAGCGCCGGGGGTTTCGCCTTGCGGTATTTGCGACGGCATCTGACCACCGCCGGGGAAAGCCATCGTTTTGAATGGTAGGACGGAAGTCGTGTAGGGAGCGGCTCGGTTTGAAATACGCCGGTAATGCGATCGCGACGCGCAGTCCAGGAGTGCGTAGGAGCTGATGGATGGATCCCGAATATTTCTGCCAGCAAAGACCGCCCGTTGAATACTCGAGCAAAATTTCGATGCTTATCTTATCGGCATATGGGGCACGTGCTGTGCGCCAAGACCCGACCGACCTCCGGGCGGGCTATCCCGACCTTTGGCGGGGCGAATGCCGCGTCGTCTCCGCATTATACTTTCGGGGGCACGGGTGACTAGCATATATCCGGACTCAAATGAACTCTAAACACGATAATGTTTGGCCGACTTCGCCCCAGACTATGCTACTAACAACCTCGGGTCAATGCGAATGTTGACCGTTTCTCTTTCGAGTGAGCTACGTGAATTCTGTTCTCTATCGTGAGAGCGCGCGCGGATAAAGGCCTGCGGTGGTTCTTGCTTGGCCTACCATGAGAATGCCCTCCGATGTGGAAAGGCAAGAATCGAGACTAGAGGTGCCTGCTATAGACCCCAGAACCATGAAACTGTGCGCATATCCCTGGCATTACCACCGTCTACCGATAGCGGTCGTGGATACATTGTCGGACAAACCCCCCTCCCCCTCAAGCCCCCTTACATGTCGTTCCTTCGGCATCCAAGATCGCGCGACGGTCGCCTTACATTACCGCAAAAACAGGTCACCAACCCCGTTTCTCAATGTTCTCGTCCGGTCGACGTGGTCGAGGCCGAGATAGTCGTCATCGTTCGTCGCCACGTTCCACAGCTCGTCATCTGAATAAATATTAGCAAAGCAGGATGATAGTGGCTTTGGACGCTCTTACCATCATTGAGGTATTGTGGCTTTGAGAAGTGGGATCTCTTGACCACGGCAAACTTGATCTTCTCGAAGCTCTTGCCCTTCAGACCAGTCCGCTTTTCCAGACGCTTCTTGGTGTCTGCGAATTTTTCGCCCTGCCCAGTGTTAGTCTTTCGCATCCTATTCGTCGACAGTCCTGGCACGTACCTCGATGAGCATGAATTTGAAAGGAACGCCGTGGACCCTGCTCGGCTCGTTCTGGAAATGGAACACCTGAATGAAGTTGCTTGCCTCCTCCTCGTTAATCTCTTCCTCGGGAACCCGCTCCGCAAAGACGTTGGTGTAGTCGTTCATGCTGATAACGGGATATTCGCGTGGCAGTTCGCGGTAAAACTTGTGGCTACTGGTCTCGTACACGCGAATGCGTCCGCCCTGGACCTCGTCAGGAATGCCTGCCTTCTTAATCAAGACCTGAATAAGGTCCTCAATGTTGCCGTTCTTGGCAACGAGAAGGTCAAAATGCTCCTGCGTCGAGTCAGTATGGCCCAGTCTCTTGATGTCCGCATTGCCACGTACCTCTTTCGTGATGCCTTCGCTGAGCCAGGTGATCTTAACAGTCTTCTTCGTGTCCAGCTCGGCCAAACTCATGTCCAATACTTCAAAGTAGAAGGCATCCGTCCGTTGACTTGAGCTGAGCTGATTGTATCCAGAGGGGTTCAGGATGAGCTGCAAACTTTGATTGACTCCGCGCTTCACTGTTGTCTTGGGGTTTCCGGTAGCCGAGTTGACGGTCCAGAAGCGGATGTGGGTGGGGTCGACACCCAGTCTGTCACCAACGCGCTCTGCAAGGACGTCGTAGCTGATCTTGGAGTTGAGGACGAGCTCGAACGGAGGGAACTTTTCGGGGTTGCAGCGGGTCGGGTGCGCGTGGAACTTGACGGTCTTCTTGTTGTGGAGGAAATCGTAGTACTCCCTCGCGTCGTCGAAGCGGTCGACCTTCTTCGGCGGCTCTTCTGCTGCTTGCTTGTCGCCCAGTCCCAAACGCTTCTCGAGGATGTTCCTGTCTCCCTTGCGCTCAGTCGTCTTCTGGAAGCAGATGATATCACCGTCCTGCAGTTCTGCGGCCTTGAGAGACTGCTTCGGCTTCAGGCCCTCGATCATGGTCGGCTTGATTTCCTGCGCAAGAGTTAGTAACGCCTATGAATAGCACATGCAGGTCATCAACGCACCTCCCAGAGGGCAATCTTTTCGTCCGACGGCAGCTTGTCGCCCCAGCCCATCTTCTTCATAATGATGGGGACCAGCTCTTCAACCTTCTTCTCTTTGCTGATGTAGACATGGCCGATGCCGTGAAGGGACTGCGCCTCGACGTCGAAGTGCTTGAGGAAGATCAAAATGAGATCGTTCTTCACAACTACGCCGTTCAGCTGTCCTTGATAGGTCGGCCAGACCGCTTCGCCCTCGGGCGTAATCTCCTCAGCGACCTCGGCCCAGACTCTCAAGAACTGATCACGGTGCGCGGCCGCTCTCTGGAAGCACTCCTCCACTGTTGGACGCAGATCCATGATGGGCTGGTCGGGGCGGATGGTCTTGTTTTGACGGTTGACCATGATCCAGAGACGGACCTTGCGAGGGTCCAGCTCAAGAGATTCCGCAATGGTCGCCACCAGCTCTTCCATCGTCGAGGAGCGAAGCACACGGTATGATTTGGGCGCGCCCTCATCTTCGGCATAATCCGCATCGAATGAAGTCAGGTCGGTGCCGCCGTGGGCCTTGAAGGTTTGCTCCGTGATGACCTTGACATAGATGTAAAGGTGCTGCTCCTCCTTCTCCTTGCGTTTGGCCTCTCTGAGAGCGGTCTCCTCATCGAATTTCGATCGCAGGTGTAGGGGAATGTCCTCCTTGGTGACGGGGCACAAAATGTCGTCCAAACGCGACTGGCGAATGTAAACCAGCATGTAGGCGCTGTTCTGGCGCACGACTGGTGTCTTCTTCTGCAGGGGCGCCCGGGGGTTGCTGGCAGGGTGCGTTCGGTATTCCCCACCAAAGTTCTCCTCGAGCACTTCACGCATCGTAGCCTTGGTGACCTTGTCGTCGTCATACTTGTAGAACCATCCGTCCTTCTCGGGCTTCAGGAACGCGTAGTAGTGGCCGGCGTTCAGGTCACCGCTATGGACGAGCACGCCATGGAGCTGATACGTCCAGGGCTCCGATTTGTCGGCATCCTCCGCAAGGTACGGCGACGCATCAAACACCTCAGGGAATTCGTACCGGTCGTTGATCTTCATCATGGTGTCTCGTTGAATGTCGTATTCGAACCGCTTCAGCTGCAGGTGCAGAACATTGGGAAAGCTCTGAAAGATGACGCCCTTGTTGGCATCCTGCAGCTTGAACTCGTCGCCCGCGTAGTACTGGTTTTCGCCATCCATCTTCTCGACCTGAACGTAGTCCTTGAAACTGTCAAGCAGGTTCTTGTTGCCGCTGACGTTGAGCTGGATATCCCAGAAGTCTTCGACACGGCTGGACTCGTAGTCGACGTTGACGCAAGAAATGTAAGTTTTTATCTTACCACTGAACATCTCAGGGAGGACGTGCTCAGCCGGGGTGCCCTTCATCCTTTCTTCCATGCGCTCCATCAGCTTTCGCGACAGCTCTTGGACGTCCTGCTGTTCAAAAATGTGCCTCGTCTCCCAACCGAAGGACTTGGTCAGCTCGTTGGTTCCGACAGCCTGCTCGGAAGTCTGCAATTGGTAAAAGAGGCGTTGCAGAGTATATGCGCTGTTGCCCATGCTCTCTTCGCTCTGGGTGGGAATTTCGTAGATGGCCTATGGCACGTCAGCACTTGATCTCGTCGCATGGGAAGGATCGATCGTACTTTGCGGAAAGCATTGGTAAAGTACAACGACTGAAGCAGAGAGTTGAGGTAGCAAGTGGCGCCTTGGTTGCGCAGGCCGACGTAGCCCGTCTCCTTCTTGGAATCGTAGTTGTTGAAGTTGTGCCACAGGACGCCCGTCTCGTCCCTGACAACGCGTACGTAAGCAGTGATGTTGGCGGTCTCATTCTCGCACAGAGGTCGGCTTCCACCCTCCCAGGGCACGTTGAACATCTTCCGAAGCTCGAGGAATCGGGTGAAACCCCAGTCTGACTCCTCCTTGGTGAAACGATGATGCGCTGTGTGATGGCTGTATAGGCTCGGGTCGTTGGGGTTCCAGAGGACGAGGGCGAACTGAACGCAGCAGCTCCAGTTTTCAGGAATGTTCGATGGCTCGAATCCGTGCTCGAGGTAGATGGAGCACTGGTCAACGTTATTGCCATGAGGAAAGAGCAGAATGCGCCTGGGCGTGAATGTCAGCGAAGCCATCATAGAAGATGGCCGCAGGGAACCACGAGTAGGAGGAAGCTTACCATGGATAGCCACCGGCTTGAAAGACTGGGCCGTGCTCCTTCTTTGACATTGACCTCCATGCTTCAACCGTCCATGTGTTGACTACGTCTTCGACGATTTCGGGCTCATCGTGGAGGGGCGGGAAGATAATCTCCTTCATAGCATCGACTGTCCCGAGTTAGCCGGATGGGGCAGGGGGGGCTGTGGAAGGGACTGGCAATCCTACAGTCGTTTGCCAAGGGCAAATCTTGCAGCTGTTCGGCCTCATTGTCGAGGTTGTCGGGGTTGATGATGGCAATGGACTCCTTCTCGGGGTCGGCCACGCCGACGTATTCGTCGGTGTCGACTACCATCTCGTTCGGAGAATGAATATCGTTGTTGTAGCTCTACGGCAGTAGAAGTCAGGATTAGCCAAGGTCGCGGCCTAGTGTTGTGGACGGTAGGAGAAGGGCAGCCGAAGTGGGAATGCGTAGAATGGTAGGTGACAGGTTTCGGTCTAGTAGATAGCTTGGCTCGGTCGAATGACGGCGGGGTATGGAAAAGTAGGGGGGGTGAAGGTGACGGGAAGCAGACGGAAATGAGGAATAGACCAGGGGAGAGGGACAGAGAAAGGATGCAGAGACGAAGCTCAAAGGCAAGATGCAAGGAAGGAAGACAGTTAGGTGAGAGGGGCAAAATGGCAGCTATTGTCTCTGAATGTGGTTCGTGGCTTACCATAGTCTACCTGCAGTGGCGTGTGAAAGAAATGGGGGAGCGAGAGCGGATGCCGTTGCCAGTCGGGAAACCACAGCAAAAATGGCGATTTGCGCCAATGCTGCTTCGATGACGAAGTGAAAGCCGCAGCGGCAGGAAGGCTGCAGATGATGGGCGGGCAGGCGGCAGGCTGCGTAGAGGACCCAAGAGCAGCGGGTGCAACGAGCAATGGTGCCTTCTTCAAGAGAAGCGTCGGTTGTAGCAAGATTGGTGCAGGTTGGTGGTGAGGAAGAGATCTTGCATGAACAAAAAGACAAGACCAGGAAGGTGGAGGCGGCGGCGACGGCGGCGACGGCGGGCTGGTCCAAGCAGGTGCACCGTGGGCAACAGTTGCAGTGTATAGCTTGGTCGGTAAAGGCAAGGTGAGGTAAGGGTAAGGCAAGTCGAGACGGAGCCCGGGTACAAGGCAGGCAGGCAGTCCAGTCAGTCAGTCAATCAATCAACGCAGCAAGTCAATAGTCAGTCAGCGCTGGCTTCCAGTGAATGAGGGTGTGCTGTGAGGCGTGATGCACCAGGCCGAGCAAATCCAATCGTGGGGAAGAAAAGGTTGGAGACGACGAGTCCAGATTCGTGGTGAGGCGCAGCACTTCATACGTAGTAGATGGTGTGCGTGGCAGAGTGTAGAGTAGAGCACCGGCAGAAGTACAGTGGCAGCCACAAGCCAGCAAGGGGGTGGAGGGGGAAGACAGCCCGCCCAGATAGTGGGCGACACCACTGGAGATGAATGGAGTGTGAGAGAAGCATTACCTACCTAGGTACCTACATAAATAGCACAATGGGGACTTTGACTTGGTCAGGTAGTTTAGGTACTGTCTGTTAGTCATCTCGCCGGCTACGACGCAAAAGCCTTAATATAAAGCCCTTACGTGGAATCTGTTTCGGAGGCTGGCCCCGCTCTCCCACGGCCCAAGGACCATTTATGCCGGCCAGCTGCACCAGAGTGTGAGTGCTGGGAGGCCAAGCTGCCCCCGCTCCCCCCCCCCGCTCCCTTCTCATTGGAGAGAATATCATCCCACCCTCCGATGACGTTACCGTGGCCGTGGCCGTGACCGCCAGCAGAGCTGCTTCCCTCCCTGAGGCCCTTTCACCTGTCATCTCACCAATGCTTCGTCAGTGTTGCAGTGTAACGTCTTGAGCTATATATCACGAAACCAAACAACCAGGAGGCATTACTCCAGGAATCTCGTTCATCACGCCGCCTGAAACCTAGATCCCGAAATCTGGCCTGGGGTTCCAAACCTGACCCTCCCCTGTGAGCTGGTCGTCTCGCTCTCCACGCCTGTCAACTCTAGTCCAAATATCACCACGCCTTGGTTTTCGGTGACTTTCCTCTCAATAGGGAACCAAGCACGTGTGCCGACAAGTAAAAGACACAGCATCCAATGGGGTCCGCGGTGCTTTTACTCCGGCAGTACCACGAAGCATTGAATTCGGCCGATGTGAGCTTCGCCAGCTGTGACAACATGCGCCTTAGTCATGGGTTAGTGTGGCTCGATTCATCCGAGGTGGGCGCGTCTCCTCAGCCTGATCCTGAAGGTGGCCCAAGATAACAAAGGCAACGTGCCGCAATGTCGTAGGACTGGGCTGCAAACGACTCATATGACAAGCTTGGGCGATCGACATGGACTGCGACATGGACTGCGTAAGCTTATATACAAGTACGAAAGCCCCATATCTAACTACCGTCCGATCCGAAGCATTCCTTAGCTTATAGCTAAGCTGCCTCATGGCCCTTCCTGGACATGGCCGTGTCCAACGGCGCAGGCTCCCCTCCGTGGCCGAAAGTAAAGTCGGTGATATTCAACACCCCCACTCGGTCCAATCAGTAATGCAGACCAACACCGACATAGAGCTTTATCCCCTGCTACCATGTGAACTAGCCTGCAACTACACTACTGCCGCTCGAATCCCAGCTTCCTAGTAGCCCATGACGCGTTATGGAAAGGTGACGCTTCCAGGAAAGCAACTCAAGGAAGCTGCGCAGTCAGCACTCCATGCGAATAGCGTGCGTGGCAATACACTGGGCATTGCCGCGCCTCCGCAACAACGCATGGTTTCGCCTTATCGGTAAAAAAGGAAACATCTGCCCGTGGTCAGACTATTTAAAGCCCAGAACATGCGGTGCTCTGATCAATACTGTAGTAGTTTGTATGGACCTCGAGACGGCTCAGATGGATGTGAACTACGTCGGCCGTACGGATACTCCGCAACAATATCCAGCTTGGGTGCTTGGGGGGCTCTACATGAGGGGTTGGGAGTAAATCAAATTCCGGTATTCTGAAGATTTGGACTACCGAGCAACATTGTCACCCTGCCTCGTGCTGTATTGTCTTTGTGTCTTTGTGGGTATTCCTGGCTTTCTTATCCAGTTGTCAGGAGGGGGGCGTAAGCAGGAGGCGTCCAGAACCCCCAAACGCATATTTTTCACCCGAGCCTCCCACCCACTGCTCTCCTAGTGCACCCAATTAATGTATTTCTGACCGAGGAGTCTGTCAACCTTTGCCAACCAGGAAACGCGGGTGGTCCACCAACCTGGCAGACAGGGGAGAGCGGGCGCTCGCTTCTCAAAGACGCACCGCGCTGAAGTGGTGGGGGCTCCGTTCCGCCGACGGGGCCCAACCACGCCAGATCGTTTCGGCCGCTGGAGAGGACTGCACGCTGGGCTCCTGCCTGGGTTGCCCGTTGCGGCAGTCCGCAGCATGGTGCGCCGATTCCGCAGTGTGGGGTAATTAGGTAGACCCTGGCAAGGTAGCAACCGCCCGACCCTTCTCGGTGCGAGAGTCATCCAATCTGTCGACTGGCCGATCATGTCCTCTCGAGAGAGCTTCAAAAGCTACCCAACCCGACGCGAGGCGACCCCCCCCCCCCCAAAATTCGCTCATATAATACCATCTTCGTCCTCCTCCTCCTCCTTGGTCACAGCTCCCTTCCCCCCTCGCGAACTCGATTTTGCGCAAACCCGTTGTCCTCCCTGACTCCACACAGTTTCGCACCTCTCCTCGCATGGAATCGACGGCATGGTTTCCTTCGCATTGCGGCATGCCGGTGGACGATGTGGATTAACATCAGCCTCGGGGAGGGCATTGCTGCCCGTGCGTGTCGGCAAGCTGCGTGAACGCGGCGTCCCGCCATCCCCATGGCGCTTCATGAGCAGTTCTAACTGGAGACCGGTGTCGGCCCTGGATGAGTGCGCCTCACGCCCTTGCAAAATCGCTGTGCCTTACGATCACATGCTAACAAAGCCTCGTTCCTACCAGATGGGTCGCGAGAGAGGCCCGCCCGATCAGCTTACGACAGCTCATGGTTTTCGGCCGCTCCCTCACGGAATCACGTCTTTTGAGCTCCGCAAACTACGTTCGAACCGAGCTGCCGACTCGGTAAGGGTTTCCCCCTCCCCCTTTACGTCACGAGTTTCCGTAGGGGTGATCAGGAACTGACTGTTCGATCCCGTCACAATAGAATAGCGCATCGCATTCGAGATATGCAACAGCTGCCCTACGTTGTCGTTACGAACCCACACATTAAAGAAGTCTACGAGCTATACAACAATGCGTTCGACACGTTTCGCAAGATCAAGGAGATTAAGAGCCTGGAGGACAACGAAAAGTTCTGCCAGGTAATCGGCCGTATGCTCAAGGCGCACCTGACCGTCATCCCCAAGCTGTCGATGGGAATCCTCGAGAGCAGAGGCCGCATGGACGCCAAAGACCTCGATAGGTTTATGAACACTATCTTGAGATCGGTGAGTCCCGCTATTCTGCCGATACCGCCCACCTCGGCTGCAAACCTAACCCGGCGCCTTCTCCCAGAGAATATCCCGTAGGGTCATCGCCGAACAGCACCTCGCCCTGACGGAAACATATCACTCGCCGTGGTTCTCGCCCGGCGCGAAGCTGTCCGAGTCCGAGTTCATAGGTGAAGTCTTCATCAAGTGCATCGCCAAGGACGTCATCGAGCGCTGCACCCGCGCTGTCCAGAGCCTCGCCCGCTCGACGTACGGCCAAGAGGTAGATCTCCCCGAGATCAAAGTCGAGGGCCACCTCGAGGCGAGCTTTCCCTTTATCCTCAGCCACCTCGAATACATCATCGGCGAGCTGCTCCGCAACTCCGTCCAGGCAGTCGTAGAGGGGCGACAGCAGCAGCAGGGTAAGAACAAGGACGTCAAGGTCCCACCCATCGAGGTGACTATTTGCGAAGCGCAGCAACACGTCATCATCCGCATCTCGGACCAGGGTGGCGGCATCCCTAGAGAGGAGCTGCCGTACCTCTGGTCCTTTAGCAAGGGGCCACAGAGCCAGCGCCGGCTGGAGAACCTGGGCCGGGTGCCCAAGCTGGCCGCCACCATGCAGGAGCTCCACGTGTCGGACGAGCTGGGTCGGGCGGATATGAAGACCCCGAGCCACGGGAGCTCCCTGGCTTCGATGACGACCCGGCCACCCGACCTGCGGCTGGGCATGGGGCTTCCCCTGAGCAGGGTCTATGCCGAGTACTGGGCGGGCAGCCTCGAGCTCCACAGCCTCGAGGGCTACGGCGTGGACGCGTTCCTTCAGATATCGAAGCTGGGCAATAAGAACGAGCAACTGACTACTAGGGCCACGATGGATGCAGTGTAGTGTAGAGGACAAACCGTAACAAGGGGCGAGACGGCGTAAATGTTAAAGATACCAACTGGGCGACATCAGGACATCATTGGACAGGCATATACATGCACACACAAGGCTAGTACTTCGTTACGGGCACGCATGAAAGATTTAGGATTATAGACGCCTTTCTCATTAATTTTGGTATCATGAAAAGGTGAGCTGGATTACATCGTGACTAAGAAACAGGATAACTAAACGGGGGGTAAGGGTGAGGGGCAACAAGTCTTGGAAAAAGAAGAAGAGCTCCCAGACGCAACAACATCCATCTCGTACCGTCCGTGCTTGGGCATAAATTTTTTTCTTTCTTTGTTTTCTCTCGACTTGCGGTGAGGACCCTTGCTCATGTCGACGAGGCGACGACCAATGAGCCAGGGCCACTGCAGTTGGCTAGAAACTAGCATATCCATGAAGACGAATCAAGAAGATAGAGATATTGCGGTGGGTTGGTGCTTCCGGTCCCCGAATGGTAAGAGAAGAGGTAAGGTAAGCGTCGAGAATCCAGCAAGCACCCACTGCCCAGGAACAAACCGCTCAAAAACAGAGGGGGAACCGTCACACCCGGATAGCCTTAGCGGCGGCCGTGGCTGCGGACGGCGCTTCCTTGCATCTGCTCCAGCTCGGTCTCCAGCTGCTTGATCTGGGCGTGGGTCTGCTCGAGGTCCTTGTTGAGACGGTCGCGCTCGGCAATGAGCTTCTGCTCCCACTGGCGGAAGCGCTGCTCCTCGATCTTGACCTGCTCGGTGAAACGCTTGCGCAGCGCCTCCTCCTCCTCCTTGAACTTGGGGTTGTCGAGCTTTCTGGGGCGGGCCTCGCCGAACTTGCGGGTCTCCATTTGCTGGGCACGGTAGGCCTCGTAGTGCAGCTCCTCGGTGGTGTGGATGAGGTCGAGCATGTGGGTGCGGATGAGGATGGAACGCAGCTTCTTGAAGTCGCAGTGGTCCTCGTTCTCGACCTCGGCAACACCCCAAGAGTACTGGCGACCCTTGACGATGCGGCCGTCGCCGGTCTTGACGTCCTTCTCGGAACCGATGACGGCAAAGGGCATAGCGGCCATCAGGCTGCGAGCGTGCTGGGCAGCGGGCTCGTCGTCCTCCTCAACGGGGGGCTGGTAGATCTTGATGCTCTGGGCCTCGATGACAGCACGGATCTGTAGCACGGTGCGGTCAGCAAATGTTTGTTTACACGGCTTGGGAGCGAAATCGGCTTACGCGAGCCTTGAACCTGGCCAGGTCCGCAGGGCTAAGGGTATCAGCCTTGGCGATGACGGGGATCAAGTTCACCCTCGAGCAGAGTCTCTTCATGACCTCGATGTCGAGAGGCTTGAGGGTGTGGCCGGTGGGGCGGATGAAGTACAGGCAAGTGTGGACACGCAGGTCGATCTTGTCCTGGCGGCGAGGCTGCTGCTCCTGAAGCATGTAGGACTCGTGCTGGTCGTCGAGGAACTCGATGATGGGCATCCACGAGTCGCGGTTGTTGACGTAGTCGCCGAAGCCGGGGGTGTCGATGACGGTCAGGCGGACTGTAAGCCGTGTTAATCGCATGATCTACAAATCGGTGATCGGAACAGCACAGCAACATACCCTTGAAGAACTTCTCCTCCAACTCAGCCTTGGTGATCTCGATCTCGACCGTCTTGTCGACCTGCTTCTGGTGACGGCGCTTGTGGTCGGCATAGTTCTTGATGGTCGTCGAGAAGAGGGTGTTGATGAAGGTGGTCTTTCCCAGGCCGGACTCGCCCGCAACCTGGTTTTTGTATCAGTCATTTTTGCTCGGATAAAACATGTGCTTTATGCTGCACCAGAGTCGGCATACCATAATAGTGAAGGCGGCACCTCGCTTGGCAACAATCTTGTGTCGCTGGTTAGGGAGGTTGGCGATACCAATCGGCGAGGCGCTCTCGGCGGCGGAAGGGGCCATTTTGGGCGGTAGTTGACGATGGAACAAATCAGAGAACGTTTGTGATGCCTGGGAAAGGGTCGTGGGCCGCGGGTATCGCAATTGAGCACGCGAACTGCTTTCGTGATGTGGTTGCGGTGTGGGCGTGTTGACGGTTGAGTTGGGGAGGTTTCGAGCTCGTGCTTCAGGGGAATCAAAAGGTGCCACCTCCAAATTTCCCTGGCCGGCCTTCTGGGGTTGGGAGGTGTGCATTCATTGGGCCAGTCGCAGGGGACTAATTAGGACCCCCTTTTCCTGCCAATCAGTCCCTTTTCCCCCCCTGGTGCTTCCACCAAATGCCGATCTAGCCCAAAGCGTATTAGCGCCGACAAACCTTGGTGAGGATGAATGATTCGCCGACCCCACCACAATCGATAAGGAATATCCAAGGTACCTTAGTAGGTACATCCGGATTTTTTTTTCGCGGCAGCGATTCCAAGGTCAGGAAATGGGTGCCAATTGACAATGAAGACCGATTTCAAGGTACGTTTCGTGCATTCTCCGACGAGCATGTGCGGTTCCTGACTCTGGGTGCAATGTATAGTTCTCCAATTTGCTCGGCACGGTATACTGCCAGGGCAACCTGCTCTTCAGCCCCGATGGCACCCATCTGTTCTCGCCCGTGGGGAACAGGGTCACTGTCTTCGACCTCGTGAAGTATGCTATCCTCTCTCGCGCGTGCCGGCGGCGACTGGGGGTCTCTGTTTGCTAACACACCGCTCCAGCAACAAGTCACACACACTGCCCTTTGCGCATCGAAAGAACATCTCCCGAATCGGACTTACTCCTCGAGGCAATCTGCTGCTGTCCATTGACGAAGATGGCCAGGCCATCCTGACCAACGTCCTCCGCCGGATCGCCATTTACCGATTCTCGTTCCGCTCCTCCGTCACCGCTCTCTCCTTCTCGCCCTCCGGGCGTCACTTCGCAGTCGGCCTGGGTCGCAAGATCGAGGTCTGGCATGTGCCGTCCACTCCGGACGCGAACGCCGAGGGCGAGCTCGAGTTTGCGCCCTTCGTCAAATACCACACCCACACTCAGCACTTCGACGACGTGCGCAGCATCGAGTGGTCCAGCGACTCCCGGTTCTTCCTCAGCACCTCCAAGGATTTGACGGCAAGGATATGGAGCTTGAACCAGGAGGAGGGGTTCGTGCCGACGGTGCTCTCCGGCCACAAGCAAGCCGTGGTGGGGGCGTGGTTTTCCGAGGACCAGGAGACCATCTACACCGTGAGCAAGGACGGCGCCGTGTTTGACTGGAAATACGTCGGAAAGCCGGTCCGCGACGAGGACGAGATGGTCGACGTCGACGAGGACGACATGCGCTGGAGGATCGTCGACCGACACTACTTCATGCAGAACAGCGCGCACGTCCGGTGCGCAACCTTCCACCCCGAGTCCAACCTTCTGGTCGCGGGTTTCTCCAACGGCACCTTTGGCCTGTACGAAATGCCCGACTTCAACATGATCCACACGCTCAACATCTCGCAAAACGAGATTGACTTTGTGACGATCAACAAGAGCGGAGAGTGGCTGGCGTTCGGCGCATCGAAGCTCGGACAGCTGCTGGTGTGGGAATGGCAGTCCGAGTCGTACATCCTCAAGCAGCAGGGCCACTTCGACTCCATGAACAACCTGGTCTATTCTCCGGACGGACAGCGCATCGTCACCATCGCAGATGACGGCAAGATCAAGGTGTGGGATACCGAATCAGGGTTCTGCATCGTCACTTTCACCGAGCACACGAGCGGCGTGACAGCCTGCGAGTTCTCCAAAAAGGGCAACGTCCTCTTCACATCCAGTCTGGACGGTTCGGTAAGAGCGTGGGATCTCATCAGATACAGAAACTTCCGGACGTTCACGGCGCCGACAAGGTTATCATGGTCGTGCATGGCCGTCGACCCCAGTGGCGAGGTCGTCGCCGCCGGGTCTCTGGACTCCTTCGACATCCACATCTGGTCTGTGCAGACAGGACAGCTTTTGGACCAGCTCACCGGCCACGAGGGCCCGGTCTCGGCCCTGGCCTTCACGCCGAACGGAGACTCTCTCATCAGCGGTAGTTGGGACCGCACCGCGAGGATCTGGTCCATTTTCAACAGGACACAGACCAGCGAGCCTCTGCAGCTGCAGGCCGACATCCTTGACATCGCCGTGCGGCCCGACTCGCTGCAGCTGGCCATCTCGACGCTGGACGGCCAGCTGTCTTTCTGGTCGATCACGGATGCCGAGCAGGTGTCGGGCCTGGACGGCCGGCGCGACGTCTCTGGCGGACGCAAGATCACCGACCGGAGGACGGCCGCCAACGTGGCGGGGACGAAGAGCTACAACACCATCCGGTACAGCACGGACGGGAGCTGCTTGCTCGCCGGCGGCAACAGCAAGTACATCTGCTTGTACTCGGTGCACACCATGGTCCTCCTGAAGAAGTACACAGTCAGCGTCAACCTGTCCCTGTCCGGGACGCAGGAGTTCCTCAACAGCAAGCTCCTCACCGAGGCCGGCCCCGAAGGCCTGATCGACGACCAGGGCGAGGCCTCGGACCCCGAGGACAGGAGAGACCTCTCCCTGCCGGGCTCGAAGCGCGGCGACCCCTCGGCGAGGAGGAAGATGCCGGAGGTCCGCGTCTCGGGCGTGGCCTTCTCGCCGACGGGCACCGCGTTCTGCGCCGCCTCCACCGAGGGCCTGCTCATCTACAGCCTCGACAACCTGCTGCAGTTCGACCCCTTCGACCTCAACATGGAGATCACGCCGGCGTCCACGCTCGCCGTGCTCGAGAACGAAAGAGACTACCTCAAGGCGCTGGTCATGGCCTTCCGCCTCAACGAGGCCGGCCTCATCAAGCGCGTCTTCCTGTCGATACCGCACACGGACATCGCGCTCGTCGTCGAGGACACGCCCGTCGTCTACGTGCCCAGGCTGCTGCGCTTCGTCGCCGCGCAGACGGAGGAGACGCCGCACATCGAGTTCTGCCTGCTCTGGGTCAAGGCGCTGGTGGACAAGCACGGCGCCTGGCTCACGCAGCACCGCAGCAAGGTCGACGTCGAGCTGAGGGTCGTCGCGAGGGCCGTGTCGAGGATGCGCGACGACATCAGGAGGCTGGCCGACGACAACGTGTACATGGTGGATTACCTGCTGGGCCAGGCCAACGACAAGCAGGCGGCGGACGGCGTAAAAATGCTCGACCTGGCCGCCTTCGATCATCCCGCAAGGACCCTGGCTATCGGGGACGCGGACGAGGAGGGCCAGAGCGACTCTGATGGAGATGGATGGATTGGTCTGGACTAGGGATCCCATAGATATCATTACAATGTATACCCCCATTTTGTCAATGTTTGCTCGGCCGCCTGCCCTCGATTGTGTACGCCCCCCTACTCCCCCCTTCGTGCCCGTCCCTTTTTCACAATCTCGGACCCTTCCCGGCAGCACCGTCGGCTAGTCAATCGCGAGCGGGAATGTCCTAGGAAATGGTTAGACAACGGCGAGCGAAGCCCCCCCCTCCCCCCTTCCCCTGCGCGCGCGCGCGCAAAAGGCCGGTAGGAGAAATCTCTGCTTACCTTCCACGCCTCCTCGAAACCGACGGAGCGGACCCATCTCGTCTCGGAGTGCTCCGTCCCGTCCAGCAGCATGTAGGACAGGCGGAGCCACTCGTCGTCGCCCTTAATCCTGATCCACGGCCTGTCGCCGTACCGGGACGACAGCTCCTGGCAGATGCCGAGGGCGCGCGCGACCTTGATCGTGTGACCGTCGTCGATAATGGCGTGAAATCTCGGGAGGAGGTCTACCAACACTCTGTCAGCGGTTCTGTTCTCACGAGCTCACGAGGGGCGGGCGTCTTCGGGGGGGGGGGCATTGCTGTTGTCGTGGGGCGTTTTTTTTTTCTTACCTGACGGCTTGGAAACCAGCTCTCTGCCCTGGTCCTTGTCCCTCGGTCGGTACGACCTGACTTCGTCCAGGCGGAGTTGCGGGCTGCCGCGCGCCGCGTACTGGACGAGGTCCATGCGGATTTTGTGCTCCAGCAGACGGACCTTGTTCTCCGTCGAGATACACGGCTTCGAGTTGAGGCTCAGGAAGATAGGCGCCGCGTTTGTGTGGTGGCTGCGAACATGTCAGTCGGTCGTCTCCGGCCGTGGTGGGCCAGGACGTTCCGGGGAAGGGGCGGGTGCTCACATCAGGAAGAAGTCCCACTTCGCCTCCTTTCCCGGGCGGAGGGCCGCGCCGCCGGCAACGTAGAAGGCGGTGTGGAACATTTCGGCCGTCCGCTCGTCCAGCTCTTCGGGCAGGACCTTGACCTTGCTCGCGATGCCCATCATCTCCTCGGGCGCGCGGTTCAAGACGCCGTTGATGATCTTGTTCGCGTCCGTCATCTCCGCCGCCGTGGCCAGCTTCCGGTTGCCCCGTATCTCATCGATGAGGTCCGCGATGCGCGGCATCGGCGTCTTTGCCGTCTCGTTCGCGCGCCTCTCCGTCTCGTCGAAGAAGCCCCTGAGCTGGTTCTTGTGCACGGCGGCCTGGGCCAGGCCCTCGGCGACGATGGCGGGCTGCTCCCATTCGACGCCGTACATGAGCTGGATGATGGGGTGCAGGAAGCCTTCGAACATGCGCCGGAACAAGTCGTCGGCGCGCTCGTCGCCCTTGAAGAGGTGCTCGTTCAGCGCCGCCTCCCAACCCAGCCTCTCGATCTCGCGCTGGTAGAAGAGGAGGAAGTCGGAGTAGTGCTTTTCCCGGCCCAGGTACTTCTGGGCCCTTTCCCAGTCGTGCAGCTCGTCGACGACGCTGTCGTGGCTTTCCTTGGCTGGCCTCTGGTAGTTATTGTTTCCGTCGTACGCCTTCTGGATGGCGTCCGGGCCCGCGCCGGTGCCGTAGAGGGCCAGGATGTGGTGAGGGATCTGGGTTGCGCTTAGAGACGTGGTCCCGCCAGTGCGTAGCGCCTACGTGGACTTACATGATTGTGGAAGCCCTCCTGGTTGAAGAAGACGTGGTGTTTCTGTCTCGGACGGTTAGTATGCCTATCCGTCGCAACGAGCTCGGATGGAGCGAGACCCCACCTTCAGATCCTCCTGTAAAAGCTCCGAGACCTTGTTCGCAGTGGCGTCTTGCTGTTTGAACCGCCACAGCCCTGTGTTTGTCACCGGGACATGAATCTTGTATGCGGTCGCCATGTTGATACTTCTCGTCTGGCCGAATGGAAAGGGGTCTCTTCCACTGAGAATGGGGTGCTTTGAGATTCGTCTAGAGGCGGATGACGACAATCTCATTTCGCTGCAAATAAGCATCAGAGTTGCATGCCTAGAAGCGCGGGCCGTTGTTGATCTTATGTATTGAGGGCGGGGGGGCGTTCGCAATTAATACTTGAGCTTGCAGCTGTGACACACACACGAGAGGGCGAGAGCGAGCGCGAGCGTGCCGTGATGGAGATCAGACGCCTGCCTGAATGGTGCCTTGGCGCGGGTAAGCGGTGCTAGTGGACTCCCGGCGTGGAGTCTGTGATGTGCGCCACTGAACTTTGTCATTTCCCCAGATTTCGGACGTCATCCAGCTACGGCACCACATGTTCGGGCAGTGGCCAAATGCCGAGACCGAATGGCAGGGCGAGAGGCTGCGACTGCTAGTCAACGTCCTACTACCTGATCGCGTTGTATTGGCACCTTAGGCCTACTGCCCACCTGTAGCTGTAAACCTTGGGTACATTGAATGCAACAACAACGGATGCGCCAAGTTGCGGCAAGAAACGGTGGGGGATGATCTAGTACTGTGCTCTAACTACTCGAGTTGGCATAGATTAAGTGTGTGCCGCCGCTTTCCTTGGCTACTCTCGTTTGCAGTCGACAGGCGACAGGGTTTGGCGAGGCTTGATTGCTTCCGGTGACATGCGTACTGTCTTCAGCTGCAGTTGACATATCGGTCGGATAAATGGTCTGTCTAGTCGACTGTACTCGGCGCGCAGAGGAGAGTGTTGTTCATGAAGCAACAACTCGCGGCTTCACAGGGAACGCCCGAATACGGAGCAAGAATGGCAGGTGACCCCAACCTGAAGCCGGCAAGCAAGGAACGAAGAACGGACGGAGCGGGTCCAAGTGCCGACCCTGAGCTTAAGCTTAATTATCCCGGGCATGGATGCCAGCCATCGTGCCCTCCTCCCCAACTATTTAACATTCTCCTTGGCCCGCGCGAACGCAAACTTGTATGTGCTTGGTGCCCGGTTGGCACCACTCATCGCGGGTTAACATGGCCCATGCCAGCCCTCCAAAAGCCAGGCGTGGATCACACGGCAACGGCCATGTCTCTCGTGCGCATGGCCAACCACAGCCCCAAACGACAGGTTTCGCGACGACACGTTCACGATGGCCTGCGTGTCAGAGCCGGCCCAGTATTGGAGCCTTCGCGTGAGACCATAGCTCGTGCAGCGTGACAGTGTCCCTCAATTCAGCTCTGTTTGATTCCACAACAACTCTGTGCTCTCTATTATCGTCAAGACACCTAGAGAATCTCAACCAGACGACCTCAAGCTCGGCAGCAACGCAGCCAGCAAGATGTGGACCCCGGCGTCTTCATAACCCGTGTAAGCGAGCTCTGCGTGTCGGCGGTCGTAGACTCGAGATGCGGTGTCACGGGGCAAGCATTGGAATGAAGATAAGTGTGACAAAAAAAAAAGGAGTTTTGCATTGATAGCTTCCCCTATCCAGGGAATGAATCGTGGTATCACCAGGAATTTTATATCTAAGAGGGGGGGTAAAAAGGCGAGGGAAATGGGGGAAAATGGGGGAATTGGGCGTCTCATCATAATGGTTCATCATCTAAGCCTTGCGCTTCTTGTTGGGGGTGGTCTCGTCGGCGTCGCCCATCTCCTCGTCCTCGTCGTCCTCGTCGTCGGACTCGAACTCGGCGTCAGACATCTCGGCGGCCTCCTGGGCTTGGGCTATCAAGGAGAGTAAGTCTCTGTCTTGCCCTTCGGCGTCGGCGGCGCGCGCGCGGAGAGACTTACTGAAGTAGTGGAGCGCCTCGGGCCACAGGTCGGTGGCGATGGCGACGGCGATGTCGTCGCCGTCGGGGCAGATCTCGAGCTCGAACTGGACCTGGTCCTTGGCCTCCTCCTCCTCGTCATCCTCCTCCTCTTCGTCCGTCTTCTTGCCCTCCTTGCGGGCCTGAAGGTCGGCAAGCTCCTTGGCGAGGGTGGCGGCGCTCTCCTCAGGGGAGATGCGCTTGCCGACGAAGCCGAAGAAGGTGAAGAAGGAGACGCCGCCCATGCCAGTCTCTTCGACCTTGCTCTTGAGAGCCTCGGCCTCGGGGGTCAGCTTGCCGGGGGTGATGGGGCCCTGGTCATAGACCTTCTTGGCGAGGGACAGGAGGCCCTCGGTGAGGTCCTTGCCGTCCTTCCACTTGATGTCGACGGGCTCGGAGACGAGGCCGGAGTAGGACTTGGAGTGGCGGTACCAGAAGGTCTTCTCAACGACGGTGTCCTCAAAGTACTCGTTCTCGTTGAACTCGAAGCGGATGGTCAGGCTGCGAGGGTCCCCATTGGCCTGGCCGTTGTCGATCTCGGGGCGCGAGACGGCGACGTTCTTCAGGGAGGAGAGGAGCAGGGCAGCGTCGGAGGGCTGGATGTGCTCGTCGATCTCGGCGGGGGACTGCTCGAAGACGAGAGCCCAGAAGTTGGGGATCTTGGAGATGACGGCGGCGCGCTTCTCGTACAGAGGCTTCGAGAGCTCGTACTGCTTGCGGACTGAGTACGATGTTAGCGCCGGTGAAGCTTTTCTCATGGGGGATCACATCCGAGGTGGATTGTGAGGAAACGAGAGGGAATGCCGCCGGATTGTGAGGGATTGCTCCTCGGTAAATAACTCCAATACGTACCGATCTGGTTCTCAACCTCCTCGAACTCGCGCTCGAGGTCGGCGAGCTGCTCATAGGTGACACCGGTATCAACCATCTCAACCATTTTGGCGGTAATGTGAATGAAGGAGAGAGAAGTCGGAAGGGATTGGAAGTGATGAAGAAGGGAGAATCTCGAGGTAAATTTTCCTGAGATTTCACGTTCTTCGTTGGTGGGGTTGTAATTGGCTTTGGGAACGCGAAAGATTAAAGGACGACGGACGGAATGTGTGCCTCACCCCGAGGAAAGTCTCTTATATAAGGAAGATGCTACCGGGACGTGCTTAGCAAATATGTTCCTAATTTTTTTTATCTTTTCCTTAAGTGGAAGCGGGAGGGGGGAGAGAAATCTGCGTGGACAGGATCGAGGGGAAAAAAAAAAAAAAAAAAAAAAAGGGACTGCGTTACTCAGAGACGTGGGGTAATGGAAGGCAACTGGCTGTTCCACGACGGATACAAACAGAGGCAACGAGTTAAAAAAAAAAAAAAATGACAAAAATTTCCAAACTGGCACAAGCTCCGGTCTGCCTGCTGCACCAATCTGCACCTCCGGTTCAGCCTACTGCCTGCAACCGGTGTGTGTGTGTGCGTGTGCTATACCAGCTTCAAGGTTTAGGAGCGGTGACTGATGTCATTGGATCGTCCCTGCTGATCGCGAACTTTTCAGAGTGCCCCTCCACCCCCCACTACCCCCCGGTTCAGTCAACCACCACCCATCAGCACTGCAGCGCAGCCCAGAGATTGGCATCACATTGGAGCGACAATTGGACACTGAACGCAGAATTATGGCGGGGCAGCGGCTGGACTGGTCGCCCCTCCTGCATGGGTTGAGTTTTGTGTAATGCACCGATTCACAGGACTCGAGCCCCGATCAGAAATTGACTCTTCCAAATTCTTCCTTCGAAGCAGAGAAAAGCCATCTCGTGCCCCCTCACCCTTTAGAGGCGTGCTTCTCACTAATACGACTCGACTCGACTCGACTCTCTTTGACCTCTGACCGTTAGGTTCATGCTCGACGCTGAAGAAAAATTAGGGGTCCTGAATGGCCGGGAGGGGTCAAGGGGCGCTTAATGGAGCCCATCTTCCAAGTTGTCATGCAACTCTGACATTTCCGTCAAGGGCGGGGACGACGGAGAAAAAAATTGCCCTCCTCCACGACTCGACCTCTCAGTCCCCCCACATCGCAAATTTGCCAGGCGGTGGTGGCCTAGATCGGTGACATTGCTCCAGCGCCGATGGGGCCTGACGAAAGATTTTCCCATTGCCTCTTTTACCTTCTCCAAAGGTTGGTACATATACAAGGCGATCCCTCTTAGGCGACAATTGCCCTGGTACCCGCTCGTCCAAGACTGGGAGTCCGCTGTTAGCGTTTTTCATGCAGAGGCTCTCCCAATCTCTTTAGCAGCCTAATGGCCTCCATTGACTTTCTTTCCCATGTTTTTTTTACGACCAACCGCGACCCACTGAGGGGTCGGTCCAACGTGGCTGCCCCTCAGTCATTGTTGTTATTGTTGTTGTTGTTTTTCTCTCTGCCTCATGCAATGTTGTTTACTTTCACCGTTCCGTGTCTGTGTCTGTATTGGTTTTGGCAATTCTCATTGAAAATTTTCTCCAAGTTTTGGTGTATCGAAGCCCAATGCGCCGGGTGATTTCTTCGTCCAGTTGGTGCATATACCCCCCCGCGTAGCCTGTTTGTGTGTGTGTGTGTGTGTGTGTGTGTGTGTGTGTGTGTGTGTGTGTGTGTGTGTGTGTGTGCGTGTGTGTTGTCTTGATGCTTCACCGTCCAGTCCTGGCCAAAGAAGTGCACTGAGAGAAACCCATGCGCGAGAATCGCCAGTTTCAGACCACTCGTATGATTGGCGCCCCCTCCGATCTCCGTCGCGAAGCCCAGGCCGAGGAGGGCCCGCGGTTGCACCGCCCACGACGCCCGCGCGCGGGATGTCACCGCTGACAAGTTCACGCCGGCGCAATCGGGCAAAAACGAAAAGAGAAGGGGAAATAAACTAGACTAAAAAGAAAACCCCTGTGACCAGCAAGACCCAGGCAGCCCGGTGCCCGGGAGACGCCTGCAACGCTCTCTGCCCGCTCACCACCGTTTCTGGGAGACGCTCACGGAATTTCCGGTGCCTAGACGCATTCCTGTTTCTCTCGGCAGTCGAATAATGAAGAGATAGAAAATAAAAATAAAAACACTTGCTTAGCGCCCGCGGGAAAAGGATAACTCCTGCGCGTCGCGGACCCTAGGCTCCGGTCCCCCCCCCCCTCCACCCCCCGTCGTCGCCGGACACCTACGCATGGACACTCGGCCCCGCCCCAATCCCCGTGCGCGACCCATAATGGGTCCGGACACCGGACGAACTCTCGCCGAACCGGAGCCCAGATGATGGTGTCCACTCCCCGTTTCCTGCCGGTCCGATCAACGTCTCTCGCACCGTACATGCCGAAAGGGCCGTACCTACCTCGGATCGGCAGAGTTTCCACCTTCTTCGCCCTATCCTGGGATCCTGTCACTTGCGAGACTAGCGCCGCAGTTTTGGATGTCGTCGTCCCAGCCGCCCCCCCCCCCCCACCGGGGCTTAGGCAGGTAGGCGGCACCAGCCGCTCCATGCCATGCTGGCCTTCATGTCCCTGGAAAATTTTCGCAATCGAGTTGCGCCCGTACATGAGATCACACGCTCATGGTAAACGCAGGAACCTGAAAACTTTGCTCAAGGGGCAAAAAAAACTTCAAACTATATACATGCGAAGAGATCACGGTTATGCCGTGGCTTCCACGCGAGCCACATGCCTGTCGTTTTTAACAATTACCCTCATGGGCTTTGACTACTATTGCTTGCGCAGTCCTGATGTTGACCCTTTGTCTTTTGAAGACCATGCAACGCCTCCCAAAATGCAGATCCCTCGCTCCATACAGTAATGACGGCTTGATTCGAGTCCGAGCTCACCAGCCCGGACACATAAGTCGTCCCAATAGCCATGTTCACAGAGAGAAAGAAATGTTTGGAGGCGGGGTAAGGGGGGAATCGGAAAACAGAGAGTGGAAATCCGAGAAGATGGTCGGGTTTCCATGGCCTATGTACTCTACCAATCGCCGGGTATATCAAAAAAAAAAAAAAAAAAAAAAAGCCCAAATAAGCAACGCAAATCGCCGGCATAAAATCGTCCAAACAAATAATGCAGGCCATCCCTTCGGCAACCGGCTACCACGTTATCTGGGTAACCCTAGACCGCATGTCTGGCATGCCGGTGATAATGCCTCGAGTACCGACCTGCAGGTTGGCGAACCTAGCTCTGAGGTCGAAATCCACCGCTCGAACCATGACGCGCTTTTCCTCCGGGACGGACCGTTTCGGTTTGTAGTGGCCAGGGATGACGCCATCGCTTCGCACATCCCAACGAGCGTTGCCACCGGGCCCCAGAGGGGTGCCGTCGCCGAAATCTACCGACCCCCGCCTCACATTGCCATTTGCCAAGCTGGCCGGCGACTCGGGCGATGGCGCCGACCTATCCTCCTCTTCCTCGATTGTCGTAACCCACTGTCCGATGCGTGCCGTGAGCTCGCTATCCCACATACCCTCTCGACGGGCGCTACTCCTGAGAAGCTGAATGGCCTGCCGTCGAATAACTGGATGACGGCATTTGGTCGCAACCACAAACAAGGGCGGGACGATGCCCAGGTCGGCACTAAAGCTTGGCTTGATGTGGTAAGTGTTGTACTCGTGGCCACCGAAGATGTCGGGCGTATGATTGTGCCGGTGGGGGCACTGGTTAGGGTTGGGGCACCTCTTGACCGCCGCGCGTCTTTCCTCGTCACCCACAACCTCGGAGGCAAGGTCGACAATGGCCTTGAAGTGAGACTGGAACATGTCGAACTGCGACTCGCTGTCGCTGTATGTCATGAGGAACAGGATTTGGGTCATGATCTGGAACATCTTCAGGACCGCGATGCCCGCTTTTTCCTGGAAACTGACGCCCGGGGCTGTGCGAGACTCGAGGAGGTAGTCGAAGGCTTCGGACCATGCGTCGAGCTGTCCTTTGAAGCTCATTCCGTATTGCTTGAGGGATTTCGGCAAGATGCCCATCGGGCCGTTTGCGCCCGTGGACTTCTGGTAGACGAACAAGCTTTCCGTGAAGCGAAACATTTTCTCGAGCAGCTTGTCCCAGGCGATGCGGGCCTCCATCAGATTGGAGAACTGGTCAGGCACCGAGACCGAGCTCATGGTCGACGGCGAGCTGCCAGCGTCCGACGGTGGCGATTGGGGGAGCTCGGGAGTTTGAGGGGTCAGTCTGATCACGTAAGGCTCGGGGAAATGGAAGGCCATGTCGTACGATTTGGCCTGGATGGCGAGTCTGGTGAACATGGTGATGAGCTCCTCCTCGACGGGTTCCTCGGAAATGGGCATGAACGACCTTCTCCTCTCCTCCCTGAGCTTCTCCAGCAAGCCGAGGCCAGTTTGAATCTGTAGTATCGCCTGCCTGTGGTCGCCGACGAAGGAATCGAAGCAGGCGAGAAGCACGCTGGCCATGAGCAGCGTCCGATGGGACTTCTGGTCCCGGCGGAGGTGGACAAGTGCGTTGATGGCCTCCGAGTACTGTTTTACCGCCACTTCCCAATGCCGGTTTGCTCTGTCCACGGGACGCATCAACTCGGACGGCGAGCCCGGCGGGGACTCGTGCGTCTGTTCAAGGGTCTTGTAGAGGGCTCCGAGCGCGACGACGGCGTGGCGGATGGCGTTTTCGGAGTGGCACTCCTGCAAGACGGTCCGAGTCCAGAAGACCGAGTCAAAGTAGCCGGAGAGTTCGTTGGCGGTGTGGGAGCGGAAGAGTTGGAAATAAAGGCCTTCCTGCGGTGTCAGTCGAAGGTTGTTCGCCGGCCGATACAACGTAACCATGGAAGGGGGTGCCGGGGTTTGCGGGGGCGTTGGGCGGCGGGCCTGCAATTTTTGTTGCCTTCTGGGAGGTAGCCCCTCGATCGAGGAGGCCCGCAGAGGTGCAACAACGCCATCCTGGGCGGGAGCGAGGGGTTTCGGAGCAATGGCGAGGACCTCGTGGGGTCTTGCGCTGCGGCTGGGAGGCGGGTAGCCGGTGCAGGTCCTCCTGGAACGAATGCACTGGGAGCAAGACGGCCGTTTCTCGTCGCATTTGATGCGCCGCTGTCTGCACGGAAAATGTCAGGGTCTGCCTTGCAAGGAGCTCGTAGCGGGATACGTTACGTACTTGCAATTGTTGCATCCCGTCTTGACTTTCGGTTTACTGGTCCTGGCCCTCTTGGGCTTCTGCTGAGAGTCGAAGGAACCGGTGGGGCTGGTGGATGCTGCCGAGCTGGCGTCGGTGTTGTTGTAGGACGGCATTGTCGAGGTGTACACGGTGAAGTCTATGTAGCCGAAGCGAGAGCGCAGACGCATTCATCGCCTGCGGCTTTGGATCGCACAGGCCTTTATGTTTCGGACGACGACGGGATTCGTGCTGGCGGTCTTGGACAAATCTGGAGGAGCAGAACAATTTGGCCACAATGCAGGGGGAAGTCTTAATTAGTGGGTGGTGTAGAGACGATAGGTAGTGCGGAGACGGGCAGTCAAGGGCCGGCGCGATGACGGGTGGTCTGTGAACTCGGCGGTTAGATAAGGTAGCCCTGGGTTGGCCTCGTCCAGGTCGAGGGGATCTGCACGAGAAACGGGGGGCATCCCCCAGCTCAAGCAAGCTCTGAGCTCCAATACTTACATGATTGAAGCGGTAGTAAAGGCGAAGAAAGGGTGGGCTGGGGGTGCACAGATGTGGGTGGAGGAAAACCGCCACAGCCTAGTGTACAGGGCCTTCTTTATGAACGTTTGTTGACTAAAACAGAGGCGAGTCTGCAAGGAGCAGCGACGGCTTAACCTCGACTAGGGCAATGATGTAAAGATTTATTTGGGGGTCGCTGCTGTCTATGCGGAATGACAAAAATGTTGGGCAGCTTCACAACGGCAAGTGACCTCTGGGGGCCGCAAGAGACGGGTGAAAGAGTAATATAGGGCTGGCGGATGGCGTGAGTATGGTCCTGGGCATCCGTAGGTGCATGGGGCGGCGAAACAATAGATTGACCCACAAGGGCCAGGGGGGGAAGAGGGGGTAGGAGGCCGAGATCCACGAAAGAGGGGGGAGGTTCTGTGAAGCTAGAGGGGGCTTGCAATGAGCAGCAGAATGCAGGCGTGGACCGGGATGTTTGTCGATTGTGGTGTGTGTGGTACGAGGCGGTGCGATGGTGATGGTGGAGGGAGACGCCGGCGGTTCATAGGTAGGTAGGACGAGTGAGGGATACGTTACTGTGCTGCACTGCGCTGCATGCAGGCCTCCAATGTCGATTTGGCATGTACCGAAGGGCAGACTGACGTGGGGAGTATCGGAGAGGGCGACCAAGGGTAAGAAGAGGGGGGCAGCGATCAGAAAATATCTGACGATGTTGCTTACAGTGGTGACGGCGAGTTCGATGTTGGAGTGCAGGAGAGGTTACAGGGGAAGCAATTGTGCAGTCGGATGACAAGTGCCGCGAGCTAATACCATCCGGCAACCAAGAGCGAATCACAGTCCAGGTAGCCAAGAGCAAAATAAAAGGGAGGGAGGAGTGTCGTGGTGTGTAAGGTAAATGAAACCAATGGGGGCGGATGGACGGCATCGGGACTCGGGACCGGCCTGTCAGTGTTGTTGTGCGTTGCGGTAGGCACAACCAAGGGGGAGAAGGAAGAGACGCTCGAAAAGAGCTGAACCGTCTCTTTGGACAGAGATGGTTGCTTTATTACAGACGAGCAAAAGATATACTATGTAAGGGGCAATAGCATACGAAGCAAGCATCGAGGACTTGGGTACGTATGTCTAGGGTACGCGCCATACCTAGGGAAGTGTACTCGCTACTTAGTAGGTAGGCAGGTACCTTAGGGAACTTGCTCCGGTGGGTATGGCGGAGAAACGGCAACGCGACGCGACGCCTTGTCTTGTCTTGGCCGACCTGGAAGGTTTTGCTACGGTAGCATGGGAGAGACGCTAGAGATTGTTGAGTCTGATGGTACAAGCACTCCGTTCTGCTAGACAAGAGTTGGGCACGAGCAAAAGTTGACGTCCCACAAGAAGAAGCTTTTGATCAGTTAGTTGTACTGAGTTTGTTCTTAATGCAACGCGACACCGGCCGTCAAATGCCTCTGGACCGCATGCATTGGACGCTACTGTATCCGTACGCCGGCAGGTACCTCCTGCTGCTGGCCGAGTACACGCAGTGCAGGGGTGTGTCAAGTACCTGGTTGGTTATTCATGTTTAGTCATTCATGCCTGCCCAGGTAGGCAGGTTTGTCTCAATCGAATCACTGGCACTGATTGCTCTTTCCGCTCTCATCGTTGTACCTACCTCGCCGCCTTCCATGTGTGCAACCGGGTTGAAGAACATGTCTCTTTGCCTTGTCGGCACAAATGAGAGGAAGAAGCAGCGGAATTGTCTGAGGTTAGACGAGCGAAAAGCCCAAACAACCAAAGCCTGATGGAGTTCGGCACCACAATGAGACACCTGTTCGTCGAGTGACCGAACGCTAGTATTTTTTTTATATCAAGTATTATTTCAAAAGCAGAACCGGAATAAAGCATAAACGTAAGAGAAAGAGTGTGAGAGCTCGGCGCTGGTGGCCTCCTCAACATGTCCCGGTTGCGCCAGCCCCTGTCCTTATACGTTGCTTCTACCGAGGTAGTGTGCTATGCGTTGTGTGTTTTCTGTGTGCTACCCATGTATACGTACTCTGTATCCGTATCCGTAGATGCTCTCCAAATCTCCAGCCTGCATCCCCTCCCCTCCCCTCCCCTTCCCTATGCCATTTTGCAACTGTCCCTGGGATATTTTGTTTGTTGCGCCCACACCAAAGCCATCGAGGACGTCTCCATATCTTGGCCCTCGTCACCCACATATTCTAGTCGCGACTGCCCCCCCCCCCCCCTTCGACTATTCTTCTGCACGTAGTTCCCTCGAATCATGGTACCAACAATGTACTAGCCTCTTTCCACGAATGTTGGTTTCTGTGGCTGTGCTGGCTTTGTTGCAGTCCACTCGTCCTGCACTCTTTCCCACACTAGTGGGTGGGCAGGCATCTACTTTGTATCTCTTCAAACCAAGGAGGGGACCACTATGTAGAGAAAATGGCAAGTGGGGGCGGCGCGACCTGTACGTACCCCCTTCCATCGCTTCGCAGTCTTTCTCTTCGCGGCCCATCACCTTAGAGGTAGTCAGTCTCGCCAAGTCGCTTCAACGGGTCAAAGAAAGGTCTACCGGTAGTCCACGTTTCCAGTGGTGATTGCAGCCACCGGCTGGCTGCCAATAGACTGCCGCGATCTCGAGTGCCCGTCTGACCAACCGACCCTGTGATGGCGGCCTTACCAAGCGAGCTCCAGAAATAAAGCTTTCTTACGGAATCAATACAATGTCCGCTAAGTGTCACATTGGACCATCGCCATCGCCTGTTGTCCTGAGTCGTTCGGAACGAATGCAGACGAGCTGCCCTGTAAGAGCTATGACCTTGGGGGGATGCCAAGAGGAAATATGAACTCCTATCCTTTGTTGAGACAGGAGAAGCATCAAACAAGCCATGAGGAGCTCCCGAATTCCGTGCATGAGATCCGACGATGGAATCTCATCACAGAGCTCTCTTCTCTCGAGACAGTTGTGCTTCTCAAGGCACCCTCCTCCGCCCTCGCTGGCGACCCCCCACTGGCGTCACGCCTAGAAATCGTGCACTAGCTGAATTGACCGCCTCGTCAAGAGCCGAGGTTGTCATGCTGACAGGGGAATCGGGAACGGGTGAGTTAGCATGGGTGTCTCTGGGAACACTGGCGCAATGGCAGAATCGGCTTTCCCTGGCAGACTGTCGCCATGTGCAGCGGGAGTGTGTCAGCGTCCAGCCGAAGTCGGGGTGGTGGACCTGCAGACCCGTGTCGAGGGCTGTGGCGGTCTGGGACCGGCGACCAAGCTTTAGGGAGAAGCGGTCGATACGTCGAGCAACAGGAGGGTTAATGGTAGGTCCAGTTACTACCGCATCCTAGAGACAGGCCTTTCCAACCACAAAGAAGCACTCTCCCTGGACGAGCTTGGCTGGCTAGTGGTTGCATGTGGTACACCCCCGCTGTTCTCTTGGCATGGAAAACCTGCAGTCATCCGTATCTCTTCCTCGTATCGCCAATCGCACCACCAGTGACGCAGGAGTTCCCGTGTCCTGCGGACATGAGCGGCCCGTTTTGACGGCGCTGTGTTGAGCAAGCTGCTTCTGTCTCTCGGGAAGTAAGCATGTGCCTGAGGGGACTGAGGGGGGCAAGGATGATTTGTGAATGCAACAACTTCATCGCTGACCGTTGGGGCTGGGTGGTGATATTCGTCAACTCAAGGTCGAGAGCGAACGTGGCCGAGCGGCCGTTGCTATCGTGGGCTAAAAAGAACCTGGCCGCCGGCAGATACTGAGCCTGATCAATAACCACGTCCTCATCACCGTCGTAATGACATGGTCGGGCAGGTGCGTTGCGTTGCACGGATCCGCGTCCCGGCCACTCACGAAGACATGCGGCGTACAGCACTGCGTGAGGACAAAGATCGCAGCTGGGTCTCAGATGGTTGCTTCCCCCACAGACGGCTGCCCCAGGTATCCTGGACAAGCTCCTTCCCGGTTCAGGAAGTATTACTGGGTCACCCCAATGTACCCACGCATCTACCAGATGGTCCCGTGCAAGTTCCCAAATGTTTCGCAACTTCTCCCAGCCAAGCCATTGATAGCCATACCTACATCGTGCAACCTCCTCGTCTCCTGTCCTTCTCCTTCCTCCGCCGGCCGTTTATCTAGAAAACGGATAGTCAGAGTCAGGCCAGCTTGCAGAGCACGCAATGTCTCGGCTTCAGTCACCGCTTCGGCCATGTCAGCTGCGCCACGTGCAACTGGTAGCCATGGTGCCGGCGCGCTTCTGCTGGAGGGAGAGGGGTCTCGAATGCATCCATCGCTCCGAGAGAGCCCGCAATCTCTCATGTATCCCTCTCCGACACGGCCAGCCTCCCTCCCCGCTCTAGGTACCTACATCTCAGCCCTACGACACGGAGAAAACAGCGTCAGCGAATGCCCTACCGGTACTCCGTACGTGGCCGGGAAACCATCCATACATCTGCCGCCCATAACCCCTGCGGTTGGCACTCTGGCTGGGGCGGCCCCCTACCCGCGTCCAATAGTACCACTGGAATCTGCGTCGATTGCGCCTACATATCACCCGCCTTGGCGCCACTGCGCCGTCATCGACCCGGCGGCCACGCTCTGTCTCTAGTTTGGCAGAGGAGCTCATGACCGCCGACTGCATCGAACCATCCCATCGACCCTCGCTGCATCGACACTCCATCTCTGCACCTTCCTCAGCCCTACCCGATTATCGTCTCTGACACATGATTGGGCACGGGCTAACCAGCAGACGTCCCATGCTCGCCAACCGGTCGTGACGGACGGACTCCCCTGCCACCCAATGAATGGTCCCCCGAAGGACAGTTCCTCCAGGGTCTGAGACGTCAAGTTCCAACCCGTTCTCCCTTTTGATAGGGGTCCGGTTCTATTGGCGCTCCCGCTTCCACGCACGCGCGCACGGCACCGCCTCCACAGACGCCTCTGCCCGCTTCGTTGACATGGGAGGGATGCGAATGCTTAGGCTCCCGACCGCGGACATGCTGCCCGTTCCGGAGTTGCGGTTTGAATCAAAGACACTTCGACGCCAGGTCTTAGACCTTTGCGGGCCGGCGTCGTTCGGGCAGTGAGACTTACACACGATGATCGGAACGGGTAGTCTGGCAGGTAGCCTCGGTAGCATGCCGTCTGCCATGGTACTTCAGATTCCCTACGAATGTAAGGCGTTGGTGCCGTGGCCCCCAACAACAGTCGGCAGCGGCCAAGCCTGCCACGCTTCTGGAATTTACACGATCAACACAACGACATGATGCGGTGTGTCACCGTCGAGGCCCGATGAAGTTGCATGGGCGACATCGTCGCGGTTCGGCGTCGCACCTCCATGTCTGCACGCCGGTGGGTACCGTCTCAAAATATCTCGGGCATGTCCGTTAGCGGTTATCGACGTAGGGCATGCGTGCCTGGGCTCGAATACATGCATCAGTCAGTGTCTGCATGATGGCGTCTGATGCACAGCAGCCCGCGGCTGTCTCCCACAGGCCCATCCTTCTGCCAGGTGCCGGTAACCCAGCATCGCGAGCTCCGGCCCAAGCCAGACCAAGCAGGCGGGGACGTGCTGCCTTGCGAGACGCCTCGCCCTAACTGTCTTCACTGCGAAATTAGCGCGAGGTGACGGGCCAGTCCAGCAGCACGTACCACTGCGCCTAAGCTGCATGTCAGAAAGAAGCGAGGAAATTGCTGGCATCGCCATGGTCCCAAAATTCCACCTAATGGTAGGCTGTGCTTACGGCCACCCGTGGACCATCACGTCGGTGCTATGCCCGTTGGTGACGGTGATAGGGTTCCTCTGACGCAACCCTGGTCGGGCCTTTTCGATCCCCCTCGACACACACACACACACACACACGCACGCACGCACACGCACCGAAACATCTGACTGATGGGCATGTCCATCGCGGAGGAAACCCCACGAGGCGGATCGCGCGACGCACGTACTCGGATCCCCTTTCCATCACCACACCGGCGGCTCGTCTCACGCTCGGCAGTGCCAACATGGCTTCTCCGTTCCTTGTCTTACGGGGCCGAGTTTCTGAGATCTAGAAGAAAGCCGGGTCGAGAGAGGGTCCGGGGATCGACTGATCTTGATGACGACCCACTCCCCCCTGTCCGATCCTGCCCACCGTGCCACCACGACGGTGCCGACGCGCAAAGTCCCGCCTCGTCATTCGCTACTCGGATCCCCCACAGGTGCGACCCAGGCTTCCGGGACGGGTGAGTGGGCCAACCCTCCTCGGCTCCACACCGGCCACTATTGTACGGGGGGGAGAGCTGGTCAAAGGCCCCGTGGTCGTCCAGCATCGAATCGAGGGCCTTTGGCAGCTGGCATCCGGACGGGTTTCTATGACATGATTCCGTGGCTGACCCACTCGCCCAATGGTGCGAAGCCAAGGACCACTTGGGCATCTGTGGCGGGCGTTGCTTGCTGACCGAGGATTAATGTTGGTGTTTGGTGCGTCTGAAGGGCTCGTTTCGTCGCGCTTCGCGCGGTAAGTTGCTGAGTGTGTTTTGGAGGCCACATCTCGGAATGAACCGGTGCGGTCTGTGGACAACTGTTATTTTCTTTATTTTTTTCTTTCTTTTGGAAACCCTTCTTCTTCGCATGAAGATACATCTCTTGCGCTCGCCAATGTTGTTTCAAGGATACATGCGTCCTGTTAGTAACATGTCGGCCGGGAGAGACCGCTGCCGGCGAGCGTGTTCTACCCTCCCGACGGCAGCACCCGCGGCAGACTCACAGGCGAACGATTCTAGGGTATCACTTGTCATAGCCGGCACGAACCGGGGCCCTTGGTCGAAAATAGATGTATTGTAATGATTCCGCGCCCCCGACAGTCAGGCTGGGCCATATATAAGAAATTAGAAGATGTATGGTGGGCACTATTATAATGGCCCGATCGTGTGTATGTATGTACCGCTGCTTCCCCTTGGCCTCTCCGTTCCTTGGGCGTTTCCCATAAACACCCCGTGCTTTGAACACAATCCATAGAGTCATGGCGCCGGTTCTGCGTGGCCGCCTCAATGCTGTTTCTTCAGGTCCCTGTCAGGCCAGAAGAGCTCGCTCGTCTGCACGCGCACGAACTCCGGAACCCGCCTGGACGGGTCGTCCCTGTTGCTAAAGTTATTCCTTGCGGCTCTTCCGCACGAGCCTCGCGACTATGTGGATCTTGTTAGCTGTTTACACACGGAGTGCGGGGGAATGGGGGGGGGAGAGGGAGGGGGACACGGACCTGGGCCCGTGGTGCCGCAGAGGGCGTCCATGAGGCCGTAGACGCCGTAGTTGGGGGCGAGGCGCAGGTGGTGGTCGTCGTGGGCGTCGTCGCCCCACAGGAGCTTGACCTGCTCGCCGACGGCGGAGACGAAGGAGAAGGCGAGGGTGGTGGCGAGGTTCATCTCGAGCAGCTTGGCGATGCCGACGACGGGGAAGCCGTAGAGGAACATGAAGTCGGCGACGGACATGTAGCTGATGGTCAGCACGTGGTGGCGGCCGGGGTGGCGGATCTCGTGGTGCTTGGCGTGGACGCGCTGGTAGACGCCGGGGGCGTGCCACAGGCGGTGGATGGCGTAGAAGACGGCGTCGCGCAGGAGGAGGCCGACGGCGAGGTCCCGCACGACCTCGGCGGCGGACGGCAGGCTGTACGGCGGGATGAAGGTCCGAGTCAGCATCGACCGGCCGCCCATGGCGACGACGAAGGCGACGTGGGTCAGGGTTGCCACGACGTGATTCCGGAGGCTCTGCGCCAGCATCGTCCACGTCGTCTCGCTGGCGTACGACGGCCGCAACTGCTCGAGGACAAGCCCGAAGACTATGTACACCAGCTGCACCGACACGCTCCCCATGATCTCAACGTAGCCGGCGGGGTACCGCCTCATCAGCGCGTCCATCGTGGGCGACGATTTGGTGGGCTCGGCGACGTGAGCGAGCTGAGTGGTGCGAGCGAGGTGACGCGGGCGTGCGTGCGTGTGTGTGTGTGTGTGTGTGTTTGCGCGTGTGTGTGTATAGCAGATGTGAGCTATGTGAGCGGGTCTTAAGAGGGACGGGGGGCGGCCGGGTTCAAGTACACGGCTCGACGGACGACGATGAAGCAGCCGGAATACGCCCCCACCCATGAGATCCTTTTCTGTCTAGCCCTCGTGGCGGGAAGGAAGAGGATGAGGGATGGTTGCGACGAACAGGGGACAAAACGGCGCTTGTTTGGTTCGCCGGTAAAAAAGAAAGAAAGAAAAAAGCTGCCCGGGGTTGGGGGGGGACAGTGATCAAACCGGTGGAAAGCGGATGCGCAGTAGAGCAATCATGGGCAGAGAACAAGGGAAATCACAGCAGGAGGAAGGATGAAAGGCGCAAGCCACAAACACCACATGCGGACAGAAGACAGAAGAAGGGCGTGGGGCGTGCGATGGCAAGAAATGGCCACCCGCTGCTACCTAGCCTATCGTCCAGACGGGGGAGGGGGAGGGAGACAGGTCACGATATTGGGGCCGGAGTGCTGGATGCGTCGATTTTCCGATGGGAGGTGCTAGTAGGAACTTAAACACCAAAGGAGGTGGGGGGGGAGCCCGATGCGCTGGCTGCGCCATGAGGTGTCGTCGAAGAAAGGGGGGGGGGTCGTTTTGACACTCACTTTCTCCACCCCTCCCTCTCCCCGAGGCCCGGGGCTTGGATGGAAAGTCGTTCGTTGCCGTGCCGCAGAGCGGACCCGGATGTGGGGGGGCGGACTCATATCGCGGCCATGCTCCCAGGTATAACCCTGGCGGTGAGGGAAGCGTTTCCCTTAAGGTGGGGATGGTTTGCTCCCGATTAATTGGTAAACAAGTAGAGACAAAAAAAAAAAAAAAAAAGGCAAACCCCCCCCCGGAAGAAGAAAAAAAAAAAAGACAAAGAGGAAAGAAAGAAGAGAAAAAAAAGAGAGAGAGAGAAATAAGACGGAGTCGAGGGCAAACAAGACGACGACCATTTGCAATCTTCTGGCAAACCAAACAACTCCACAAGCAAGCGGCGGGACCCCTCTGAGCTCGCACGGAACACCCTCCGACGTCTCGCTTAATCGGTCCTCCGGCATGTTTTTGGCTTCGGGCATACATCTGGCCTTCTGGCCAAACCGGGGTCAAGAACCCGTCGCGCCGATACTACCTACTACTAGTAACCTTGGTACCGGTATCCTGGCCCAGTGATTGGACCTGCAAGTATCGAGCATCATGTCGGAGAGGAAGGACGCGGAGGGGGCGCCCGGGCTCGCTAGCCTATTGTCGACTCGAACGCAGCCGTTTAGGTCTCCTGACCGGAATTGCCTTGATTGCGCCTATACGCCATGCCAAAGTGTGGGATCTGATAGGAGACACGTAGGAAAGCGGTCCGTCGTGTCAGAAAGGGCGTTGCATTCTGCTATCACATCTATTTTACATGCGCGCTACACCGCTACAAAGGAGGCAATTCCTCCCGGCAAATGGGGCACTGCAGCCTGAAACGCATCCACCCTTCCAGGCAGGCGCTGTGGAAGATGTGCCGGCACGGCGTGACCATGTAGTTCCTTCGCGTAAAGACGCCCACGACACCGCCGCCGGCCGGGTCTTCCTCGCCGGCCCGCATGACGGGCACCTCGAGCACCTCGCGGCAGATGACGCAGTCGATCGCCCGCAGGTTGCTGCCGCTCTTCCTGTCCTCGCCGGATCGGACCCGGTCGAGTGACGGCGAGCCGGGCTCCGACAGCAACCCGATCGGCAGCCCGCCGGCCTCGACGCCGTCCTCGCGCAGGACGGGGTGGTAATCCCACGCGTCGGGCGTCCAGCTCTTGGGAATGCCGAACCGCGGCCCGAGGACGTACTGGAACGCCAGGACCCAGAGCTGGATCCAGAGCCAGGCGCAAAAGACAAGGAACGCCCGGTGGTCCGTCTCGGCGAAGAGAAAGTTGTTCTCGTACACGTAAAAGTAGGCGAACGGGAGCAGCCGCAGCACCGACTGCCCGATCATAAACTGCCACGTCAGCGCGCGGCGGCAGTTCCGCAGGATGTTGCGGTGAATCTGGGGCACCCAGAACGAGAAGTACACCATGGCCACGCTGTTGACAAACAAGTTGCGCACCCGCGGGTACCAGGACGTCGACGCGATCGACACGAGGAGGACCAGGGAGACGATCATGGCGAAGCGGAAGATGACCGCCTGGAAAGTGACCTCGGGCCCGATGCGGTGGCCGCCGCCCGCCCCGGTACCCGCTGTCGGGACCGCAGCAGCGCCGCTCGTGGCGTCCGCTATCTCGGCGTCTATGTCCTGATCAGAGGGGACAATGACAGGGGGTGACGGCGCTCTCCTGCGGGCCCCGGCGGTGACGGGTCGCGGGAGGGAGTCGGGCTCTGCGGTCGCCGCTGGCGTGGCCGGCGTGCGCGCCGACGTATCGTTGCTGGCGTGCTGCTCTCTCTCGGCCCGCCGCCTGTTCTCGGGTTCCTGCACTTTGTGGATTTCCGCCAGGAAAAAGCCGCCCAGAGACATGGACAGGAAGGCGGCGAAGAGGAGCGACAGGGACTCCAGGTACGTAATACTGGCGTCCAGCGCCCACATGGAGGCGGCGGCGAAGATGCCGCCGTCGACCATGACCATCATGCTGATCGTCGAGTAGCTGATGCGACCCATGGTCGATGGCGTCGCAGACTCCTTCATCTGCTGCTTGAGCAGCAGCGCCTGGCTGAGGATCACCACGGCGAAGAGGAGGATCCATATTCTTATCTTGTGGTAGATGATCTCCGTCTTCATGCCCCGCAGATGTTGCCCGTCCATAGGAGCGAAGTCCGGGGGCCCCTTTGTCTCGAGGAAGAAAGCGCAGTCGGGCGACCAGATGATGGCGGAAAGCTGTAGCTCTGGAACCCCACGGATGGGCGCGCCCTCTGGAAACCGGAGTTCCTGTTCAATGTCGCTGATGATTTTTTCCATGCCCTCTCTGGTCGGGCGGAAGCCCTTCATGTTTAAGTAGCTCCTGTCCGGGGGGTGCACCTGGGCATACATGATGTATTCGCAGTGCGGCGCCGGGTTTAGGGTGTCTGGCGGGTTGGACAGGTCCGACGTCCACGGCATCACGCCGTCGTTAAACACCTCCTTCTCCTTCCGCCGCAGGACCTCGGCCAGCGTCGCATTGAGGAGCCGCTGGCTCGACTGAAAGAAGTCGGAGCTCGGAGCGAGGTGCGGGAGACCAAAGATGCCGTCAAACTTCTCGCTCGTCGTGGTCAGCAGAATGGCCCCTTGGCGCGGCCACTGGACGCCGTGCAGCCGCATCTCCCAGTTGACGCCGCTGCCCTTGACGTCTTCGATGGTGACGGAGGCCTTGGCGCTGCGGACCTTGCCGCCGGATGAGGTGATGCCGTCCTCGACGACGCCCTGGTATGCTATCTCCCTCCCGTGCCTCCCCGTATCGACGAGGTCCATCAGGATCTTGCCCTCGTCGCCGGTGATGTTCCTTGCCCATTCCGACTGCGAGCCGCTCCAATGCAAGCTCGGCATGATGGTGCTCAGGTTGTAGCTCGTCCATTCCCTCTTGGACATGGCCTCCTTGCGCACCCACATCCCCTTGACGGCGCCCGTGGCGTTCTGCCAAACGGCCTCGCCCTCGCCAATGTCCCACAGATTTACGCCCCCGACGGGCGGGATCGCGTTGTGGCTCCACTCCAGGCACCGCTCCCGGAATCGCTCGAGGTCGTCCCACGCGAACCCGTCTTGGGCGCGGAAGCCCGTGAGGTTGAGAGACCTGGGCAGCGGGTCGGTGGACGACCCGTTCTGGCGCGGGGCGAAGTCGCCCCATTTGGAGGTGTTGAGCAGGTCGAGCGCGTGCCGGTGCCTCTCCAGGCGTTGGACTGCGAGGTCGGAAGCGGAGAAGAGAGACGCGCCGCCGGTGGCCGGTGCGAGGAGGGTCCAGAGGATGCCGACGATGGCGAGCCCGAGGACCACGGGGCGCGGGTTTTCGAAAGGGTACGAGGGCATGTTGGGCGGCGTGCCTTGTTGCCGCTTCACCTCGTGGCCATCGTTTTGCTACACTGGCCGGCGGGTTGTCGGTAGTAGCAGGCAAGAGCTTCAGGGGTTCGAAAACTGTTCGTCGTTGTGCTGAGATGCGAATTGTCAATGCGTCGGGATGAACACTGTTGAGCTAAGGTTATGCTTGAAGACGGCTGACAGCATCGGCTGAGGTTGACTCAAGCTGAAAGCGGACCGTTGGCGGACGTCGGGTCCGGATTCCGACGCCAGGCGCAATGAATGGTTTACCTAGGTACCTACCTAGGTTTATTCAGCGTGCGGCTTGGCTCTTGGCGTCCCCTGTCAGCGCTGTCGCAGGCATACAAGCATACGCCCCCTCTGGCGCTGTCCTACCTAATTAGCCCACAGGGAGCGTCTCGCCTGGGAATGTTTGCCGGGCCCAGCTGCGCAAACAATCAGTGCCCCGCCATTGCCTCACTCATTCGCAAAGCAATTACGAGAACACGAGCACGGCAACTCAGCGACATCAAAACCTCTCCAAACTTGACCATTTCTTCGTCAACTCGAACAAACCGCTCAAGATGGCCTCTACCAACCCCGACTCGAGCGCAACCCAATCTGCCGTGAGTGGACCGTGTTCCGCGCACTCATCTCCAAGGCCCCATGTCCCGGGGGCTGGCTGACTTTGGACAACGTGTACCTAGGTTTCGGAAGACCCCAAGGCGGACGTCAATGCCGCCGTCGAGGAGCTGCTCAACACCATCTCCAACAAGTTCGCCGGAGTGTCCAGTGAGATTTTCGCCAAGAGTGAGTGAGGCCTACCGGCATGAAACCCGCAAAAGTGACGTCGGCAGGCCGATTTGACACCCATCACAGTGGACGAGATGTCCCGCCGCCTGGACAACCTGGAAGCGGCTCTGTTGGCCAACAAGGACAAGGACGGCGGCCCGCCCAAGTCATCTTAGCCGCGGTCTACAGTCACGAGAGTTGCGAGGCAACATGACGTTGGCGTTCAGGGTTCCGGAAAGGCATCACTAGAGTTGGACGTGACGGCCGGGTTCGTGAGCAAAACTTTGACTTTTACGTGTTATTGTTATTTCTTCTTCATCGGTCTCCTATGCTACCAAATCGTCAACTGGAGCGAAATCCGCTCAGTTGCATTGTGCTTGCTTTTTCAACCTCCTAAATCTTCCGATATCTAAAGTTCAAGATGCATCTGAAAAAAAAAAAGGGTGGTCGAGTCCCTTACAACTCCTCCTTCTCGCCCGCGACCTTCTCCTCGACCTTCTGGAGGAACTTGCGGAGGATGTTGGTCTTGCTGGTGATCTCATCGCGCTTGGCGGGGGCAAGGCCACCCTTGGAGAGGATGCCCTCCAGGCGGGCAACCTCCTTCAGAGCGTAGCTGTCGCTCTTGTTGAGCTTGTCAAAGACGCGGACGTAGTACTCGGCGTACTTGTACTGGGCCTGGTCCTTGAGGGTCTCGGCCTCCTTTTTGGCCTCGGCGGCAGCCTCGGAGAGGCTGGTGCCTCCGGTGTACTTGGCGACAATCTTGTCGAGGGCGGCAATGGTACCAGCAACAGCGTTAAGGGCACCGCCGGGGGTGCGGTTGGTGCCGGCCTTCTGGTTGACGAACTCGACGAAGTCGGCCTCGCTGCGGCCACCGGTGTAGAGCTCGCCCTCCTTGGAGCCCTTGGGGAAGAACTTGATTGTCGGGTAGGAACTGACGCCCTCGGCAGCGGCGGTGCTCTTGCTATTCTCGGCCTCAGCGTCAACCTTGGCGATCACAACGCCATCATCAAGAGAAAAGTCCTGAGCAACGGTCTCCCAGATGGGAGCGAGGGACTTGCAGTCTGTTGGATAGTAAGTCAGCATTACCGGTGGCAAGAGAAGCACGGGATAGAGAGTTGAGACGTACGTCCGCACCAAGGAGCAGTGAATGCAACGAGGACGTCCTTGTCACTTCCAACGGTGGTCTTGAAGGTCTCGTCGGAGAGCATGTTGACAGCGCTGGGAGGTGTGTACTTCTTGCGGGGCTTGGCGCTGGTCTTCTCCGTGATGAAAGCGGTCAGAGAATCGAGATCGCGACCTCCCTTGTAGTCGGTGGGCGTGTCGCTCTTGCCGTCGAACCACTTGAGAGTAGGGAATCCCTGGATGCCGAACCTCTTGCCCAGGTCACGCTCAGCGTCGGCGTCCACCTTGGCGATCTGGACGTCCTTGGAAGACTCGAAAGCGGTGGCGAGCTCCTCGTAGACGGGAGCGAGGTTCTTGCAGTGGCCACACCAAGGGGCGAAGAACTCGACGAGAGTGGGCTTGCCGGACTTGAGGACGACATCGTCAAAGTTGGAGGGGATGAGGTCAAGCACGGCAGACTTGGCGGCAACGGTAGCTGCCAGGGCGCCGAGCACAAAGCTCTTGAGGACAACCATTATTGCTTTGGATGACTTGATTGGGGGGATTCACTTGAACGATGCGATACCTGATCGACGTGAGGTGGTAGCAACTGCCGGAGATGAATACAGCAGTTGAAAGGAGTGGTGTTATTAGCTGGTGCTTTGAAATCAGCCGTTTGGGGTGCTCGATAGAAGAAGCCACTTTGCAGGCGAACGTCACAGGAGCTCGGCCCCTTGTTCTCCAGCAAGGTGGCGGCTGTCCATGGTTCCAGTGTTCTTATCGCTGACCTTATCGCGAGACGACCCAACGCCAGCAGGCTCAACTTTCCTCCGTTAGTCGACACCGCACGGGCCTCCTATCTGCTCCTTCCTCGGCTGGGGCTGCCAGACCCTGTCCAATGAGAACCCACTGCGAAAGTCCGCCCACAAACCTGGGAAATTTTTACTTAGCGATCGAAAAACCTAACCCATCCAGACATCCCATCTCGAGTTTCTCGCCGACCAACCTCTCGCCCACAACCCGGTTACCATTGCACCGCCTCCTCAGCGTCTCGACAACATCAGCAAAAATGTCGCATGAAAGTGTCTGGAACTCCCGTCCTCGGACGTACGGCAAGGGCTCTCGCAGCTGGTACGGATATCCCGTTTCCCCCCGTTCGATTTGGGTCTCTGGTGAAAGGAACATGGGGAGCCAGGAGGACGGTTCAAAAGCAAGGACGAAGTGCTGACGTCTACCCTTTTTTTTCTTCATAGCCGTGTCTGCAAGCACACCGCCGGTCTCATCCGCAAGTACGACCTCAACCTGTGCCGTCAGTGCTTCCGTGAGAAGGCCAAGGACATCGGCTTCAACAAGGTATGCGGATATCTTCCCAGGCGCCAGACGGACTGCACAAACGGAAGGGGGACGCGATTGCTAACCGGGGGTGCGTCAAACAGTTCCGCTAAACGTCGAGATACGAGACCAAGGATGGGACTTGACGGTGGTCGGGCGTGACGGCCCGTGGAAAAATGCATTCGGACAGAGGGAGGCTTCCAAGGGCATGGAGTTCTTATGGCTGGCTTAAAGGAAGAGTATGCAACTCCGTCGGACATCCACTGAGGATAGACGAATACCACGACATTGAACCTTAGCAACCATCCCGCTCGGGGCCTCCAGAAACCAAGCCAAGACTGAGCTGCGCGTGATGGCGCGACGTACTGTAGATGATGAGACCGCGCAACGCATGGTGCCCACAAGCTAGGTACGGCCCTGCAAGTTCTGGGAATGCGATGACGACTCGAGGTTCATTCAAGTAAAAGATGGTCAACTACAACGATCGGAAACGTGAGAACTGGCTCTTGGTGTGGCACAGAGCACGGGTTGCTGTTCTATTGTCCATCGTCTTCTATAAAGTACATGATTCAAGACAAAGGGGTGAAGTAGAGCGGAGATCTTTGAGCCCAAGACCCGACAATATACACGAGCGCGAGGGCTCAAAGCGGAAAACTCTGGGTCAGTTGTACATGAAATCGTCAAACAGTCCAACTCCTTTTGTGTGTTTTGTACAATCCCAAATTTTCCCCATCATCCAGATCCCGTGTTTCGTTCCTGGTTCATCTCAGGCGTGTGCTGGGTGCCAATTCAGGGTATCGAGTGAAATTTATCCCCGATGTGATCCCCTTATTTCAGGATGCGGGTGATGAGACCAGTGGCGACAGTGCGACCGCCCTCACGGACGTTGAAGCGCTGGCCGACCTCGACAGCACTGGGGTGGTGCAGGGTGGCGACCATCTCGACGTTGTCACCGGGCATGACCATCTTGCTCTTGGCGTCCTCGGTGCCCTCGGGGAAGGTGAGGGTGACGGACTCGTCGGCGGTGCGGAGAAACATCTGAGGCTTGTAGTTCTCGTGGAAGCCGGTGTGGCGGCCACCCTCGTCCTTGGACAGGACGTAGAGGGAGACGAGGAAGCTGGAGTGGGCCTTGACGGTGCCGGGCTTGCAGACAACCATGCCGCGGCGGATGTCCTCACGCTTAATACCACGAAGGAGGAGACCAGAGTTGTCACCGGCGCGGGACTCGTCGCACGACTTCTTGAAGGTCTCGATGTCGGTGACCTTGGACTTGATGATCTCGTCGCCCTTGCCGACAATCTCGACCTCGGAGTCCTTCTTCAGGAGACCACGCTCGACGCGGCCACTGACGACAGTACCACGGCCGGAGATGGAAAAGACGTCCTCGACGGACATGAGGAAGGGCTTCTCGAGGTCACGGGTAGGAGTGGGGATCCACTCGTCAACGGCCTTGAGGAGCTCGTCAATCTTGTCGTTGCCGATCTCGTTCCTCTGGTTGTTGAGGGCCATGAGGGCGGAACCCATGATGACGGGGGTCTCGTCACCCTCGAAGCCGTAGGTGCTCAGGAGCTCACGCATCTCCATCTCGACGAGCTCCAACATCTCGGGGTCGTCGATGGCGTCGACCTTGTTGACGAAGACGACGATCTTCTGAACACCAACCTGGCGGGCGAGCAGCAAGTGCTCACGGGTCTGGGGCATCTGACCGTCGGAGGCGGCGACGACGATGATGGCACCGTCCATGTTGGCGGCACCGGTAATCATGTTCTTGATGTAATCGGCGTGACCGGGGCAGTCGACGTGGGAATAGTGGCGGTTTTCGGTCGCGTACTCGATGTGGGCAGTGGAGATGGTGATACCACGCTTGCGCTCCTCAGGGGCCTTGTCAATGGCACCATAGTCGAGGAAGTTGGCGAGTCCCTTCTCGGCCTGCCTCTTGGTGATGGCGGCGGAGAGAGTGGTCTGGAGGCCTGGGTCAGCTTTTATCGCGCAACGGGGCGGGTGCAAAACTCGTCATGTACCTTTCCGTGATCGACGTGGCCAATGGTACCTGCACCGCAACTCTGGTTAGGCACGGCATGCAAAGTAGGTCACCGGCAAGTACACATACCAATGTTGACGTGAGGCTTCGTCCGCTCGAAGACGGCGTATGTGCGGTAGACGTTGAGGATGGGGGAAACGTTCTGCCTCTTCAGGGCGGCCTGAAGGGGGCTAACATTGCCCTGGCGCAGCGAGGCGCGCGCCGTCCTGAGGAACGGCGCAACAGACCTGAGGGAGGCAGACATTGCGAGGGTGCTGAATATTAAACAGTAAAGTAGAATGAGACAAGAATGAACAGAGAGGAGATGGACGATGGGGTGCTCGTTGTCGACAACGGCTGCGGTGACTGGTTGGTCGGTTCGTTGGTGGAGGGCAGGATGAGTGAGGTTCGAAGTGGTATCGTCTGATGGGAGCCGGAGTCCTCGAAATTTTTTGCTGCCGGGAGTTTCCTTTTCGTCCAAGGAGACGGGGGGAGCTGCTGGAGCTCTTGCGTCCATTGGCAGGCCGGCCTACCTATCAATACTATTCCCGGACCCACCACGCGAACCATTCACGTGACGTCGCGTTTCCTCCCTTGACAAGTGCTAATACGCGTAAGAGTACTCCGTACTCGACTTCAAAAGCCAAGATGGAGACGATACCGGATCCGCAAGATCTCCCACCAGACCCACGTCTCCCTGGCCAACAGCCCCGATACTCACGCGATAACATTGTTGACTCGCTGGCGTCTTTTTACCAGAGCCTGCCTCATGTTGACCCATCTCTGGTGCGTCGCGCTCCGCCGGGAGGCTGGCCAGAAATCACGGCTGAATCGCTCGCGGCCGCTGGGATGCGGTCTTTGCCTGAACGCACCCTCGAATTGATCAGACACTTGCCGTGTATCGACGGCGACCCTGTTTGGATCACGCCCGAGACGTTTCCGATTAACTACTGTACCGCTGTGATACTCATCCCTGCTACTGTGGTGTACAAGCCCAAATGGCTGCCCCTTCTGCGTCACGATCTTCAGTCGTCTGATGAGTTTCCACCTTGGGTGTTTCAGCTCACTATGAGTGTGAACAGAGATGGCGACATCTGGATTCGAGACACCATGGACGGCACGGTGACCAAATATATTATTGCTGGGCCTATTTATCCTGAGCCGGTAGGGACGTATAATGAGGGCGATCCACGGATGTGGAGAGAGAAGTTGTGCGATGCTGTTACTCTTCCACTGGAATCGTGATTGAAGGGAATACTCGAAAAGTACAAGAATCTTTCTTATTTTGGTCTCCCTCGCCATGAATGGCCTGGTCTCCTTTGGCGTGATGGGGGATGGAGCAAGGAAATACAGGTGTGTCGCTTCACTCTCGGCCTAACGGGAACCTACTGACTTCTGGCAAGGAAATCGAGGTGATTATGCTCCAAAATGGATGGCCGGAAGATTACAATGGCAAAGAAGGCTGCAAGAAGTTAGCGGAATGGCTGAGGCAGGCAGACATATAATATATGAATCATTGATGATGCAGGCACAAGCAGAGGCAATAACATCATCATATGATGATTTTCATCAGGGTTGTAAACCGCAGTGTAAGCCCAGTTACATTAACACCAGGATATATAGGGATATCAGAGTCAAAAGACCGTCCTGGCTGGCTTGGAGGTGGGGCTTGAAGTTCGCTGTGCTCCGAGACAGCTGTTGGCTCAGGCGCGGGCGCTTCAGCAGGCTTCAGCAGGTGAGTCGGCTGCCCTCTGCGCCTTGTCCCTGAAATTCCTGGCCACATTCTTTAGCTTGTGGATTTCTCGTGAGTAACTGTCATCCGCGCACTCATTGAGTCAGAGGTGATGGCGCATTCCCTCTGGAGTCGCTACCCGCGTCAAGTTAGCACCCTCCAATACCAGTCCCGCTGGCTCAACCCAATGTTTTCCCGCAGGGCCATTGGGCCACGCGTCTCTCAAATCCACCTCCGCCGCGTGGTTCTTAAAGTAGACGTCCGAATTAAGAAGGGCATAATCTGGGTACTTCTGTCCGCTGATCGTCGGTATACGGATATTATCCGCGACACTGTTGTCTAGGAATTGTCGAGAAGACCATCAAAGCCAAGTTCCCAAACCGGCCGTGAGAGAGCCATCTTGGTCAAGTGCCACTCCACGGGGACTCTGGAGTCGGGGTCGATGATGAGTGTGATTGTGTGCACCACAAAGGCTTCCGGCGGTTGGCGGCATTTGTCAAAGATCTTTCCGGCTTCGCGGTTGTCCATCAGGTCAGTGTAGCGAAGCATTTGCCCCGCCGACAGATATCCATGCTTCTAGCCCGACATTGTTCTTTCTCGGTGCTGTAAATCGGCTGTACATCGTTTCGGTCTCCGTGCCCATGGAGGCAATCTGGAATGTATGGGGGTCGAAGAATGCAAGTTGATGTGGGAGAAGCCGTTCAGATTGAGACCTTCCGGCGAGACTGCCTGACAACTACGGGCATTTGACCAAGCCTCATAGTAGCCAATTGTACGCTTGGAGACAAAATTGCCTGAGCAGGATGGCCTCATGACATTACCGCAACCACCAAACTCCTTTTGGCAGCCTTTGCCGTATTGCCTACATTGAGCTTTTGTATTACAGTTTGAGGTGCAGTTACCCTTGTCCCACTCCGTTGGTGAGTGACCACACAGTCCGTTGGCACCGCAGCATGCCGCATTCTCACATGGAGTGTCTGCGTTGCATGTGCTGGTCGGAAGAGATCTTCCAGTAAGAAGGTGTCGAACATAAGGAATCGTGCTAGGAGTGGTAGGCGCATCTTGGCGGCGGAGGTAGTGGTCGCGGACGCGGTAGGCTCGGTAGGCTCGTCGCTGGGGATGGGACCGGGTGGCAGGGTATCGTCGAGCTTGACCTCGAAGAATTTGATGACGTCGGCACCGCCGCAAGTTTGCGAGGCGTCACCGGGGCAAGGAGTGCTGCAGTCTTCTTGGTCGGACGTCCACACGTTGCCCGCGTAGTCGTTGCATCGGCATTATTTGCCAGCCTAGAGGCCGGCGTACTCCAAGCCATCGGCGTAACAGACTGTCGCAGGTGGAAGTTAAGCTTTTGGCTCCTTCAACAAATCTAGAACCGACTATAGACGTATGTATCCCTGGCTGGCCTGGTAGGATCTCGTGAAATGTCTCAAGATGCCGTCCTACCGCAGGTTCCTTACCAAGTCGCTTTATTGTGTATGGGATTATTTGGGTCAGGGTGACCTTTAGCCACGTTTATCTAGTTACGTGATGGAGTTGTGTCTTATAGCACGTTAAAATACTGAGGCAAAGCATTAAACCGCTATACTGACGCGCCAAGAGTTCCATGGCAGAGATCCGTACCCTCCCTATGTTTTCTAAGAACTGTTAGCACCTCTTTAGCCAGAATTCTAGTAATGGTCTGCTGTCTCCCCAAGCCTAGGAGTACTTGGTCCTAGGTGTGCTCTGTATTGCTGGTGTTGTAACAGTTGCCTGATGAAAAGCGAGAAGCTAGGCTCTGGGAAGCATTCTTGAGGGGATGAGACTATCCCCCTAACCTCTGCCCCTAGAGATACAGGTTCGCAGGTAATCTTCAAGTCCTGACTTGATTATTACTCATACCGTTGACACTTTCTTTGATCCCCGAAGGTCGCGTGTCCGCGCAATCGTCGAAAACTGAGAATCTCGGTCTGGAGTCCAATGCAACCCCCTAAGGGGCGCCGCTCTCAAAACCTATGCCTCATCACTGTTTTCCCGAAAGATCAGAGGACACAATTCGAGGGCACTTGACCAAAAGCACTCCGGAAGTGCACCCAAGGACAGAGTGGGGGGTGCCAACTTCGGTCCTTCCGTGACTGTTCCGAGGAGTGGAACCACCCATGATACCTTAGAACATGACCACAGAAGGGGGCAGATGATTTCTCCCCCCTTTTAACAACTCTAACACACCCCGTTCTTTCTACCCAACCGATCACTGGAACGCATCTTATAAGTGAGGGTTTCGACAGAAATCTCCAGCCCAGTATGCGTCCCCGATGAAGAGTATCGAACCAGTGGCTGCCGGCATTCTGATCCTTGATAATATCGAGTGTCTGGACGGATGAGACGTCTTCTTGGTTTTTCTAGTTTTTCTGGGAGTTTTCCTACTCCGCTATATAAATTGGATTTAATGCCTTGGGCCACCAGCCACTCGAACCCAAACCCAGAAACTGGCAATATCGGGATACCCTAACCAGCTTGACCAAAAGCTCTCTCACGGTGGCAGAGGTGGCAGAAGCAGGAGGGACATACTTTCCGCGTTCATATGGCAGGAATGTCAGTTGGAGCTGCTTGTCTGAAAGAAGCTGCGTTGGGCTGGGCCACTGACCACAACACACCTTACCGCGGGGATGAATCAAGTACATAGGTAGGTAGGTAGGTACTTACCCGACATGTATGCACTAGAAGTACTCTTGGGAATTCTATGCAAGTACAGCCCATAGTCCCCCGTATTACGATAGTTCTCACGCAACCTCCGTGGACCGTGGGAAGGTTCTGTCGCTCTTGGTGCCATTGGTTCTGGCAAGATATGAACACCCTGATGACCGCCTAGTTATGTGTCTTTGGGTTACGTCAGTCCCTTTTGTCCTGCCGCATACGGGGTAAGAACCAGACGGCCATGTGTTCCAGGCCGAGGCCAATTGCAACAAGGTCGTCTAGCTTCTGATGATACCTCAGGGGAAACTTCTTGCTATCGACACTGTCTCGCAACTTTGCCAATCTGCACCAACTCACCAGGGCCTCAGTCTCAGCAAGAACGTTCTGGGTGGTGCGCTCCTTCACTATCCAAGTCTGCTGGAAGTAGGTTCTGATCGGGAGTTGTAGGGAGGAAGATAGACTGTCAGAATGTTGATGTGGGATGATGATATCTAGATTCAGTCTTGGCAGTATCGTTAGTTTTTTTTTTATGATAACCCAAATGGCACAAATTCGTATGTTGAAGTCTTTTTGCTTCTTTTATTATCTTTTATATCGCTCTCACTTCACGACTTAGGTGGCAAGGTGAATCTACCAGTTGTTCTAGAATCATGGATTCGAACAACTCAAGCCTTGCTGAAACACTCTGAAGTCGGCAGTAACCAGCTAACGGGCCAGCCAGCCAAAGTCGCATAGCGGAAGCGAAACTCGATAGCATGATATTAGGATATAGCTAGGCCTGGCTCAGGAGCAGTCGGCCTCGGCTCAACGTGGCCCCGCGTTGCTTTTGTGTCGCGATACAGGCGAGCCAGAAGTCGCTGCTTCAAGTCTGTGGCGGTGACAGCGGCCAGGCCGAGTCACCAACTCGCTGCTTCAAGTCTGAAGGGCTCCGAGAGCCTCGGACAACAAACGTCACCTACCAAAGATGATATTGATAAGTCTTATGGATCCAAGAAACCAGACGGAGAGAAGATGCGCCGCCGGAGCTTCAAGGACGGCATCTTGACCTTTCTTCGAGCGTTCATGGTAAGAAGGTTAAAAGTCCTCGATGTAATTTGACGGCCAGCTTTCTGACAGTGGGGCTGCTGTTGACAGAAGTCAAGGCTGTGAGATAATCAAGCAGTGGTTGTGGTCTGGATAGCTTCGTAGAAGTTGTGTCTGTAAGTCGTGAGGTATATAAGACTTCACTAATTAGACGCAGCCTTTTTTCAAGCGAGTTCTTGGCGACAGCAAGCTAAAAGTCATCCTTGGATCTAATACGAAGTCGATTACTGAGTCAGGCTAACAGTGTGGCGGCAACTTCGACCTCGAATACAAAAGGTCCTGCAAGGTTATTGATGTAGATGCCCCGTCGGTTATGCCGTGGCGACGCTACACGGGACGCCTCGGGTACCTCATCCTCAAGCGACTGTGCCACGCTCGTCCATTCCATCGGCCCACGTGGACTGCCCCGTGCCGGCGAGTTGAGCCGGGTTGCCACGCCCGGCTGGGTCCTTCCGACACAGCCCGACAACCAACTCATCAATGGCCTTCCGATCGCGAAGCCGCAAAGGAACCACCATGGTATGAGGCGCCCAAAAGGCAGAGACCGAGGAGACGGAGGCGAAGAGTTTGGTCGGCCGACGGACAAGGGAGCAGTGTCAAGATACTGAACAAACGACGCCTCGGTTCTCCCTTGTCGGTCCCGGGTAGAAAGGGGGGTCGAGACGTGGCGTAGGTATGGACTAGCTACCTCGTCTGTCTCAAAAGGCGCTGCCCGCTCGAACCGGTCGCGACGCTGCCCCGCGCTAGGTCCGGACTCGCGGTTGTGCAGAAGCCTCCATCTCTCCATGCTCCTCCGGGTTTCTCTCCTCGTCTTGTTGCATCGCCCACGACTTTTTCGCAACGTCCGTCCGTCGCCTCGCTTCACTCGTCGCCCCCGTCGGACCCGGACCCGGACCCGGACTCGTCGTCCCCCTTCTTCCCTTCCTTGGCCTTGGCCCGCTTCCGCAGCTTCTTCAACCGGTTGAGCCGTTTTTTCTTCTCCTTGAGCGCCTCCTCCTTGCTCATCTTGGCCCTCTCCTGCTCCTCGTCCTTCTTCTTCCTCTCGCGCTCCCGGAGCCGTAGCGCGACGCGCTTCTTCTTCCCTGGCCGCCTCCTCCGCGCCGCCGCCGTCTCCTCCTCTCCCGCCGCCGTCGCCGTCTTCGACGCCTTCCCCGCAGCGCCGGGGACCCGCGTCACCCGCCACGGCATCTCCATCCCCCACCACCGCTGCCGCGCGCGCGCGAGCACCTCGTCGCCCGACACCGCCGCGAACGCCATCTCCGCCCTGGCCTCGGGCGTCGCCTCGCCTGCGATGTAGTACGACAGGGGCCGCCCGCGCAGCATGGCGCCATCGCCCAACAGCGCGCGCTCGTCCTCGTCGACCAGCGCGATCTTGGTCGCCGGGTCCGTCGTCGTGAACAGCCGGAACTCGAACTCTTCGGGGGCGTCGTCGTGCTGGGTGTCGCGGCCCGGGCCTTCCGCCATCACCGCGTCCTCGTCCGCGGCGGTCACGGCAGGCGCCTGGTCGATGCCGCTCAGGTCAAGCATCCCCGCCATGCGGGCGTGGAGCTTGGCCAGGAGCTCCGCATCCTGCTGCTCGTCGTGGCCCGATGCCTCACCCTCGGAGGAGTCATCGAGGTCCTCTCGCCGGACTCTGTCGTGCGTAGGTATCCAGATCAGCATTTGCGGCGCATGGCGGGCCGTCGTCAGAGCGGTATGCCTCACCTCTTGGCGTCCGGGAGCTCGAACATGGCTGGTGCTGCGTGCAGGAAGTGCCCACTTCGTCGGGTTGCCGGGAGTTGCTATAGATTGTCGGTAGTAAGAGACAGAGAGAGAGAGAGAGAGCGAGAGAAACGTATCCGGGGGTTGCCGGTTGTCGTAAGGTTCGCGACGTACAAACTGCGAAATGGTATGGTTTCGATCGCCAGTCCCCGGCGCAAAGTCCCGTACTACTAGCAATTGGCGACAACAGCCGTGCACTGTGGAGTGTTTTTTTTTTTTTTTTTTTTGGTGGAGCGGGTGCGGCTAAACCGTAGTGGTGGTGGCCTTGATTGAGATTTTCCGCACGCTCAACGGGGGGACGCAAGAGCGTGAGCCTTATCTTATCGCCTTTGGGCGCAGATACATACCTGAGGCAGGCAGTTCGACACCAAAACGAAATGTCACTTCACAGCCGGTCAACACCTACCTACGTAATACGCTTCCCTACCTACCTAACTTTACAAATGACGGGCGCCTTTATGGCCGGAACGACGAGCACGCAGACGTCTGCAGACGCACTCATTACCAACAACATCTGGGGGGGGGGGGGGGGGGGGGGCCTCCCAGACGGGGGCTGTTTTCTCCCGTCTCACCCTTCCTCCACCGCCCAGCCCGTATCCGTACACAAGACATGCACTGCAACTCGAACCCATTTTCCAGCTCTCAGCTCCTTTCCAGCGGCGCCTTCCAACGCAAACGGCCCACTCCCGTCCATCGTGTTGGTAAACCAACCAACCACCCCCCCCCCCCCCCCAAAATCCGCGTGACGGGTGTCTGGGTCTCCCATTTCATCTTCCCACGCCTCACCTCAGTCACAAACATGTCACCCCGTTCCATCGGGTCCATCGGCTCCCGCCGCCTTCAGCCAATGAGGGAGGGAGGGGGGTGGGTGGACATGCCGCGACTGTGACATCGCACGAGGGAAGAGGCGTGCTGGAGTGGTGTGAAGCGGGCCGCCTGGCTTCCAAGCCGAAAAAAAGAAAAAGAAAAAAGAAAAAAAGACATGATTGCTGGGCAAACGACAAGCCCGTCTCGTTGTCTGTTGCCTAGCCATATGCCTAGGTAGTCTACCGTATCCTCTGAGCAAATTGGCCAACCGCTAATTCTCAGGCTAACGGTAAAGGGGAAAGTGGCCGCTCATAGCGCTAAACCTATCATAGAAAGCGGTCAACATACCCACCTATCCACCCACCTGCCCACTTGCCCATTATTTACTGTTCTTACGCCTTAACTTCCTGCTGACGTAAATGACTAACCCCTGCTTTTGCCTTTCTAGATCCCTGTTTCTGCCAGCACGCTAGCCCTTATCTGGTGGCCGCGATACTCTTTGCCGTTAGCCTGAGAATTAGCGGTTGGCCAATTTGCCCAGAGGATACGGTAGTCTCTCTGGGCCCCTCAAGCCTCGACTTTTTGGGGAGAGAGGCAGCAGAGAAAGGGAGTGGATCATCGTCACTCAACCCGGCCATTCGGGTCCCTCCCCTTCCTTCCTCCTCCCCTCTCTCTCAAACCTGCATTGCCTGTTGTGGTCCCTCTCCAATCGTGAGACTCCCCATCCTGCTTGTTCAACCCAGCCAGCCGGTTCAGCCATGGTGTTAGTACGTGCCGCCTCCCTACATCTTGTCGTTGCTACGCTGTCCCAACACACACACGCGCGCACCCGGTCGAATCCCACATGCCCGGCAGTAGTAGTAGTAGTAGTAGTAGCATTCCAGCCTCCACAGCCAGCTAGTGGCCCGAAACGGGCATCCTGCCCACCCTGGGCTGCGTGAATTGACTGGTGCTCCTGGTGGTGTAGCAGGCGGGCTGGCTTGCTAGTCTCCGCCCCCCACCCCCGGTTTGCCCCGGCGCGTCGAGATGCCTTCCGCCTTCCGCAGCCCAACGTTCTATCCCGTCACCCTTCCCCCCTCCTCGGCAAGCTCAAAGCGGGTAGTCTTGGTGGGTTCCCAATCCTCCCGCAACATGCAGGACGGGCACGATCTTGGCTGCCGACGCCCTGCCCGCCGGCGCCAGCGCCAACGCAGAACTAGTCCTGTCACGCTATTGGAAAAAGCGACCCAACCGGGCGGGACACACATCGAAGCGTGTAGGGTCGTTTGACTAAATGTGTGTGTGTGTGAGAGAGAGAGGGAGAGAAAGAGAGAGAGAGAGAGAAAGAGAGAGAGAGAGAGAAAGAGTCAGGATGGAGCGAGTATGTGTTTGTGTATGTGCATATCAGTGGGACATCCCACAGGCCATGGCAATCCGAGAACGCAGAGACTGTCAGACAAACCAAGCCCGTGTCGCCGCTGCGCTCATGCTGCGCGCATGTATGCGTCAACGTATCAACAAACGCGAGTGCCCATAGCCAACCCAGGCGCCCGTATTCGCGTTCGCACCTACTTACTCCGTGACACCGGAGGCTGCGCAGATACAAGATCCTGCGATCCCCCCCCCTCCCATCCGTATACAGCACATACCGGCGAAACCAAGTCGGTTGGGGCTGGAATGCTTTGTTATCTTGTCTACCTGTTCGCTTGCGCATTTCCTGGCCTATTTCTCTCTTTCTCTCTCTCTCCCTCTCTCTCTCTCTTCCCCTCTCAAATTAAACACTTAATTTCGTCCAATCTCCGGGAATCAGTGCACACACAAAAAAAGGAACGCCACAATGCCCATGTCTTGTGTGGTACGTAATGTCGACGACATTGGTACCAACGGAAAAGCACAGGCAACCAACACACCACACCACCCGTTCGTTCCTCACAGACCAACAATGGTTACCGACGGTCTGGATCCGCTCCGACCAAACCAGCTGATCCGATCCCTCTGATCCACATGGCGGGACTCAGACACTCGGGCGGGAAGAGGCTCTTTGCTGAAAACATTGCCGGCTGGAACCTCATCCCATCCCCGAGGCTGAGTCCACACGGTCCCCCCTCCATCACAATAGCCTTTCATCTTGTCATCTCTTTACCACCAACAACGCTAGCACGTCCAGTATAAATGATGCCGAGTAGGTTGCAATGCCTTTCATTGCTTTCCATGTCCGATATCCGGCGCCGAATGTATCCAAGAAATACCATACATCGTTAAAGTAACCTCCGTCCCCTCCCAATGTCGCGGCACGGCCTGGAGCTGGCGATAGAAGCATCCGGCCAGAGCATCCGACGGCAATGCTATCCTTCTCGTGGTATCGAAATGCCCAGCTACCAGACAATGCCCGTCTCTTGACGCCGATCTCGACCACTTCTTTCCTGCGCCTACCCGAATTATGCTGGGGTCCGATCCTGTCATAAAAGGTAGAAAAAAGAAATAGAAGAAGAAGAAGAAGAAAAAAAAAAAAAAAAGGAATGCCATTGTCGAGCAGGTTTGGACTTCACCGCCGATGGAGGACAAAATTTTGATCCGCAAACTGTTCCACCTGGTTGATGGCCCATACCTCAACAAGCTTCAGAATCGAATCCTCTTGCCTACTAAAAATTCAAAAAAAATCGTATCCGAACCGCAATCGCTCTCCTGGCCAAGAATCGAAGATATGGTGGTACACAGTCAGGGCTATCGTCCCAGGCAGGAAACCAACAGCTTCGGCCACAAAGCTTGCTTCTCCCGGCCCGGGTGCCGTTATGGCCCGACCTATTATCATCCCCTATAGTGGGGGATATCTGGCGTCGCCCAACATTCAAGTTTATGCGCGTAGCTAACTAGCGTTCCAGGAGTAATGGTTCATGCCATCGAAGGAGCCCCGGTGGGCGCTGCTGTACGACCCGGGGGCTGACGGAGCAGGGCCGTGCTCATGTTTCGGCGTCGGTGCAGGGCCTCCGCTCGAGTAATGGTCGGGGAAACCGTATGGCCGCCCCTCGCTGCTGCTGTACGCAACAGTCGACGCAGGCTCGCCGGCTGTTGTTGTCCACGAACTCGAAGGCGGGTAGTAGTCTCGAGCGGGGCCAGAGTGCGACGAGGGTGCCTCGGTCTTGTAGGCTGACGGCGCAATGTCGCTCGGGTTGTTTCCCACAGCGCCGTACGAGGAACCATACCGGTATTCAGGAGAGGCCTCGTGGTGTGACATGGGCCCAATCGATGGCTGGCTGGCATGCCTGGGGCTCTTGGTCGGCCGGGGGTTGTCAACGTATCTCGGCACACTGAGGGCGTTATCCGAGCTTGTTGCCATTGCGGTGGCCGACACCGACACGGGCGGCGGGCCAGTCGTGCTCTGCACGTAGGCGTACTGGGTCCTGATGGGAGGTTGTTCGTTTGCTCCCAACGACAGCTGCATCGATGGCATCGATGTTTGTAGCGGCATGTCTTGGGGCTCTGCGCTGAAGCTTGATCCGCCCGACAGCGGGAGTTTGTGGTATGGTTCGGCTCCCATTGTGGTGGCTGGGTAGCTTCCTGAGCCGGCCGGCGGTAGCTGAGATATGGAAACGGGATTCGAGGAAGACCAGTTGGGATAAGAGCTGCCGCTGCGTCAGCGTCTGTTTCCAAAAAGGCGGGGCGGAAACCCAGCCATGTCGATCGGGTGGCTGGCCTGGTTACAGAACGGGGGGAGGGGGGGGCTTACTTGGATCTCATGGCTCCCATCGGCGCACCTGGCATCTTCGGACCTCCTGCACTAAATGTGAAGGCAGAACGGGGCATCTGCATATCTAGTCCCCTTGCTTTGGCATCCTGCGGCTTGATTGCCAATGGTCCCGCCACAATGCCCAGTCCTGTCTCTACCAGCGCCTGGCCCCTTGAGCCGGCACTGGACCCCAGCAAAGGGATCTCCTTTCTGGCCTGGAAGTTGCGAGGGCTACGGCCACGCACCACGATAGGCGCAGTGGTCGCTTCGGTAAGCACGACCTTGCTACCGTTGGCCAAAGTTCCAACAACCTTGAGGTGGAGCACGAAGTGCTGCTGGAGTTCCTTCCGGCGGCCGTTGTTCGCCGTTGCGCTGTGCCAAGTCAGTCAGGGTCCGCGGACACCGAGGGCGACCGAGTAGGTCTAGTACTCACATTCTAAACTGCAACCGGCGCCAACCGATGGGGTACACGGCGTAGTCTCCCTCGGCCTCAGAGCCGTCGTCTTGGAAAGGGATTAGGGGCAGTGATGCCGGCTCCTGGTCCGGGTTCTGGGTGAGCTCCGGGGAGTTGGGTGGGGGTGTCTTCCACGGGATGACAATGAGCCGGACGGGGTGTCCGTCGACCGACTCGATGGCGGAGATGGTTACTTCGGTGTTGCTTACGGGCGCCGTCTCCCCAGTCTCGGTGATGACGGAGAGCTGACCTCGCGGGGTGATCAACGAACCGCTGATCTGGAAGAGGTTTCGTCGGTAGCACGTCAACTCGGGTTGGAGAATGGAGCCGTCGGTGGCGTTGGAAGGCATCTCAGACAGGAAGAACATGCCGTGCAGCTGCGCGGACAGCTCCAGCTGCTGCATCCGGCCATGTTGGTCGACGATGGTGTGCTTGTCTTGCACCCTCTTGAACGAGAGCAGCTTGTGGTCGTGGTTGACAGTCAGCTTGGAGCCATCGTCCCTCAGATCCTGGACAATCTCCTGGTACGGAGGCTGCTCGGTCTGCGAGTAGGGTCTCTTGAGGTTGGGGAAGCTGTGGTGAGAGGTCAAGCTGGGGTGCGAGTGTCTGTCGTAGGCGTCCGACTCGTCCTGGGGATAGCGACCATAGGGATAGGACCCGTGGTCTACGCTGGGGTGGGTGCTTCTCGGGCGTCCCGCGTGTGGTGAGCTGGACGAGTGGCCTCCGAGGCCGGAATCCAGGCTGTTGTTGAATCGAGACGACATTTGGACGGGACTCCCATAGTTGGACCAGAGGTTGGAATGCGCCGGCTCCTTCAGCTCTGCCATGACGGGGTAAGTTACCGTGGTTGACATTAGAGCATACCCTATCGGAGCGCTGCAGTCCTGTTCCAGAACCCAAGCGCGCCTCTCTTTCACACGAAAAATAAAATAAAATAAGATATGCGGTGGTTGGACCTTGCTAGGCGATCAACAAGGCGATTATATCTTGTGAGTGGTCCTGACGAGGGCAAGCAAAGCGTGAAAGGAATGTGTGAGAGCGAGTTGCTAGTGTCGGGAAGCAATGGCGAAGAGTCGAGAGATGTAGAAGAGGCAGGAGTGAAGTTGAAGTTGATCGTGTTTAAGGTTGCAGGGAAAGATGTATACTTGTATCTGATGGGGTGGGATGGAGAGCAAGAGGGACGGTAGATGTTGGAGGGGGGTGTCTGGTGAAAATCTTCGGCACTGTCCTGGGGTGGATACTCTGATGGAGCAGGGTTTAGGGGAGGCCAGCCAAGGTCAAGTCTGTGTCGAGTCGAGTCGAGTTGAGTCGAGTCGGGTCGATGTGATGTCTCGACGACGGGATATTGTTCCACTGCTGGACTGTTGACTTGGTCCTTCTTCAGCGGCAGCGGCGAGGGCAAAGTCACCGGTACAACGTAACAACGGGTTCTTCGGACAAGGACGACCAGTGCATGCAACCATACTTGGAAGGAGAAGGGGGAGAAGAAGCGGGCGATCTGGTGAGCGGAAGAACAAGGCACGTAATGGAGCTACGATGATGGAGTACCTATGGATGCGCCCTGCAGAGAGGCGACCAGGTTTAGGGAAGTACTGTTTCTTAGAAGGCGGCGCTATGGGGAGGGGGGGGGGGGGGAAGGGGAAGGGGAGGGGGAGGGGGAGACGGACTTAGGAGGTAGTCGAAGTCCAGGACGAGGGGCGGCGGCACTGAAACGGCTTGATAAGAGCAAACGAGTATAGTTGAGGATGCCAGGTTCAGGGCCTTCGAGTCCCGCAGCAGCAATAGTATTAGCAGCTCTCTGGCCTACGGGTTATGAAAAGGTATGTATGTATACATGACGGTCTAGTAATTGAAGAAAGATGAGAGAGCTCTAGCATGGAAACCGCGCATCGAGGACTCCCATTCGCCCGTTCCATACGAGAGAACCAGTCTACATGTACCTCGCGTGCGTATCCATCCATATTTGCACCCACACATAAAACTTGGGATAGGCAAGACGCATATATTTGCGTACACTAGAGGTATCATGAACGTCCGCGGGTCGAGCAGCCCCAGTTGGACACACGCATACGCATACACACACTCTCTCTGTCTGTCTGTCTGTCTCTCCCTCTTGCCCTCGTTCTCTGGTTCTCCCACTGGCGCGCGGAGACTCTTGTCCATAGTATACACCCACACGCTCGCGCGCGCCCACACGCCCACACGCCCACACGCACACAAAGCGAGAAACACCCACACGCTTCAATGCACCCCCGCTTCTGCCGGAGGCGCGAGCGACTCCCTTGCACAAACTGGCATCACTAGCAGCCAAAGGCATTGGAAGAGAGTTGACGGCAAGCCCCCAGGGTTGGCACTACTGACCCTGGCGAGCAGGGTGGCATGTGCGGTAAGTAGCCCCGTCGAGATGGAGGGACGGAGAAGAGCCTGGCATGGATCGTACGGAGGAGGCACGGGGGCAGAGGACCATCTCTCGAGGAGAAATCGCAGGCTGGGAAGGCCGCCATCACCCCTTGTCAACCAATGGAAGATCCATGGCAAAAAAACAGGTCAGGGGTCAAGGAGGTGGGGGGGGGGGGGGGGGGGGTAGCCCGAGGAGGAGAAGACTGTTAGCGTAGACAGAGAATCTTCCGACAGCTGTCCAAGGCCAGTGACCCGCTAAATCTCTACAAGACCGTTGGGCAGAGACGCCGATGAAAGGCAGGAAACGGGAAGGTGTCTGGGCTAAGAGGGGCGTGTGGGAGAGGAGGGGGAAGGAAGTCGGTTCACGAGATTGCTAGAGACCAGGGGCCGAGTAGAGCTCGCTTGGGGCACACATCCAGTCGCAGCATCCCTGTCCGGGTATGGTGGAGCCAGTAGGCAATATTAAGAGCGTGTCAATATAGCAGACACAGACGCCTGACTGAGGAGAGAGAGGAGGGTTTTGCTGGCGGGCTGGTCAGACTTAGGTGATGTTTCTGGCGGCGTTTTTTTTTTTTTTTCTTCTTCTTCGCTCTGCCCCCCCTCCTGGTGGTTCGGCAGAGGGGGGGGGGGGGGGGGGGGGTGATTTCAGAAAAGCAAGGCTGTCAACGGCGCGGTTCGTTCAAACATCCAGGCCTCGCAACTCGGTTTTTCTTCTGTTCGGGCCCGGCCGCCAACTTCCATGACTCTCTGGTTGACAAGACGATGCGCGCGCCCTGAGCAGGCACATGCCAGGGTGAATCACTCGAGAGGGGTGTGGGTTTGGGGAGGTAGACCGAGGAAGCAGAGGCCAAAGGGACCTGGGGGTCCAGCGTGAGGTGAGAGGAAGAGGAAGGTCATTGTGCGGGCCGAGCAAAAGATATGCTGGATGCCATGGTTCATCGAGTGCGCCTCACGACTCGTGATGCTGCCGCCTGTATCATCACTCAAGGCCTCATTGCGCAGGATTAGACTCATACGAAGATCCGTAATGACTTACATACGTACAAGGACGCTAGCAAACCTATCTATCTATGGAACAGGCGCAATCTCCTGGGTCCTTCTTTTCCCTCGTCGCGTCCGGTTCTTGCGCGAGCTACGGCGACAGAAACAGCGAGGGCACAAGGTTGATGGACGGAGACAGCGGTGCCAGTCAATCGGCCGAGAACTAAGCCAAGTAACGATCACGAGGAGACGCCAGGGAAGAGGGCGGCAGAGAAACATAAAACCGCACAATGCACTATGGAAAGCAATATTAATACAGAATACAGAGCGAGAGAAGTAGAAAGAGAGGCACAAATGCGGAGGCGTCCAGGCATGTTCGTAGGACGAGTTCCTGAAAGGGGAAGCTAACAGTCTGTGCCCGCACCTGGGCCAGGGTTGGTGGGTCGGTCCTCATGATGGCAGTTGATGGAACCCGGGTTGTGATGGAGGGGTACGTACTATGGCCCCGCCGTCCGCGTAGGTCGAGGTGCCGTGTCCGGAATCCCACGAACCAGTCGCATTGCATTTTTGGCATCGTGCTGCCGCATTCCTGCCAATGTACCTGGCAATTGTGCGTGGGATACCTATCCGAGACGGCAATGGTCGGGTTTTTTTCTTTTCTTTTTCCTTTCTTCCCCCTGCCCCTCGCCTCTTTCACATACCGGTATTCCTCTCTCGAGCCTCTCGGGTGTCGAGATTGGCGGTGCTCGGATACCTCGCTACCCTACTTCTAAACAAAAGAGGGAAGAAAGGGTTCCCCAGGAAACGTGAGAAACAGAGGCAACCTGTCTCATCAAACAGACAAATGGAGAGACACGCAATCCGAGCTACCGCGCCCCAGGATGCATAGTAAACAAATGTCAATATTTGACACACGGAAGGAAGCGAAGCGAGGCGAAGCGATTTGGAAAAGAAGAAAAAAAGAAGAAGAAGAAAAAGAAAAAAATGAGCCTTGAACAGAAACGACAATCATCATTTCGGTCGGTATGCTCTAAGCAGGAGGATAGCTGTCTCGAGGTACCGTAGGCAAACGCATCAGCAGTCTAAGGCAAGGTGAGGAGGTACACTGGCTTCCCATTCGTAGATGTTTAGACGGTTGTGCAAGGTACCTGAGCGGCTTCCATGTACCGACAGGACGAGGGGACCGTTGTGCGATGGAGTACAGGTTGATGGCGGCTGACCGCCTGCCTTCCTGGCCTTAAAGCCGCTTCGTCGAGAGACAAGGTACACGACTATAATGACATGATTTTAGGTACGCAGCATCTGGTGTGCCTTGGAGGTGGATCTCGACTTTGGCTTGGTGTATCCGTACTTGTGCTTCTTCTTCCTACTTGGTCGACGTCTTGGGAGGGGCGGGGGTCACGGCCGGGTGCATGCAGAGAGGTGCAGTAGTCGCAGAAGCTTCGAGCCACGGCTGCAGCAGCGACCGAATATGGCTGGCTGTCTATTGAGAGAGCGTTGATGGCCTGGGTCTGGGTCGGAGTGGCGGCCACATGGGTCAAGTCAGGCGAGACGGCGCGCGGTTCATGGTGAGGGTGCTTCTGGGGGTGGTCAGTCACCAGATGCACGCTCATGGTCACACAAATGCCGAGAGACAGATAGACAGACAGACCGATGTGATTACCTGCAGGGTGATGCGGAAATGGAAGAATGGCTCGCGCCGTTTCCCGAGTGAGATGCGATCGGAGCGTGGTCCGGCCAAGTTGGAAGGGGGGTGGAGGTTGGAGTAGCGGACGCGAGAGCGAGACGGCGTGCTTCGCGCTGACCTGATGCCTGAGGTCAGCAAAGTCAAGCTACGACGGTCCAATATACAGTACCTTAGCTTAACGTATATTAACTAAGCACCATCGGGGAAGGTGCCGGGATCGTTGATTTTCCATGTTGAACTGGTGACTGGGTCATAGGGATATTGAACCAGGATATCTAGAGCAATATCCGACGTTGATGCAATGCTTCTGCCAGACATTACTACGTACGGATATTGAGGATATTGAAGCGTGGGTTATCAATCGTTATTATCGATGTTAAGTCTCCTCTCTTCCCAAGGAAAACACTCTTCGGAGTAGGGCCTTTGCTCCAGGTAGCCCAAAACTGCCGCAGTCAACCGACAAGGAACAGACCTTGGGAGCGAGTCGGGTGGTGCAGCAGGCACTCGGAGAGGCGGGATGCAGGCCGACTCCGGCCGGCATTGTAGTGTATAGAGCATCGAGAAAAGGCGCAACTCGACAAAAGTAAGTCCGTGATGGAGGAAGGTTACGGCCATGGTCATGGTCACTGCTCAAACGTGCCTGTGCCCTGTGATGTTGCAGCGTCGAGGTTGAGAGAGCCGCGGGCGGTGCCAGAGCCGGAGCAAGCCCAGCCGGTGGGATGACGAACCAGAGTAGGCGCCGGTGCACAGGCTATCCAAAGCCTCTCAACTGCGTAGTTTGGTATAGAATGTGTCGAAGAAGAAGTAGGAGCACCTGCGAAGGAAAAGGTCTCAGGTCTCACACAAGACTGTCTTGCTGCCATGTCTCGCCCGCCTACCTTAGTGTACTTGGCTCTTGGGCGTAGAAGGTCGATAGAAGCAGGACGTTGAATGCTACCGACGAGTAACTGCACCTGCCAACTCTTCCCGGCTCCTCTTTCCTGCTCTTCTTGCCGGCGGAAGTCATCTCTGTCCTCTGTCATGTCAGGGTTCGTGCCTTGAGTCCCTAACAATGACTGCTAATGGATAATGACCTGACGTGATGTCGGGTGGTCGGGGTAAGGGACGGCGAATGCAGGAAAGCACCGCCCGACGTAAGTAGGTAGGTCGTGACGACGCTCCTAAGTTTCCCACTCTAGAGCCCTGCTGATGGCAGTTGCTCAATCGTTAATGCCTCGTACCAACCTCGTTCCCTCTCAGCCCCCCCCCCGCCACAACTCCTCGTTCTCACCGACCAACCCCTTACCCAGGTCAGGGCCACCAGGCAGCGGGTCAGGCATTTGTCAAGTTCTCAATCGTACACTATCCAGCATGACACTGACTTCGGCAGCGCTTGGTGTCCCCCCTCCCCTCCCCGTTCAGGGCCGTGTCCCCGTCATTCAGTGGGTAATTCCTAGCTCGTGCCTTCCGTCACTGGACGGGTACAGTGCCTCCTATGAGTGGGTACGATATTAACCCGCATCGAGTAGAAAACTCAAAATGGACCGGACAGGGTTCGCCAGGCTAAAAGTGCCTCGAGGCGGCCGGGGGACTGATTCAATCCCGTCATGAACCTGGCCAATTAGTATCGGGTATTCCCTCAAAGGACCGGCTCCACCTCCCAGTTCCTTCCTTCCTTCCTTCCTGAGGTGCTCTTGCAGCCCATCCAGAGTTGCGCTTGCCTCCCGCGTTCGGATGTCTACTATAGTAGTCTGTCCAGCCGGGTACGTATCTTCGTCTCTCGAGCTCGCACGGGGTCGCGACCTGCAGGTCCTCCTGCCAACCCAACCCAACCCCCACCTGTCTTTCCATTCGAGTTCTCGCCTGCCGCGTAGAGATGGTTGATGGCTCATGCTCTTGCCTGTCTCTGCTTCTCCAAGTGTCCGCCTGCAACGGACCGCGCCTTGGCATTGATTGCTCCTTCCTTCCTTCTTCGAGGCGAAGCTTTGTGTTTATTGCATGGCAATATACGCCCGACCGTTGTCCATATTCGCGTAGAGCGCGAATAGTAGCTTCGATGATTAGTGATGGAATTGTCGTTCTAGCCGTTCCCTTGCCAAGTCGAACTGCGGACTTAAAGACGTGTCCAATTCGCATTTCGTGGGTGTTATAGTGGTTCAATCCACTCAACGCCTATCCACTTCCCATGTCTTGTCCCTCTTCCTTTTTTTGTTTTTTTTCCCCCTTCCCGGCTGCCCCGACTTCTCGTCATATGTTCGGTCCCATCCATCCACTTTACCTGCAGGACATTCGGTTCCCCTCGACGCAGACCTGACCTGGGCAATCTGGCCTGCCTGCCTACCTACCTGCCTATTTGCTATAGACAAGTCGTGTTGACATCTGCGCAACTACGTACCTCCCTGCCATCGCAGCGCACTATCGACTGTCGACAGCAAGAACTGTGGATCACGGCTCCTCCTCCACCTCGCCGAGTGCACAGCAACGACTCGTCTCTTGTTCTCGATTAACCCCTGGAGCGCCGGGACCGTCAACATCATGATCAGGAAGGACCCTTGACCGAAACGGACCCAGTCCGCCGTGATCCTCGCCCACTGCCACAAGCAAGTCACCTCATCGGGGGCACATCACCGTCACCTTCTCCACGTCCCCCACAGCGGTACTAGCTCTGCTGCTACGATACCGCAACGAGGTTAGCAGAGGGTGTTCGAGGAGGAAATGAAGCCCACACCACACACCCGCCTATGTTTCCTTCTCAGGCACGTCGCAACACCTGCTGCTCTTGTCTGTTTGGCCCATCTCAAAACAAAGTTTATCGTGACTCTCGCCAGCGCCGTTGCATTCTGTCGCCTCCTTCTAGTGTAGCTGCTCCAGTCTTCCTACCCGATATGATGTACTTGCTTAAACCTTGCCCTGCTCTCTGGCTCCTTCAGGCACAATCGCCGTCTTCGTAGGAAGTCGGGAGACACTGGCCAAGCCTGTATCTCTCATCTTACACGGTGCACTTCCGGACTGCGATGCCTTGCCTCTTCTTGCATTGCCATCATCTCGTATGCCCCTTTCGTCGAGTTGCCCGGCCTTACACGAGCTCTGCTCTGCTCTGCTCTGCTCTGCTCTGCTCTGCACCCACCCCCCCGGCACCCATGTCAATGTCGTCGTCTCTTTTGCCTCAGTCTGTCTCTTAATCGCCTCCTATCCGAACTCGGTGACCCTGCGCTCGCAGACCCGGACACCCACGGAACACGAAGGAGATGGGATTGCCGCTTCTTGCTCTTGCGCGCGCACATCTTCTCAATATTGACAGTAACTACGTGACAGCAGGCGAACTACGTGACAGCAGGCGAACTACGTGACAGCAGGCGTCGGCCAGTGTGGACATAGCTAGGGGTCTGCGCTCACTGCACTGACGACAAACCAGGCCGTTAAGCTAGGGACCTAGGTATGCAAGTGACGGCGCTAAGCGTTGTGCGGTCAACTATCTACCTAGGTACGATGTCTACTAGCACGCTGCGGGGACCACGTCAACTTCAGACCGGTTCACATCGCAATTGCAGAGCGCATCTTTTACACACAACCACGGATATCTAATCCCACGCTTTCGATCCCGTACGTGGTGAAGGCGGCCAAGTCGTGCCTGTTCAGCCAAAATCCTCTGCGGTGGACCTGTGCAACCGACCCAACTAGGTAGGCACCTATCGAGAGGTGGGAGAACACGGGCAGGTCCATGCTGCCTGCCCACTGCTTCTGTTGACTACTTTTCGTACAATGTTTTGCTCTGCAACCGTCTAAGCAGATTAGCCCAACGTCGCTATTCATACATACCTACCAAGGTAATGTGCTTCTTTTATGGGTCGTTTTGGCAACTCCCATGTCCCAGATTAAAACGCCTCACAATCTCCGTTACCGAGCATGGCACCATATACCAATGACGAAGACGGCGGCGGCGGCGACGTCCTCCATCTGCCAAGTACATGTACGGATCGCTCCATCGGATGCCGCTAATTAATTGTCGTACGAGTCCCCTCTCTTGGAAACCGCCTTGACTGGCAGTCCCTGGCGACACAGCTACAAGGTCGATCACGGTTACGACTGTACCGCCACTGCGGGAGCGTCGAGAGATACACCACCGACCGACAGTTGTGCTGCGAACGCTACCCTGGTCTGGGAGACCTACAGGTACATTCCCACGGCCAACTACCCGCCCGTCCTCCACCGGACCAAGAAAAATCTGTGGCTCCAGAAATCCGAGCCTCTTGTTTCCTCGGGTCCTAATATCGCCCCCCTTCACTTTTCGAGGTTTCGCACGGCTTCGCACGGATTCGTCTTCAATTCACGACCCGCAGGCTCTGTCCACAATTGGTACAGATACATGCGATTCTTGCGCTATTCTTAACGTGCATCTTCCAGAGAGTGTCCCCCGTCCGAGTTGCAGACTCCGTCACAGACCAACGTTCGCGGCAGACGCATCCCTTGCTGGATGTAACCATCCGGGGGGGGGGGGGGAGGAGGGGCGTTCAAGGGGGTTCACGGCGAATTTCCTGTGAGATCGCGCGGGCACGGGACCCCGTCCATACCTCTCATCGAGGCGGGTTGGGTTCATTGTGCAGATGGCTTGCCGCTTGCTCGTCCGACAAGCCCTCATCCTTGCCAGTCCACCTAGTGCCCCCCCTAACGACCCTCGCGAGCCCTGTCACGCCTTGGCCTTCTTGCTGCCCGATGCACCTGTGATTGGCTGTCTCGAGGACTCGTCTACCTTCTGCCGGCCATCACCCAGAGTTCTCGTCGTCCCTCTCGCGGTGGAGAAGGCCCTTTCAATGGAGGAGCACGGCACTCGAGGCCAGGCTGTTTCGACCTTCCCGATTAATGACTGCTTTGGTGATGGTCTGTGTCTCGAGATCGAAACAGTCGACAGGGCTGGACAGGGGCCGACTGGGCTGTGTAGACATGGAAAACACAAATGCGGATACACATCAGATAAACAGCAGGGCCATCAACCACCGGCATTCACGACTCGGTCAACACCGACAACTAGCCTTTACCTTGCAGTTAAGGGGCACGCCGTTATGGTTTTCGGCAGGCCTTGATCCTCTGGCCGGTCTCTGTTATTTTTACACAAGGGTTGGTGCGGGTTCTTGGAAACGACAGCCTCGCAGTTCTTGTTTGCGGACTGCCAGACCGAGATTATCCCCTTTCGCACCCATGGCTATATCGACCTGACTAATGCCTATATCTGCCACCAGCTATATGCCTCTCCGACCAGGAACGGGCCCCCTATTCGGCCAAAGCACCTCGACACATTCATAAACCCAACGCTGTGCTGCCGGTGCATCATCTACCCATTTGGCAAATCGCCTATCCATTATTATGCTTTGGGCTTCACACCTGGCACGGCGCATAGCACAATTCGATGCGCACGTTTGACAGCATTGGGCCATGACTAGTAGTAGTTGAAAACTCGGGTGCTCAGGCCTCTGATACCGGGGGACCCAAACATTTGTGGCAGCCCCGAGGCATACGACGGTCGGCTCCAGACGGTCGGCACTCCTTCTCGAATGGCGGGTTTTGCGTTGCAACCAAACGCGTCAAGTGCTCAATGTCATCAATTCTCCGAATCGGGGTCGCTTCAACAGCATGGAGCCTGGGGCCTGGAGACAAGCTCCAACGCGACATCGGATTGCGATGGATCTACAGAGAGCAACCTGAGAGTGCCACAGGGGCGGGAACGAAATTGAGAGAGCTTCAAGGGCAAGGCTCTCACTCGCGCGGCAGTCGGCTCTTGGTGGCACCGCTAAACGACGTACACGCCATTCCCACCTGAACCCACCCAGACAAGCAAGAAACAAATCCAAGGGGGGGGGGGGGGGGGGGGGCTCAGGGGATATGGGGACGGGGAGACACAGGAATGGCGCAAGCCTCCCTGATTATACCAAGCATCCTGTCTGGACCTTGTTACAGTTGCAAACCGTCTTTACCGAAGAGGGCCGCCCCCTGCAATCTTCATCCACATCTCTCCGGTCATGAACAAATTAATCTGGCGTCAACTGGGGTCTAAGCTGCTTCGAGGCACGTTTCCGGCACAGCAGGCTCCTTTGGGACAACAATACCCGCCCTCTCGAGGAACCGGCTGCTCGATTAAGAAACGCATCCTTCGTTTTCCCATCTCCCGATTCTCACACCCTCCTTCGAGACCAGAGAAGGAGTGCCTCCCGCCGTCTCAATCTCGCTGCATTGGTCAAGGCTTTTCATTCCGAAGGGAATGTCCCTGGTGATGCCCAACCAATCCTTTGAGTGGATGGGCCGAAGACGGGCAAAAGCTGTCAGTGTTGAGTCAGCATGGCTGGACACCACAGGCACGGCGGCCCTAGCTCTGACCCCCCCCCCCGGCAAATGCCACCGGCCCCTTACGCAGTACACTAGCTCTCGGTGACAGCGCCGTTGACTCGTAGGCGCACTGACGGCCACACGGGCGGGCTTATCGGCAGAGTTTAGCTCACCGTCAATCTTCCGTTGGGTTATGCCTCTCCCAAGGAAGGGCTTGCTGATAGACCAACCAGCCGTACCCAAGCATTAACCAAACTAGCTTATGTCTGCCCACAACTATAAGACGAACGACCAACGCGGTAGGGACATCCCGAGAAGAGTGCGGCATGGCAGGCCCTGCGTTCAGTTCGCACCCAGCACAGCGTTCGCATCTCGCGCCAACAATGGAAGCAGACTTTGCCGTAACGGCGATGCAAAAGGAGCAGCGGCAGAGTCTACCTACGCTATGCCGGTCCAGCAGCCTGACTGGTGCCACGCCATCGAACCGAGGCGACAGAGGCGAGCATCTGAATCAGAAGATGGAGTCGACCTTGTGGCTCGTGAGCCGGCCACTGCCATGACGAGCCAACAGGGGGGTGGGGTCTACGCGCAGTGGCGAACTTGACCGGTTTACTGCTACGCTTTTTAGCTGTTGCCGCGTCGATTAGCCTTCCAAATCGGCCTCACGTTCCGAAAGTAGCCCGAGTTGTTGACAAGTGACACATGACGGGTGCTATCAAAAGGGCTTCCGGGCCTAGAGGAGCATCTAGCCCGGTATAACTAACCTACATAAGGCCCAAGGCTAGTGGCAGTGTATGTTGCTGCAGTTGTCAGTCGGTGGACGGCTGATGAGCACTTCCATTATGGCCAGGGGTCCTGTACTGGCGCTCTTGGTGCTTTGAGCAATGCTTTGATTTTACTCTTGCTCCCTCTCTCCGGGCCGCTCGCGCATGGCTTCCCGTGCGGACTTTAATTGAGGTCCATTTACATGTCAGGTACAGGATACCACCTGGAGGCTCATCATCACCGTGCGCCACAAGACACATGCGTGTTACCCTCACAAGGGGAAGATGGCCGGCTGCCATGTTGGCATCGGGGAATGATGTCCTTCGTTGCTGCAGTATCATCCGAGATTGTCTACATGAACACTCCAGGACGAAAGGCGCAACGAAGAAATCTCAGCCGAAGGAGGTTGCAATGCCTGCGCTTCTCGACTTAGAACATCATTGTCCATATGTGGCGGTGCGGTTCTATCATTCCTTGGAACCTCCAGTAAGAGTTTACGATTTTGTTTCGTTTCGGCTCTGCGCTTAAGAATATGTAGGCTCCCCTGGGCATCGCCAATCTCCGTCCTTTTGCAGGGGGGGGTGCGGAGGATCCGCGTCAATATTGAGGCCATGGGCCGCACCGCCACGCCATATCCAACTCGCCGGCCATGCACAAACCTTTCGATTTGGAAGGGGACGGATATTAGCCGATGGAGAATGTTGGTGTAGAACAACATGTGGACGACGGGTTGGCATCGCCGAGCGGCTGGGCAACAAACCTCGATATCCATCACCCATCAGCAACAACATCGACTAAGCCCGTGACAATGACCAGATTGAGCCAGCTCTCGGGTCCTTGTCAGGACATGGACATGTATGCACCCCGCAACGCGAACATCTTGACCCATACGATGTTTCCCCAGGGCCCTTATCCCGCCCGCATCGTCTCATTTCGCACAATCCCGAGATGAGATTGTTTTCCGCGAGAGATGGAGGGCGCTGTCGTTTCCCCGGGCCCCTGTCGCGGCTTATTTTTATTTTATTTTTGGGTGGGGGGTGCTTTGAGCTCTTGCTACACCACCCCCTGGTCAACGAATAGGCAAGGTATGTGGACATTCGACCGGCACCGTGATCCCCAGGTCCCGTTCGATGAGCTGGAACCAGACAGGAAGGGCCGAATACAGAGTCGTGTTTTGCCGCCTCATCATCCCGGCCAACTGGCTTCTTTCACTCTCCCATCACCCAGCTCGGTCCTGGGGAAGCTCTCGACAGGAGAAACAAAGTACGGCTATTGCTGATCGTGGAGTCTCTAGTGTACGCTCATCCCCACTTTACCTCGCTTTAATTACAGTGTATACAAATCTCCGTCTTGCGATCTGGGAGCCCATGGTCGATAATGAGGTCGTATCCAACAGCAGACCTGCAGTAGGGGCTTTCAACGACTATAGCAGACCATGCCTGGCCCTTCGTTCGCTCGTAGACACGTGCAGCGCCCCAGTGATCGCAAAACGGCTCTGCATAACGAATTTATGCAATATTCAGGGCCTGCTCGGCAGACACCTGTAACCCAGGAGGAAAACGGTGGGCTCCATTAGCGATGCTGCAATAACATCGCTGCTAAGCCTTCAAGGTGCTGGCCAGAGGCCCACGCAAATATCATCCGGTCAAATGATAGCCCTTCGCGTATGCGTCAGTAGTGCAGAAGCTCCTTTGCAAAAGTACAGCAACGTTCGGAGTTGCAGCCGGTCCTGGATATCCTGGCTTTTCCCTATCACGACAGCGGGCACCCGCTAAAACCTCGGCCCCGAGGTCCTAGATGCGGAAGACAAGTCACCGGCTTGGAGCTGTATCGTGCCTGATTCCCTCGAACTGCCACTTTCCCGGGGTTGTCGTGGGCCTCGTGGTCTGTTCCAGGGCTATACGAAGAGCGCTTTGGGAGCATGTGTGGCTTTTGATAGGTTCCGTAGCCAGACACAGACACACACACACACACACACACACACACGCGGCTTTTTGCCTAGGCTACCATTGTGCAGCAAGATTCTATGACGCATGGCCAAGCCGGCTTTACATACCACAGCGACGTCGCCGATCCAGGTATACGAAGATGACATTGACTGTGCGGCATGGTGGTCTGAAAATGCTAAGGCGGGTGGCAGACGGCGTGCGACGGGATGACTGACTGAACTTGCTTCTTTGCTTGCCTGGTCAAGGCATTGAGGACGAACTGATCAGTGATGTCGCCAGGGTCGTGGCACTCCAAGGCCCTGGTGTCTATCAATCTCTAGACCCAGGCGACGCTGGCCGCCTGCAATACCCGTCGGCGTCGTCGCCGGCGTTTTGCCGACAGCATCGGCACGATAACGATGGCGTCGCAGGAAAGGGGTGGCGATGGCGACCTGTTCGTACGATTATGATGATACGGCCTTGGCTCCTTGCGCCAGGCCGACTCGTGCAATTGTTAGAGCAAGGTGCTCTTGAAACCATCGTTCCCTCCTCCGTTCTACAGAGTCACATTGGATCGCAATATTCTTTCCGAAGCAAAAGTGGACCGGCCCTATAGGTGCAAGGACAAGAAACCTTTCCTGTTCCCCTTGGCCTCATTTACTCCCTTGACAAGCTGGTCGGCCTGCCGGCCTGGCTTCTACTCATATTCAACGTGGCCTTGGTGGCTGTCTACCCCGTGCAGCACGATGCGACGCCTGCCTCGCCGGTCGCCTCGCCGGTGTGCATACGAACCGTACCTGAAGTACCTCCTCTGCGCTCCGTCTCTCGCCGCCCACAGGTAGCTGTCACCACACTCCACTTGTCTTCAGCAAAGGGAGGGGGAAGGGGAACCCATCGGGAAGATTACGATGTGGCTACTTCGTGAGTCGTCCAGAACCTACGCCCCTTGGACCCCTGCTCCACCCTCATCGATGGCGTCGTTAACGTGCTCGACCCCCATCCGGTTCACACTCCCCGGATCCATGATCCATGGGGGTCCGTACTGCGCGCAAAGGAGTGAAAGAGCAGGACGGGCATCCATGCCGCTCGCAAGGCCAGGCTCGCAACGGAACGACCATTGTTCGACTAGGGCCAAAACAATTGCGGAGATCTCGGGCCTCACGAGATCGAAGCTCCAGATAGCTCTCTTATATCGGGTCTCCGTCGCTGTTATAACTCTGCATAGGTAGCAGCAGCCGTGATGGTAGCATCCTCGGCGCGATGACGGCAGGGACCGCGGCGTCGCAAATGAGCACGATGGAGCTACCCTCTCACTCTTTGTGTGTGTGTGTGTCTGTGTCTGTCTGTCAGTTTAATTGTCCATTCCGTCCCCACCACTGTTACACGCCACAACTTTACCTTTTGCCATGAAGGAGGGTGTGTTTACGGGTTGCAGACTCAGCAACGATCGGAGCTTGATAGATGGCATACCACCCCTCTTCCTGTTATTCACAGGTATGTATCCTCTCCCTCCCCCCACCCTCTTCTTGCCTTGGGACATAGCGCGTACAGGCGCATCATAGACTTGGAACCTGGGACCTTGGTATTAAGAGCTTGGATCCAGGGTCTTTCGATTTGGATGGACGTCGACTCGACGAACCCCTCCCATCTCATTCCGACTCGTGCTCCCGCCCCTCTCCTTCTCCCCATCACAGATGCAACATGCTCACAGTGTACTGTAGCAAAACCATATCGCTGCCGTTGTTTTGTAGTCTTCGGGGCATTTCTCCTACTCCTCGATCGCCACGCCCGCAGCGAATTACCCCAAGCCTTCCCACTGCCCCCCTTTTGTCGGCTACTCGACAGGCTCTGGCCTTCGGCGCCAGTCTTCGACTCAGGCCTGAACCATCCGGGTCCGGCAGATGCGAACCAACCCGGTGGGGGGTATCGTTGGGTTCTCGCACTCTGGCCAAACGACAAGCTCGGTATTAGAGGTTAGCTCGTGATCAGGTAGCTCGACCATGGATGGCTTCGCTTGCGGCACACTTCGTCGACCGCCGCTAGCAACTCAACCTAGCCCGCCACCCGCCGCCCGCCGCCCGCCGTTTCTCGTTCGTAACCCGCGTTCACCCTCCCTCCCCCCTCTTCCCCTCCTGCAAGTCGTCCATCGCTTGCTTGCCCGCGGCTTCATGTTCTGGCGTGCGGATGGAGGTCAGTTGCGAGCTTGACAGAGTAGCAGCCATTTCTGGGCAACTCTAAGGGTTCCTCCCCCGGGCACTCCTTTTCGCCTGCTACCTACCTACAGATATGTCGAGGTTGCGTTGCTTCCCCCCCTCCTGTTTCCTCCTCTTGCGGACCCCTTTCCAGAGCCACGCTGTACCTTGCGTGTAATAACCTTACCCTGTTGTGACCTTCCTCTTCCCTCCCTTCTCCATCCTCCCCTCATTGATCTCCGGTACTTGTCAAGTCAAGCGGGGCAGGCTTTATGACATAGGGCCGAGGATATTGAGAGATATAAGACTGTAGCTATTATGGAATATCACGCAGTCGTTCATTGCTTACCCCCCCCCCCCCCCCCCCCCCCCCCCCCCTGTCGAACGCGCGACCGGGAACCCGACGAGATTGGGGAGGCACGTATACGGGATATCCTGCGTGATATCTTGCGTGCAGGCCGGCAGAAGGAGTAGAAGGCGGAGACTCTGGGATTCGAGGGGGAGCGTCTCAGGCGGTGAGGATGAGGATGGGGTCTAGAGATGGCGAAGAGGCAGGGGCGCACACACACACACACACACAAAGAGGGAGAGGAAGGTAAAGAGAGTCAGATGCAGTGCAGATGATAGGGCGAGCCTCTTCCTCCAGCCGGCGCTGGGTCCGATGGCACGTCGACTGTTCTCCCCTTTCCATCGTAACCCCCAGACTTGCTGCCCGTCCCTTGATCCTCCCCCGACCTCCCTCCTTTCACTCTTGATGCGACCGCCCACGAACGTTCCGAGCTCCTTATCGCCCCTTCCATCCCCTCTTACTCCGAACATGTCCTTTCTTGCGGGGAGGAGTGGTGGGGGAGGGGGCGCAGGTTTGGAATCGCCAATGATGTTTCGGACGGAGCCGGACATGCTAAGCGAGTATGCAAATGCCGTTGCCGTGTCCCGCGAGAGCGAGACTGAGGAGGGGGGGGGGCATGCAGCATGTCGCGGTGAGCGGAACTCGAAATCACCGCTTCGTGTTTTTTTGTTTTGTGTTTTTTTGGTTCTAACCACGTCACGTTTGTCCTGCGGAGCCCTCTTCTCCTCCCCGGAGCCGAAATCATTCGATCCCGACGGGTGGCCGATAGTGATCTCGCGTAAGGATATGACGGGCCAGGGCAAGTAACGAGGATCGATCGGTTCGGCAAGACAAGAATAGGAACAGAGTTGATGGGAAACCCGGTTGTGGTCAGGCAATCTACCGGCCCACCTCACCTCCGTCCCATTCCCCGTTCCCCCCCCCCCCCCCCCCCCCCCCTTCCCTCCCCGCTGCAGCCCAACAGCGAGGACGACAAGATGGACGACGATGAGGACGACGACGGAGGTCCTGAGGCTCTCTTGTTCAAACGAGTTTGTCGGCCTGCAAGAGGGTACCGTGGATGTTGCTAATCTCGCCCGTTTTCTTAATCTCCCCCCCCCCCCCCTCCCCCCTCCAAAGAGAAGCAAAACCAGGAAGTGAATTTGTCAAGCTGTTTCCACTTTCATGTCGGGTGTTGCTTGCAGTGTGTCGAGTAGGCCCCCGGCCATTACCAAACGATTTTATAACGAGCTGGACAACGGTCCTTCATCTTGAGCCTCGCCTGCTTGCGTGCCGTACCTTTATGCCAAGGCAGCTCCAGGCTTTGATGGCGGGAGATGCCAGCATGTGGGCGCAGCTGAGGAGATGTTTGTCTGGTGTTGCCTTGCTTTGGGAGTGACTTGTTGCAGACTGAACGCTGCAATCACCGCGCTGAGATGACACGCTCTCGAACTCTTCTGGCGGTCTTGCTTAGCCGGTCGGTCCATGCGCCTTCCTCCCCTTCCAAGGTATTAAACGTCGTCCAACGACCGCTCCCTACCGAATGCCAGGAGTCAAGAAGAAAAGAAGAAGGAGAGAAAAAGAGGATGAGAAAAGAGGAGGAGGAGGAGGAGGCAAGGGCCGCTGCCTGCTTGTGACATGCCTTCCGTCGAGGCGCAGGTCCGTCACACACACCCAGCACGCACTAGTGTCCCGGCCAAAGGTAGTTCGGTAGTTCATTCCATTCGCTGTCCTGTCTGACCATCATGCCGTCGTCTATGTCCAAGTTGCCCTGCTCTCCCGTCTATGGTTCTCATCGTGCCCGGCTGACATGTGTTGCGCCCATCAGGAACCAATCACCCCTCGTCGCTGTCCTCTTCCTCGTCGTCCAAAGCCATCTGCACGAATCGTCTGATCCAGGCTTCCTGCGCTGCGTCGAGCGCGTCGGCGTCAACGACCCCGATGCCAATCTCCCCATTCCTGCCCACGACGGGCACCCGTAACCGCTGGTTCCTCTGCTGGTTCTGCCGCCGACCGCCTCGAGCGTCTGCGCCTCTGTTTCCGCGCCCGCCACGTCCGCCTCGTACGGGAGGCCCGCCTCTTCTCGCGGGGTTGACCGGCGCTGGTGGCGCGGCAGGCGGGACGGGACCGTGAGCCGCCCCTGCTGCTGCTGCTCCTCCTCCTCCTCGGCCGCCCCGAGGAGCCGGGTCGGCTCCTATCCGTAGGACGAGCGGCCCTTCTCGTGCAACACCACCAGCCGGAGGGGGCGGTGGTTGGAGAACGTCGTCCGCCTCCGCCTCCGTGTCCGAATCGCTGTCGTCCGGCTCCTCGATCTCGGGGACAAGGTCGGCTATCTCGACGACGTCCTCGTCCTCGTCCTCGTCCTGCGCCTGCGCCTGCCGCGCGCCGCCGGCGAAGCCAATGCCGACGTTATCGCCATCGCCGCCTTCCAGTTCCCACAGGCGCATGAAGCACGACGTGATCTTGCCGTCGGGCTGTTCGTTGAAGTGGGCGTACGGGTTCCTGGGGTCGAGCCAGGCCGAGCATAGATAGCAGAAGTGCGAGGCGCAACGGAAGCAGATCATGTGGTTGCACCCGTGGCTCTTCTGCGCTGTGACGCCGCACGTCGGGCACGGTGTGGTATGAAGGTTGATGTAGTCGATCGAGGCCTGCTCCTCGGCCGAAAGCTCGCCCGTGTCCCGCTTGGGCGTGCAGCGGTAGAACTCGCCATGCCACGACTGGTAGCAGCGGCTACAGAAGGCGAAGCCGCAGTCTTCGCATATCGCCAGGAGGTCCCCGCGGTCAAAAGCCTGCTTCTTCTTGCCTTTTCCGCCTTCGTCATGCCCTTCGGCACCTTCATCGTCCTCTGTGTCTTCACCTGAAGCCTCAACCATCTCCAACCCCTCGGGCTTCCTGTGCTTCTTGGACCTCGCAGCGCCCTGGCACCACGACCGGGGGCAGTAGATGGTGTCCTTGTCCGACTCGAGCTCGTTCTTGTACTTGAGGGTCACGTAGCGAGTCACCGTCTCTTGGGACAGACCAATCTGGAGCAGTTCACTTGGGCTGATGGAAGTCTTGACCTTGCGCTTCTTCCCCGAGGCCGAGATCTGTCCCGCCTCGGCGCGCTCTTTGGAGCAGTTCGGGGCAAGACAGCGGACAGTTGCCAGGTCTCCTTCCGTAATGGCATTATTGTAGAATTCCTGTAAGCATTGGATACAGAATATGTGCCCGCAATCGAGCATCTTGTGACACATGAAACCTTTCTTGGGGTCTGCGCGGCGGATTAGCGGGCTTTCAAGGGACGGCCAAGCTGTCACGGGGTCGCATACCTAGACAGATGCCGCAGTCAAAGGTCTCCTTCTCAAACGCGGCCCGAGCAGCCTCGATATCGTAGTCCAGGATGGCAATCTTGTGGGATGGATCAATCTCCAGAGTGCCGTTCCCGTCAACCATGCCAAACACATCGTCCGCAGCTTGCTGGACGTGATCAATGTATGTAAAAGCGATCATGTCACGACCCATCTCCTCCCACAATCGCGGGCCGTCGTCCTCCAGCTTCTTGATGGCATCCCTCGTCAGCCACGGTGGCGATGTGCTTATGCTGACGCCGGGCGGCCGCTCTGAAGGATAGCCCTCGGGCAGTTCCATGCGGACCACGACGGCCGGGAGGTGGGAGAGCTCATGCGAATCGACGCGGGGTTCGATGCCTGGGAGCTGAGCAGCGGCTGTATCTTGGGCGTTTGGGGCGGCAGGAAACGCAACGGTCACGGGCTTCGCGGGACGAACCGGCAGTTGAATAGTAAAGCAGAAGGGTCGCTGGTCGTCGGGCTCGATTTCGGGGAAGATGGCCTGTAAAGAGCTGAGCTCGTCCTGGCGCGGGTCGTCGCTGTCGGCGTCCATGGCTACCGGTTGAGGCAGACGTGTCTCATGCTTTCTAGAACGGTTGCGGTAGTAACTTGAAGCTCTTTTGGGTATTTGTAAAAAATGGGGGCAAATCGTGGGAAGGGTTTGCGCTCCTATGTATTAGCGACGAACATATGGATACGGGTATCGGAGAGGCAGCGAGAGAACGGGTGGCGAATTCGCGAAAATGGTGCTGATTTTTATTTGAGAGCAACGGAGATGGCGCGGAACCCGCGAGAAGTGCGACTGGCTATGATAAGACCTTTCTTTTCTGTAAATTCCTTTCGAGGCCGGCCAAAGGGACAAGGGTTTCTGCTCGCGACACGCAGAGAAGCTGCTGCGTGTGAGAGAGCTCTTGTCAAAAAACGGCTGGCCGAGCGCGGGGCGACTAACGATGAAAATGATGACTCCTTTGCCGCTGGCAATAAATCGCGGGGCATTAGGCAGGGGGTTGGTTCCTTTGTGTAGGTAATCAGATGAAGCTACTACCTAACCTCCCTAGCCACAAAGCCACAGAAAGCCGCTGCTATGCACTATTTGCGCTGGTAGGGAGGGGCATGGAGCTCCCGATTGGCCTGCTGGGCTCGAGGCCATGCGATCTGGGTCCTGACGCAGGTAATTAGACGAAGAAGCTGGCGAATGCTCCAACCAGCAGGACTTTGACATTTCCAGAGTGCTGTGCACCACGATCCGCGACGTGCGCTCCAACTTTACCAGCCCCCGTGAGGAGTCAAATTCTCTCGCTATAATACGATTCAACCACCCCTCTTTCCGGAGCCACATGGGTTCCACCGCCAGAGTATTTATTATTCTTTCAAGGACATAACCTCCCCCCTTCCCGCGTACCGGAGAGCGTCAGCCATACTCAAGGTCGGGAATGCAATCGAAACTGCGCAGTTGAAAGCATGGACCAAGACACGAGACCTCTAGCCTCCCTCTCCCTCACCCACGTCTACTATGTGAGGCCTTACCCGTCATCCTCTTCCCTCCTTCCCTTCGCCTGCGGCAGAAAACTAACAGAACCTCCTCCCAGGATCCCGATGATTCCCTCTCGTTCCTCTGCGCGTGGCTCGCCTTGCTCCCGCAGGCCTTGTGCATCGTCTACGCGACCCTGATCTGGTCCACCCGCGAGATTGAGATCCTCCTCATGTTCGCCGGCCAGCTGGGTTGTGAGGCCATCAACTTCGCCCTCAAGCGCCTCATCAAGGAGGAGCGCCCCCGCCGCATCCACGGCAAGGGCTACGGCATGCCTAGCTCCCACGCCCAGTTCGTCGCCTACTGGTCCATCTTCCTTGTCTTGTTCCTACTGGTCAGGTACCGGCCTACCTCCGTGCGGAGGCACCACCAGCCCTACTCGCTCATCGAGCGCGTCGTCGTCAGCGTCGCTGCGCTGGGCATCGCCGCCGCGGTGGCCTGGAGCAGGGTGTACCTCGACTACCACACCGTGAAGCAAGTTTTGGTCGGCTTTCTGGCCGGCTCGGTGTGCGCCGTGGGCTGGTTCATGGTCACGGCGATTGCGAGGGATTTTGGCATCTTGGCCTGGGTCTTGCAGACCCCTATTGCGCGGCTGTTTAGATTCCGTGATCTTGCGGTCGAAGAGGATCCGTGCCAAGCTGGCTGGGACAAGTGGGAGGAGAGACGCGTGGAGGCGGATCGGCAGAAGAGCAGATAAGAAACAGGACTCGAACAGAAATCCAACCATCCTTCTCATGCGCAGCACTAAATAATCCTGGCCCGTCATTCCCTCACAATCAAGCTAGGTTTTTGGGTCTGCCAGGCTCAAGCGATGGTTCATGTCACTTGTCACGCAGCGGCAAGAATCAGCTTTTTGTTTGGGCTCTTTTCGATACATTGAGCTATCGTATCTCTTGTCGTCGTTCAAGGACCCTCTCTAGTGGCATTTACCTCCGCTCTTCCGTCTGCCTCGTGGCTAATCATATACCATCATGTCCTTCCCATCCATTTTTTGGAATCCCAAGGCTCTTTCTTGAATCCCTCCTTTCCCGGCGTCCGGTCCTCTCCAATGAAAGCCGTGCGGCCGTGCCCACCCAGATCATACACAATGCGTCGTTGCAGACCCATTGCTAGAGATAAAGAAAACAAACAATATGTAGACGGTGTGTCGTACAGGTATCTCCGCAATTAGAAAACGCCGTCCAATGAAATAGTACATATAAGAAGAGAAAAGTTGTGGTACGCCGTCAACTCCGATCAGTGACCAAAAAAAGGTCGGATCGAACGCTTTTACCGTCCGTTGTAAAGGGCACGTCGATTAAATCGCTCCCGAGCGTCGAAACGCTGATAGTGATGTAGCTTCAGATCCAATCACGCTTGTCATGTTGACCGGAGCATTGGCAATCCTGCTTGGTGCACTGGACTGGGGCCTTCTTGCGCAGCGCAAGGTTGTTGAAGCCAACGCCCTGGGGGCTGGTGACTCTGGTCTTCTGAGGGCTCTCGGGTCTGTAGACCGCCGGACTAAGAGTGAGCTGTTGCGGCTCTCGCTCCTCCAGTCGCGATTGCCCATGCGCAGAGTGATCGGGGACAGATGGGAGAGTCTTCATCCGTGCATCCTTCTCGTAACGGACAGGCGATGACACCAGAGTCTCGTCCTCCTCGGAGTCGGACGAATCACTTTCACCGTTGACATCGACCTGGGCCAAAGGGCTGGGCCGCTTGAGGGCGTCGAGGTCCCGTTCGTTGGTGCAGTCAAGACTGGTGACGCTTGAGTTGTTCTGGAAGTATTGAGACGTGAGAGGCGGCATGTCATCAACGTTTGACAGACGTAGGCCAATCTGAACAGTCGCCGACGAAGCGAGGGAAGAGTCGCGACGATGACGAATGCCTTGAGGGTGAATTGATGGCGGGGGCTGGAGGAACAATATATCATCCTCTTCAAATGTCGTCACGGCGGGCTTGTATGTCTTGGCGGGGAGCAAGGTGATTGATTTGGTGTTGTTTTGTTGCTCGATTGGGAACAACGAGTAGGACCTTATGGGCGCGTGGGCCTTTGGGATCTGGTAATTCGGAACCTGCGCGGGTTCAGGTGTCTGCAGAGGAGCAGGGACCGTCTGCCACACAGCATTTGACCGGAGAGGGTTGGCATACGTGGGCGAGCCGGAGGGGCTCTCGATACGAGCCTCTTCCTCCTTCTCGGGCACCAGGCTGTCGGTGCTGTCCATCCGTCGGAGGGATTGTGCTCGGCCGACGGGGTTCATCATGTGATTTTCGTAATCATTGCCGCCACTGTAGACACGGATGCCGGCCTTGAGCTTATTACGCTCGGACTCGGACTTTTCACTGTGACAGGGACCGATGGTGGAGAGGGTGTTTGAACGCAAGAACAGGTGCAGGCCGCCAGTCATCAAGCCAGACACATTGGCAACGACAGTGGCAATCATGGCAAGTGTGAGGGCTTGTCCAGTAGCAGCTCGCTGCTCCGTGAATGAGAGGGTGAAGAAGAAAGGAATGAGAAGTGTCTAAGTCGTGGTCAGCCGGATGCCCCGTGGGGAGAGGGATTGTTCCACTTACAGTCGAAATGAAGGCGACCGCCAGGAAGTAGACCATCCTGGAAGCAGCGACACGCTCGCTGTTCTCAATCCTGGCATTGTTGTGCAGGCGAAAGAAGATAACGAGGGTCGAGGCGAGCAGCGCCACCGAGATAATTGTTAGGATAACGAAGCACCCCTCCTTCCAGCGCTGGACGAACCAGAAGAGGGACGCAAAGCAGAAGTTGGGAGGGCGGACAAAGAGAGTAACGAGGTAGGTAACGAGTAGGAAAGTGCCGACAGTGGCTAGGCATATGGTGACGTTCCATTTGCTACGAGGGGGCAGCGGGTTCTTTCGTAGAGACCGAAAAGCCACCTCCAGGGCGAATACTAGTTGAATGTAGGGAACAATGAAAACCGCTGCAGAAATTGTCAGCGAGATTTGAGTGATTGGGAGCTCCAGAGGTCACGAACCAGGCAGCATCATCTGGGAGGTGATGGTGCACCCCAGAGTAAGGAGGTGGTCGAGTCCAGTCGACTGTGCAACAGCGAAGACGATGCCCTGGACAACAATGCCAACAGAGAGGATCAGAGGGAAGGTCTCGGCAGGTCCAACAAAGTTGAAACCATGTGTTCTGGAATGAGCGGTTAGCCAGTGCCTCCTCCATCTGCAATAGCGATGCCAAATGCTGCCGTCCGTACCTGAAGCCAAACTTCTGGTTGGTCTTCTTAGCCGTTGCATATCCGTCCCAAAAGATTCCAACTGCTGTCGCAAAGGCGGCGATGACATTGAAAACGGCGAGAATGATGGTCGAGGTTCGTATCGATTTCGCAGACTGAAAACGGAACTGGTTGATGATGGCGGCCGTCGAAGTGTTCGTGGCCTTGTGGGAGCCTCGTATCGAATCATCCGCGGCACTTCCGTAGCCAGCCGTTACGCCGCCGACGTCTCCCCGCGCCCACAGGTCGTCGTGTACCCAGCTATCCATCTCGTCGATTGTTTACCTGGCAAGTGGTCGAAGAGAGGAGGAGCGCAGGCGTCGAGCCGCAGCGGTGCCAGATATTACTTCGCTCCCCAAACCATCTAATCCATAAACCGATCGAAGATGTCCCTGACGTAGAAAGTGTGGAAGGAAAGATGAGGACGAGGAAGTGAGGACGGCAATCGTGCGGATGGGATGGAGAAATGAAAAGAGTAAGTGGAAAGACAGGACGGATTGTGAAGGACTACCGCTCTTGGACAAAGAGGGTAGACCAGACGAAACAGACACTAAGGCAAGGTCGGGGCCTGCGAATAGAAACAAGAAGCGAGGACCAGCCACTCGAGAGAGAAAAGAAAGGGACCGGCCTGAGGAAGGGAAAGACCACTTTCCACGAGTCCAGCGGGGAGAAGAGAGGCGAGAAGAGGTCGCATGAAGAGGTGAAAAGGCCATCGCAGACGATGGAAAGGTCCACCTTGGTAGGGGGCTAGCAAGGGAGAGGGCTCGGGAAGGGCCCCCGCGCGGGCCAGGTGAGGTCCGGAGGGTTAGCCAAACAGCCAAATGGGCCCAAGTCCAACCTTGGGGGCAAGGCAAGGATAGCACGGCTGATGGGTGTGGTCCAAGAGAGAGAGGGTGGCAGACTGGAAAAAGAACCCCGGCCAAGAAATGGAAGGAGGGGCCAGCCAGAAGACGAGGACCAGGAGAGCCGAGCCTAGGAGCGAGCGAATGAGACGCGGTCTGTACCTCTCAGCCCGGTCCACGACTGGACGATGGCGAGTGACGAGGAGGGCTCAGATGGGGCGAACGTCTCTTGACGTGCATATTGCTGGTTGGAATGCCGCGGGGGCCACAACACGGCATCACAGATGGTCTTAGTCCTTGTCGAGGAAGTGCTCGGGACATGGGGGGAACAGGGCCAGGCGCGGGATGCCAACGCCAACCATGTTCGTCACGACCCCGCCAACTTTGGCTGGGATGGTACCCGTTCCTGATTGCCTCTCTCTCTCTTCATTACGGTAGTCGTATGTAGGCAGGCCCCTTGCCTTCCAGCCATGTGAGAGCCAGCCTGGTGCTCGACGGCAACCCGAGGGCCAAGGCGGGGCTGAGGAGACGGAGACAACTGTGCTATATCTGTACGTGGTCTTGGTTGCAGCAACCCCGGCAGACGGCGATCGAATGTGCTGCAGGCCGGCCCAGAGGCTGACTGGGGAGAGGGAGAGGAAAAAGGAAAGCGAGTGAGAGAATGAATGCGTGTGCGTGTGCGTGTGCGTGTACGTGTGAGTGTGTGTGTGTGTGTGTGTGTGCCGTCGTACCGGCAAGAGGCTCGATCGGAAAGCATTAAGTGGCGATGATGTGAAGCAGTGATGTGACACGTCTGGGTTTCGTCGTGTGGTCTAAATGCCCGAGCCCCTGGCTGTGAGGTTGAAGATGACAAGGTTTGCCATTGGACTTGAGCCCCAAATCTGGGGGGCACTAGTGGGAAACCTTCAAGCGCGATGCTGTTCTAGTGCTAGCGCCGTTGCCAATGGTGGATCAAACGGGTGCAGGGGGGTGTAGAAGGGGACGGCTGTTGGCGATGCCGAAACCTTTTCTGTGCCCCTCATCCCCAACGTCATCCACCTCCTGCGTACCTTCCTTCCGGCTCGCCCAATCACCAACGTCTGTCCTCGTACGTAGTACGGCTCATCTCTTCTCATATCAGCCATTCTGGTCTGGTTCGCGTGCCCCAAGACCCAGGTTGCCAGGGGAATCTGTGAGTGTGGTGCTGTCTACCGGCTGATGAATTTTGCTGTGAATCACCTCATCTCCACAGCACAAATGGTCTTTGGCCAACCACTCCCGGGGCCATGTTGAGAATCACAGGCTATACGTTGAAGCACACGGCTGTGCGAAAGAGGCGCAGACCATCATCATGCCAATGTGCATCGAGTCAGCGCTGCCTTCAGCAATGGAGGAGAGGATGCCTTTGCGTATGTGCGAGTCGCTGTGCCCGCGGCGGAGGCTGCCGGGGACGTCGGGGGCGACTCTCGCCCTCCTCCAAGTTTTCCTGTCGACTGGGCCCGCTAGCCTAATTCGCAGGATGTTTCTGCCAGCCTGATGGGATAGCCTGGGCTATCTTCTTCTTGCACGTGTCTCCCCCTTGCCCTGGGGGAGGCTAGGTGTTGCCAGGACAGACATTTGCTGCAAAACCTTTTCCTATCTCAAATAGCGGGGGCCAACGGGCATATCGTCTGGCGGGATGTCATCGAACCTCGTTGACGGCTGATCGTGTTCGTCTGTTTCCACAGACTTTCGAGCGATGAGGCAGAAGATGTATCATCTGAGCCGAGGCGGCTCGAGCAGGGGCTCAAACGGGATTCCATGACCAGGATTGCGATTCTTCGCGGCGCGGGCAACCTCGCCGGGGTGTGGGCAGACTCTGCCTGTTCTCCACACTCACATCAGATTATGCTGTGCTAACGGCCACCATGACCAGATTCATCGACTCGCAAGTCTGGCCCTGTCAACCCCATGCGAAGCCTGGACGGAAGTGGTTTGCGTCTTGCGGCCTGCCAAATGCGGCGTGACAGAGATGAAAGAGCACCTTGCGCGAACCGGTGAGAGGCAAACCACGAACATATTCGCTTGAGGGCGGGGAGGGCGATCCTTCGCTTCCGCGACCATACCTTTGTCGACGATGACGACTTCATCACAACCCTGGCAATCGCCGATTTTGGGTCTCGGCTTGCTGAGCTCACCCAGCCGAATATCATATCCCAAAGGCAACGACATGATATGCAGAAATGTCGGGTGACTGCTGTTGGACCCGGCGCAACGGGCATACGGAGACAAGCTCAGAGGCTAGTCAGTAGTGCGACACTATTCCTCCGAAGAGACAGGAAGTGCGCCAACCCGCGCCTAGCGCCATACGCCGGAAAACACGTTAATTTGTCTCCAACATGTCAACCTTACGGATCTTGAGGCTCTTAGCTTATTGCTAGCTCGCGCACTAGTCACAACCTTTGAAGCGTATCTTGGCTGCCGCACTGCGTCGCCTCCGCCAGCGAAAACTCCCCTCGCGATCACCAAGGGACCGGTGGAAGATGGTTGCTCCGAGATGAGGGACTGCGCGGGCTTGTCGGCCTCACTGCAACCTGCAGAATGTGGAGCACACCGTCGCCCCCATCAGCCCAGGGTTGTGGACCTTGTTCACTGCTGATCCGGTCGCGGTTGTCGATCAAACAGACATTCAGACGGACATAAGGTACCGCACATCTAGGGGGCCACACGGCCATCGCAACAGCTTCTCTCCTGCGGTCGCTTTCTTACCATGTCCAATTATAGCGGGCAGAAGCGAGTCTCACCCGAACTCTCGTGCCGCTCCTGGAAGCTGATGCTGTGCACTCTATTTCATATCTTGCTGTGTGCGTTGCGTGCCATCTCACCAGGGCACCCCCCTTGAGGGGCCGATGGTCTGGCCCGCTGTCCCAAGCGGCAGGAATTCGAAATGGTCGCCTCAGTAGGCTTCGGCCGATCTTATGGGAGGCCTTTGATAAGACCTCTCCCGGTCGGTACTGAGGATCACTGAAGCAAACCTTCTTAGCACAGCTGCCACCCCCGTTTTGCGATGTCGTCCTTGGGACGAGAGCTGAAGAAGCAAGTAACTTGTCATCCAAAATCCCGAGCCTCCTCGTTTCTTTTCTTCTTCTCCTCGTCGCCCTCTGGATATTCCCCTGACTACGCGGCTTGAGAGGGTCATCCAATGTTATGTAACGGCCATCGTTTACTATGTTCACCATGTATGGTATCGTCTGAAGTGACTGCGGGTGCTGTTGCAACGCAGTTGCAATGCGCTATTCTGGTTGCGAATGTTTCACTTGCACCACCGCGAATGCTACCGCAGCTCCCGTGAAGCGGGAGCGTCATTTGTTTCCTCAACAGAGGTTCGCGGTACCGTGGCTACTTTGGACAAGGCGACGCGAATGTGAAACGGTCCTGGGTCACTTGCGTGGTTGGAGTCCTCATGGGGATTGTGGGGTGACGAACCACAACGACGAAAACAACGGCGGCAACCATGACTGGACGACGCCAATAGTCGGGATGAGGATCCTCCTCTACGGCAAACACTTCCTCATTGGAAAGGCCGTGGAGAGCCTGCAAAGACCCGCTCTCCCAGAATGTGTGTGTCTGCTCTGGCAAAGCGTGTATTTGCCTCACCTGACGATGGCCCACTCTCGTCGGGTTCTCCGTCAGACTGCTTGGCTACCCCGTCTCCCGCTGGTTCAGGTGGTGAAGCATATAGAGTGCTGTCAGGCCAGTGTATACGAGAGCAAAGAAGATGACGACTGACTCACGCAGTGCGCCCGGGGGGGGGGGCTACTCAAGTCCGCCTACCATGACCGGAAGAGCTCGGCCGAGTTGGGCTTGGGACCGGTTGGTACGAGAGCCGTCGCCTTGGAAAGGAACACTGAACCGCCTCTGGCAGCAATCTCATTTCCGCCCTCGTTTCGGCCACGCATCTTCACCATGAAATTTGCATGTTCGGGGGCCTCCTGCAGTCAGCTGCTTCCTGACTACCGGTCTTTTTGGGTCGTACATGAATGAGGGACTGTTACGGGGGGGGGGGGCGGGATCCTCCGGCAGTTGATCTAAGGAATTGATTTGTGTTAAAGTAAGTAGGTATATGCGTTGTTCTAGATCTTCCGTGGCGGTTGGTGTGCTTTCCCCTTTCCGGCGTTTCCCATACCTCCGCTCAATATACCTCGGTCTAGTTAGCCCAAGCCATGATGCAGTATGGACAACCACCACGATCTACAGCAGAGAAGAACCATCCCAGACAGAAAGAAAAAAGAAGAAACTAAGATTGAGTAGATAGATTGGAACTTCCGGCACCAACATCTTGATCAATGCGATAGGCGGCTTACAAGTTGTCAGTCAGCGGCGTTTCCGCCCCCAAGTTGCCACCGGGCCCGTCTTGCCCATGTCTTTTTTTTCTTTTTTCGAGTGCGGTTCGGGGCAGTGATCCATGT